CAACAACAACAACAACAACAACAACAACAACAACAACAACAACAACAACAACAACAACAACAACAACACCAACATCAACAACAACAACAACAACAACAACAACAACAACAACAACAACAACAACAACAACAACAACAACAACAACACAAGAAAACTAAACATATATAACACGATAACCTATAATATATTAACATTAATGAGCATTAAAAAATAGAGCAATAATAGTATTTAGATAATAATAGTCAAATATGATAATGATAATAACAGTACTAAGAATACTACTAATGATAATACATAATACATAAAACACGTAGCAAAACAACCCGAAGATCCGAAAGGCCAGGGTCGCAGGTGTTTTTGCTACCTCCTAGGTGTCGGGACTCGGCTTCAGCGGCTCATTGGCCCAGGAGATCGCAGATCCGCGCGGTGCAAAGTTTCTGCCGCTGCTCTAACTTATCTGTAAGTGTGCTTCGATTATGCCGCATGTTCGCTGTAGTATCGGCCACCGTTCATGTCGCCGCAGAGCAGATTGACCGATTAACATCGGAAGATATGTGTATGTACAATATATATATATACACATATGTACATACATACATACATACATACATACATACATATATATATATATATATATATATATATATATATGTATGTATGTATGTGAGTATGTGCAGTAACGGCTTGCACCGAACACTTCTCATGTCGTGCCAAGTGCCTGAGTCCTTTTGATTTGCAAGTTAGGCAGCCAGCCGGGAGCACTCCAACGGCTCCGGTTGCTAAGTCTGGCCCCCTATAGGGTACAGCAAACGGACATGTCCTGGCCTCCTGCACCGCGCTGGCAAACTGCTTGGCAAAGGCTTGCACGTTTCCCAGGAAGACCTGACACAAGGACTTCAGTTGGGCTTAGCATGATTACGCCTGTCCTCTGTATGCAGATGCGCATGTGCATGTGCACTTCATCCGAAGATGCGAGGTCTCCCAGCACGGAGCCATTGCTGCTGGGAGCGGCAGCAAAGAGTTAAACTCAGGCAGGGATTCGTCCATTGATTCAACGGCCGTACACCTTCTACACATGATTCATGTCTGAAGGTGTCAGCACCTATGCAAGCTCGATGATCCTTCTACCCAGAATCTTTCGCACCCCGGAAAACTGAATGCTTCAACCGGGGCTGGGTGCACCTGCAAAGATGTCAAAGCACCTTTCCTCAGTACCCGTCCGCACTTCGAGCAGCATGTCGTTGCGGAGTTGAACGTGGAGTAATGAGTAATGAGAGTCTGCTCAGTTCTGTTTTTGACTGTGAGCAAACTAGTCAGGATCGCAGATGATACGCCGCGCGGAGTTCCATGAATGGCAAAAGCAAAGCTGAAATGAGGCACTGGGCAACAGAACATTCGACTCTTCCTGTCGTGCCACAACTTGAACATAGCCGGCTACAGCCGCAAAACGTGTCGGGTTGCAGCCGAGGTAGCAACAGTTTGGATCCTATGGTGTCAGTTGCGAGAAGCTGTCTGCAGCAGTATCTTGAAGACGCGCTGCAGGCATGCTTATGCAAAAGCTCGAGACTCGAGATCTGCGCATGCCCTGAACCATTTCACTGCAATCCAGATCTGGCACTGGATGATTGGGAAAATTACTTCTAGCACAAGCAACTGCAGAATCGGTGTCCCAACGTGTACACACAAAAGCTGAAGGGTATCGAAATCCAAGCCATGTCCAGTCAATTGGATGGGGCAGAAACCCTATATAAACCTTGAATATGACACCCCTATCCTGAGCAACAAAAAGGCCGCCCAAAACTCTGTAGAAAGCCGAAACTCTAAGCTCTAAACCCTGACATCGAAACGATGAAACTTAAAAGTCAATTATTCGAAAGCCTGCAGCTTTCAACCGGAAGTCTAGAAACCTCAACCTCTAAGCCTGTTCGTTCCCCCCTCTTCGCCCAAAAAAAACTTTAACCCTAAACCCCTAAACTCTCCTCAACCGCCATCCAGGAGTCCGCTGAGATGGTGCCGCCTCGCCGAAAAACGCCAGCAGCTCAGAAGCCTCCTCTTCCTTTCACTGCTGTGAGGATTAGGGGAGGGATACTACAAGGGTACTGTAATGTAGGGGCCTTAATAATTAGAATAGGATTAAGGGGCTACTTTAAGGGATACCACAAGGGTATATACCATAGTGTCGGGGCCTGAACAATTAGAAGGATTAAGGGAGGGCTACTATAAGGGTACTATAATTATCATGTAGGGGCCTGAAAAATCTAGAATACGGTTCCTTAAAGGGCTGTAGAAGGGATCTATTTTCGAGTTCTATGATATTAGGGGCCTTGATACTTAGAATGAGGTCAATAGAAGAGGCAATTATTCAAGCCCCTATAGTAGGGTTTGGGGCCGGAGTTCATGGCTCCAGACGACTTCCACACCAAAGAAGGCACCGATCATTCGACTGCACCGGAAACCGATGGCTTCAGATCTCTCTAGACCACCGTGGACTGTCTACAATAATTTAAAAGCAGTGGTAATAGTAGTAACATTAATAGAAAAATTAATAGTAATAGTAATAGTAATCGTAGTTATCATAATAGTAACCTCACAAATTCATAATCCCTGCAGAAGCCCTGCACCGTTCTAGCACATGAAGCTACCGTAATTTGCAGCAGGTCGCCGCTGTCTTCATCACCTGGTCAAAGGCACCGACTTTTGGACTTCAGGCTTGAAAATGCTTCTAGGGTTTAATTTAAGGGTAGCAGTTGAGGGTTCAGTTGAGTTCAGGGCATTTCAGTAATTCAGGGCTGTTTGCGGGCTCGTAATAACAGTCCAGGAAGTATGTCGCAACCATAACCGTAGCGGAAAGGAACAGGCGTAGTACGGACCCTGAGGCACATCAGCAAAACGATGCTTCATATAACAACCCAAGATCCCTGTGCATTCTTACGAAAGCCTCCAACTCTCTCGGTCTGCTCCAACCTGGCAAGCGACTCTATCCAGAACCTAGACAGTCAAGCTCCAAACATAGAGTGGCTTTCTGCGACAGTAGTTCAGATAACTGCCGACTAATAGTAATCTTTTGTGCCACAAAATGACTTCCACGAAAATCACTAAGTGCGCACAACAGCCTGGAATGCTACCCAAACCTGTCCACTAGTTCAGGACCCCTTGACGCCCGCGCACCTGGCGGACCTTGCGATGGCTGCGTCGAAGCCGCCGCGCCAAGCGTTCCAGGCGCCGGCGAGGCGCAGCGGGATCTGTGACCACGAGGACAGGAAGTCACTATGTAATACTACTATTTGAAGGCTCGCAATACTTCAACCGGAGCGTAAGCAAGATGGTGAAGACAAATGTTGCATCAGGAAGATGACAGCGACTAGTACCCGGAAAACTGATGAACTTGACGATGACGACAATGGCGGCAGTGCTGGTGGTTTTATAGACTCGCAGCTGCTGCTGCTGTGAAGAAAACGATGTTGAACGAACAACATAGTGATGATGGCATATGATGGCACTGGCAATGACTGTTGTGAAGACGACGACGACGACGACGACAGCGCTAACATACAGAATGGCCACGGGACGACACCGGTGACGAGTCAAACGGGAAGTTGATGATGAATTAGGCGGTGTTTTGTGGGTTGCCTGTCATGTCAGCAGAGGGGGAGCTTCAGATATTGATGATGATGATGATGGTGCTGATGATGATGATGGTGGCAAAAGAGAAGAAGCGCCTGACTCAACCCAGAAAGTGATCGAGCCTGTGCACCTACACAGCCCTGACCCTTGAAGTGCCGTAAACCTTGAAAAAGTCCTGGGAAAATCGTAAGACCCGGTATTACCACGGCTCAAAGGATCCTTGCAGAAAGTCTGAAAAATGAGCTCGCCTTTTGAATGTGCTACAGAGACCTGCTGAAGGCTGGAAATCCCGAATCTCAAAAAGCCCTCTGCCTTTGAGTTCCCAAAAAATCCACAAACTCCAAACTCTTATCCCTAAACTCCCCAACGGCTCAGACTCTATATAGTCACAAACCCTGAAGCGCGCCAGACCATGGGAATCCAAACCCTGCATGACCTTCAGAGCCGTCGCCACCCTCGGAAGATTCCTCAGCTCCCATCACTTCACGTCTAGGGGGAGGGACTTCTCAGCTGGGGGGGGTGGGGGTCGATTGGAGGGGTTCCTTCCCCCTCCTAGCTGGCAAGGACGAGCCTGAGGAGTGTGGGGTTTGGGATGCTTAGCGTAGGGCGCGGAAACATAGGAGGCTTGCCGTTGCGGGCGACTCTGCCTGCCATCTGCCAGCTCTCCATATGCACATGCGTCAGGATACTGTCGCTGTGTATGCTTTAGCAGAAGCCGCTGGAGGAAAAACACGGTAGCTACGTGAGCTCAGGGATCCTAAACCCTGCGATCAAGCTTAGATGCAAGACGGCTTGCACTCTTGGAGCAGCAAGCTGCAAGGGTGAGCTCTCGCAAGTCCAAACCGTAAGATTAGGTAGGGTAGCACGCTGAAGGGAAGCGGAAACTCTGGGTCCTTTCGCTTTTATTCCGATCACGGCAGCAGCCTGGCAGGAGGTGCCAGGCTGGTCTGAAGATATCGATGCGAGGTGCGACCTGCAGATGGGACCTTTCAGTTTCTCTTAAACCCTAATTAGACCCTAAACCCTAAATCCTAAGTTTCAGCAACTGAAAGCTCAGGAGCGTAAGAAACCAGCATGGCAGGACGCCACGTGCAGGAAACCACCTCTGAATCACCATCGGCGGTGCAGGTGTAGGCATCATCTGCGGTACAGCCATGCCACTCAGGAGTGCGGCCTTCTGTGAAGAACTACTTGGCTGCGGAGTCTGTAGAGATTTAAATTAATCTTCATTTCAAAGGCATCGGGAAAACTGCATGCAGGTCCTTCCTGAGTCGAAGCAGCAGTTTTTTAAGCATCAACAACAAAAAGTGAATGCAGTCACAAGGACCCAGGACCCACACTTCAACAAACAGTAAGTGCATGAGCACGTCAACAGCCTACGCATCATCAAGCGCAGCCACGCCGGGGAGGAGCTTGCCCTCCAAAAGCTCCAGGGATGCACCGCCACCAGTGCTGCAGTGAGAGACCTTGTCAACAGTGTCATAAACCTTGCAAGCGGTGGCGGTGTCGCCACCACCGATCACGGAGACGGCGCCGTCCTTCGTGACCGACACGATGGTCTCCATCATCTGCTTCGTCCCCTTTTCGAAAGCCTGGCGAAGCTCTCTGCGTGTAGAGTCAGGTAAAGATGCAAGCAGAGGGGAAGCTATCGCCCAGACTTAAACTACGATCAGAGGAGCCCCGAAACGGCCTCCATCTCGAACACACCCATCGGACCATTCCAGACGATCGTCTTGGACTTCTTGATGGCCTGGGGGGCACGGGCGGCCGTTGGTTCGAACAGGTTCCTGCACTTCGGGTCCCCTTGGTTTTGGTCGGTTTTGGTATACTGCGCCGGAGAAACGCCTCGCCTCGTCGTTCATTTCGATGGACTTGGGGCCAATGTCAAGGCCCAGGAAGCCATCGGGAACCCCAGTGCTCATGTCACCTGCCTGGATCTCTCCGTCATCCCCGAACTTGGAGGAGCACACGAAGTCCACCGGCAAAATGAGCTCCACGCCCTTCTCTTCGGCCTTCTTCCTGGGTTATAAGCTGACCGACAATCAGACTTTCGTCGCCACAAGGACAGCAAACGTCGAGCAAACTAGTCACTCTATACACCGTATACCCAGGTAATTATCAATGAAGTTCTTTATGACTGGAACCCAGCTTCCTGATCTCCGGCACCAACTTGGCACCCTCCTCGTCGTAGAGGGAGTTGCCGATGTCCACACCTGCCTCCTTGATGAAGGTAAAGGCCATGCCTCCTCCAATGATCATGATGTCCACCTTACCAAGCATGCTACCGACTGCTTGTGCAAACGCACCTGCAACCTTGTAAGATTGTAAGCCTAGACTCTAGACCCCAGCGACATGCGAATTCCCGGGACGTTGGTTTCGGATAGCGGCTCAGGGATTATGGCGCCTTGTCCAGTATAGGGTTTCGACTCGCGCACTCGCTCTCGCTCCAGTAGGGTTTTTTTTAAAGGGGTTGAGGGCGCCTTGTCCAGTAGGGATTAAAGACCTATACATAAACCCTAATAGCCCTCTCTCTCTCTCTCTCTTTCTCTCTCTCTCTCTCTCTCTCTCTCTCTCTCTCTCTCTCTCTCACAGGCACTCGAAGCGTCAGGCCTGGTCGAAGGGCAACACCCTAATAGCCCTAAAACCCTCAACCTAGGGCGCCTTGTCCAGTAGGTTCATGATAAGCTGGATCTTGTCTGCGACCTTTGCTCCACCGAGGATGCCGCACACCGGCCTGGTCGGGGCATCCACGACCTGCGCAGGCATTGCCAAGGCCAAAAAAACCCATCCCCTTAGTATGAGGTTCCTGTGAGGGTACGAAAAGGTCTATCTATATCTATCTATCTAACTTGCAAGGTGTTTTTCAGCTAAGGGCTCCATGTCTGAGTGCGTTTCTTCGCATCCTGGCCTTCGCGAAGTAGTCGAGCTCCTTGGCCAGCAGGAAGCCGGAGCACTTGACTGGGTAGCCCTCACCCACCATGGAGCTGTGAGCACGGTGGGCGGTGCCGAAGGCATCAGAGCAGTAAATGTCCGCCAACTTGGCGAGAGAGGCTCGGAACTCCTTCACCTTCTCTGGATCAGCCTTCACCTTGTTCCCATCGGCGTCCTTGCCCTTGCCCTCCTCCTCAACATAGAAGCGGGAGTTCTCGAGCAGAATGACGGTGCCCGGCTCAGGGTCAGCGCATGCAGCCTCTGCAAGAGCCCAGAAAAGCAAAGCATCTACACCGAAAATGCGCAAGATCCCTGATACATGTAAGACTTACCTTAGAAGCTGGTAAATCTTCAAGACGCTTTGTATCTGTGTTTTTTTTGGAAGCTCGACTCCTCCACGTCCTCACCGACCACGTCGTCCATCAGCTTCACCGGCACTCCCAGCTTCTCCTCGACCACCTGGGAGTTTCTCCAACAAATTCTCACACGGTATACGTTGCTTGCGGGATAGTTATGTGAAGTATAATAAAAGTAGCATAATGCGTGTATGTATATATGTATGTATGTATATATGCTCTCGGGTCCCGGGCCGCCACCCCCCCCCCCCCCCCCCTTGGTATCCCCCCCGCCCCAACCCCTTGCCGCCCTGCTGCTGCACGCCCACCCGCCCTGCCCGCCCCGCCGCCCCGGGCCCGCACCTTGCCTGCCCCTTGACCTTGTGCGCGGATCGGGAGTGTCGCACTATGCCCTGCCGTGTGCGGAAAGCGGCATCTGACGTGAATTGCAATGCTGAATTATGAGGGTTGTATTGCGATGGTGATGGTGGCAGATCTTCTTTTGAAGGTATCAATGATGAACATGACGACGACAAGGATGATGTTGAGCATGGTATGATCGTCGACTCATGTCCCGGTCTGGAGCAGCACAACATCATGAGCAGTATCGCCGGTGCCACAACAACAGGGAAGACAAGGAGTAACACATAAGAACGTCGTGGCAAAAAGAGTACCACCACAGGCCCCACACCACAGGGGGGGCGGGGGGGAAGGGGGGAGGATACCATGGGGTGGGGGGGGGAGGGGGGGTGTGGCAGCCCTGCATCATATATATATATATATGTCTATAAATACATAGCGAGGTCATGCTGGGCTATTCGTAGAACTTTGCCTTTCATTTTGTGGTTCTGCGCATTCTGAAACTCCCACCTTGGCGACCGGCTTCATAGAGAACTTCTCGTCTTTCTGCCCATTGGGGCGGCCCAAGTGCGAGCAAAGCACCACAGACTTGGCACCGTTGTCAAGGGCATACTTGATGGTGGGCAAAGCGGCATCGATTCGGGCCGTGTTGGTGATGATGTTCGGGTCCTTCTTGTCCTGGGGCACGTTGAAGTCGACGCGGATGAAGACACGCTTGTCCTTCAGGTCCACTCCGTCAATCTTCAGCTTGGCCAAGGATCTGCATGCCACGACGCTCTTGGCTGCGCGAGGCTGAATGCCCTGCTTGCGGGCAGCGGATGCGCCTCGCACGGCCGCGACGCTCAAGCCGGCCACGGCTAAGGCACCAGCCATGCCCTGCACAGGACCAGCAGTGCTGGTGCCAGGGCTGGTGGATGCCAGGAAGCCCTGGGCATGGGCATGGGCGACCTCCTGCTGCACCGGCTGAGGACGGCTCTGCCCGGGTGCCAAGAAGGCGAGGCCTCCCAAAGAGGCAGCACCAAGAAGGCCGCCTGCAAGGACACTCGAGGAGCGAGCCATCGGCAAAGTGGGGCGAGAAAAACACAGCTGGAGGATCCGACGGGATGAGCTAAAACAGCTGCCGGAACATGCTACCATCAAGCTGCACATGACATGACCTCTGCACTATGCAAGAAGACTGCTTCTCACAAGGTATCCTCCGACTTGCATGCAGTTGCAGCCCAAGCGCAGACTCTGCACAGCGGCTGTCGTTCTCTGTGCCGTCCTTCGGGAACCACGGCATGTAGAATTGCGGGTTCATGATCTCAAGAAGTGCTACTTCAAATGGGTAGCAGCATGAATACAACGACAGTATTATGACCAGATACGACCATGATCTATGGTAAGCTGATGTGAAGTGGGCGTGCTACTCTTTGTGCCACGCAGCAACAATCAGGAGTCTCGAATTGAACTGGGGGTGTGTCCAACTTGACCGCAGACCCGGAAGGCTAATTGAACTCTGCATCAGACTATATGTCCGCCCCAGGCTATCAGCAGCCCATCATCTTGCTGCCCGCTTCGGTGTTGGGGGGAGGGGGGGCGGGGCAGGCGACTGCGTCTACCACACGTGATGCAGAAGAAACAAAGTATGGAAGCTGAACACGTATGTATCAGGTTGGATTGTTTCTTTCTATTGTGCATTGGTACGTATTTGCATGTCTCTGTGTGTGTGTGTTTGTTTTGTGTTCGCCTGCATGCATGTGCGTGTGTGTAGTGTTCCTTTCTGAGCCACATGCCCAGGACCGAATCTTCCCTGTCCCCAACATTGCTAGCCAACAGAGTAGGTTTTAGTCCTTTGTTGCCAGCTCGCCAAAACCGTGGCCCTCACACACCACACAGACATGCAAAAAAATAATAATAACGCACAGCAGAAAGAAACGATCCAACCTGATGCTTGCGTGTTCAGCTTCCATGCTTTGTTTCTTCTGCATCACGTGTGGTAGACGCCGTCGCCTGCCCCGCCCCCCCGTTCCCCCAACACCGAAGCCGTCCAACACCACCCTGACCCTCAAACGCTTATGCTTGAGCTGCAGATAGTTTTTGATCATAAGCCCCAAACCATGGAAAATCCGAAACAATGCTACCCCAAACCATAAGTGCAACCGTATAAATAAAGATATATATATATATATATCAGTACGCATGTATGTACATATGTATTTCTGACTGTATCTATAATTAGTTCTGTACATGGGCTTCTTCATTGATTCACTCAACTATCTGCCTATTTGAGGCACCAGGGCAGAGCACCCTCCGGCGGCCTCCTTTGCTTCCGCCGCACTCTCCTCGTCCTAGGGGGCCCAGGGACCGTAATATTTAGAACAGGCTCCCTTTGAAGGGTTCCTTAACGGGGTCTACAAGGGATCTGTAGTGGGGTTCTATGGCATAGAGCCGTAAAAAACAAAATAGGGTTTTGGGGTAGGTTCGGGAATACAGGGCTTCCGGAACAGTTCCCGGTAGAGGGTGTGAGGTTTGACCACTCCTTTGCAACTCCTGCTGGGCAGCCTAATTCGAATAGAAATTCCGACAACAAGGCCTTCCTCAACTCCACGAGCTTCAAGGGTTTTTATACAAACCCTCTATAAAAAAAAAAAAACCTCTATGCAAAGCGTTTTTATAAAAACCCTCTATGCCTAAAGCCCAAAGCCTTGATGCCATACACTCCCCGACCTACACTCCTCGACGTCGCAGCCCGAGGATAAAACCCGAATCCTCCCGTAACAAGCACCGAAATATGAACCCCCCCCGCCCGAGCCCCTCGAAACTTCTCACGGGGGAAGCAGTTCAGGCTTTATAAGGTATTGGAGTTCTTTCTCTCTCTCTCACTCTCTCTCTCTCTCTCTCTCTCTCTCTCTCTGCCGTTGGTATGGGAGTTAGGGCACTCGTTTGAAGCTCAGCATGTTGGGGCTATGTTGTCCTGTACATTTTTGAAGCAGAGTCTGGGGTTGAGGTTTCATTCAGCTCTCCATGCTGCTAATGGCTTGGGAACTCATGTACCCGGTTGTCGAAGTGTGCGGGTACCAAGTGCCAACAGATGGCGACTTTCCCTGAAGGGCTCTCCCGAAAGCAATCCACACCCAGGAACGTCGTTCGCTTGGAATTCCTCTTGTGCTTGCTGTGAGTGTCAGCTAGGGCTTGCCAGAAGGTTCCGCGCGGTATGCAATGCAGGAAGCACGTGCCAGGCGGGTGTCGCTGCAAAGGCGGGGCGTATGTGACAGGACTGTAGCCCAAATCAGCCTCATATCCAAATATGAATCTGTTCATGTACTTGGGTTCCGATTGATTCTGCTACTGCTCGCAGCAGTTTCTTTCCATGGAGTAGCAACTGAGTTTTAGTTAGCAGCTGCTGCTATTGTTGTGGTAGGAGTCGTCGCCGTCGTCTGCGACTACTACTACTACTACTACTACTGCTGCTGCTGCTGCTTCCTCTTCCGGCGCTATAGCTACCGCTGCCACTACCACTACCATCACCCGCCACTGCTACCACTGCTACTACTGCTGCTGCTACTATGTACTACTACCACTACTACTACTACTACTACTACTACTACTACTACTACTACTACTACTACTACTACTACTACTACTACTACTACTACTACTACTACTACTACTACTACTACTACTACTACTACTACTACTACTACTACTACTACTACTACTACTACTACTACTACTACTACTACTGTACTATGGCGGCGACAACGACCATGACGACGGCAGCGTTTACAGCTGCGGCTGCGACTGCCATTCCCACGCTACAGCCAAGGCGGCTTATGACCTGATTACCCAGAACAAGTTCTTACAGGTTTTGTCACGGTTGGGAGAAATCACTTCAAGTTTCTAGAAACGGCGACTGTTAACAGCTGCGCCCGTCGGGCTACTGAGGCTAACCCAAAAGAGTATGAACTTGACCTTCGGCAACATCATGCCTGCTTCCAGCCATGTGCAAACACTCGGAGGTCTATCACTTTTGAAACGTGCCTCCCGAATTCGCAGGATCAGGCGAGGCGACCAATCCTGAAAAGTATGGCCGACGGTCGGTTTCTTGGACCTGTGGCGAGACAGGCAGATCCGTCGGGACCTGCCTCTGCACACAACTGATATCTCTGATTCGGTTTCATGTGCAGCCCAGGGCCATCTGCGAACCAGCAATTTAGGACGTTTTGGCTTCAAGCGATGCATCTGGCCTGATTGTGGAGGAAACGACTCTTGATTCTGCTTTCCGCGGGTGCTTGGGCCCTTGGTCCCGGGATGTCACGTAGGCTATGCGGCGATGCTTTACTCAGACCCTTAAACCTTATTCACAAAACTGCAACGAAAACAGCATGACGATAATCATGCACAGCCCTTGCGGGTGCTACTGGTGCTTCCACAACGTATAATGTAACATGCACGCCACCGTCTTAGTCTTGGCTGCTATAGTATTGCCTCCTCTATCATCTTCAAAGACCTACGTAGGGCCTTCTGAATTCAAAGGCATGCGTGGCTCAGCACGGAGGAACTCCGCAATTGTGGCGCTCACATCTGCCTGACGTGAGGCGTGCTTTCCAGTCAGTGTTCGGACTTCAGCACCAAATGCTTCAGGAACTGCGGCGATATGGGCTTCCGTTTCGGCCTGCATGGTGTCCAGGAGCCCAGCTGCCTGTTACACCATACGAAACGCCCTTCCTGTCCGATGCTGCAGTTGAAACCGTTCTGAATCTGTGCCCGAGGGTGGGGACACGGCCGATGCATAAGTACACTAGCACCTTGCACGCATGACGCCGCATCCTGTTCCAGAAGCATGATCACACAAGGGCTTCACAATCTTCAATCCCAGGGATCCTTAAGACCCCTCAACAGGCATCATCCCTACTTCTTAAGACCCCTAAACCCCCCCCCCCCCCCCCCACGCCCCGAATCAAATCAAAGGCACCTCAGTGGGCTCCCTCAATCGCTCTTCCAGCTCGGCTCGAAGACGGCGTTCACGGTCACAGCGGTCCTCGAGCTCCTTCTTCGTGACCTTCACGCGGGCGTCGGTCGCGGCTTCAGGGGCTTATGAAACAGCTCTACGCTCTAAGGCTAACATGTCCTGGAGGCCGTCCCCGCCGGTTTACAGGCTGATTAGGGTGTTTGATGGGCTGCTATGCTAGAGGTATGGTTTTGCGGGACCGCAACATGCTATGTAGCAGGCCGAACATCAGAGGAGCTCTCCTGTAATGTATGCATCTGGTTACCTGGCGCAATTCAGTCCATGCTACGGCCATGGGCGAAATCGACAATTGATTGAGCCGCGTCTATTATACTCCGTTCCGTAAAGATGTTCAAACTTGAATGCACGCAGGATCCGAGTCGCAAACACCGGGCCGCAAACGAGCAGCCAAACCTCAAAGCAAAGACCGCCATGGTGCCTTTACCATCGCTTGCTCAATAGACCTGAAATTTTATGGATAGCCAGAGTTTGTAATACATTACAAGTTTATGTTCTATGAGGTTAGAGTATACTACAAGTAAAGTAAATCATACTATTTTCTATTCTATTCTATGCTACTACGCCGTACTTGAAAGTAGTTTCGGGGTTCCTGGGAAGGCCTGGAGCTGCTCGGTCAGAGCCAGGTCCGTCCTCAGTGCCTCCTTGCAGGGAAGATACACTAGAATATAGCAGAATATAATACAGTATAATACGATATCATATATTATACGATAATTTAATGTAATATCAATATCAAGAATTTTTTCTGTAGTAAGTTCTATATTTCATGTATATGTGTATATATATATATATAGAGAGAGAGAGAGAGAGAGTGTGTGTGTGTGTGTGTGTGTGTGTGCGTGCGTGTGTGTGTGCCTGCGTGATATGCTAATAGCAAAACATGTGTGTGAATATGTAACCCTGTCCGACTGGGATCGTTCACAACGAGCCACTAAGGCTATCCGGGGCTCTTCAAAGGTCAGGCCAGTGGATTATGAGTGTCACTACTGCATGCAAGACCGCCAGAACGATGCTTCTTCTTGGTCATGGGAACATCTTCGCCACCAACGGCCCAACTATGGGCAGCGGCATCTGTTCGCACGATCGGGAGCGAATGGTAAGCGAAGGGCCTCGACAACTCCAGGGCTCAACCCTTAGCCTTGACCATATAAGAAACTGTCTTGGACCGACAGTCTGAATCCGAAACGGGCATGGCCCGCGAAATCGGAAGAAGTTAGCAGAATCTGCCCTGCGCCTCCCACGCAAACACGGTCTGTACGGCTAGATAGGCTAGTAAACGGCACCTTAGCAGGCATTCTACCACGATGTAGGTCCTTCATCTGCGAGATCACCCGATTCCCAGCACCCCACAACACATCCGCAAAGCTCTCGCTGGCTGTTGGCTGGCACCTCGGCAGGATGGTTGACGGAAACTTAGACCATCACGTAGGCGTGTCCGTCTTGGGAAAGTCCGTCTGGATAGAAGTTGGGATGTTTAGGGCATGCAGCCGATGTAGTTGCGTGTGTCCGCAGCCTTGTCGGAATTCCTCTGTATGTTCCCTTGCAGCACAAGAACCTCATAGGAGTCTTCCGGCAGCCGGGGCACCTTTCTGCAAGGGCCTTCAAGGATGCAACCTGCTCGTGCAGGCGCTGATTCGTCGCCTGCCTGTCGGGACAGTTTCGATGTCAGGCGCGCACCGAGCGTTCGAGTCTGTCCTTTGCCCACTTCCCAATGAGGCGCGGTTGCTCTCACGAAACCCCCTTTACACAAACTACTGTGTTATCTATCTCTCTCTCTCTTTCTGGCCGTGCCTCTCCCCTGTGTAGAAGCTAGCTACATGGCTGCATGGCTCCATCTATATCACTTAGTTGAGCAGTTGAGCAGCTGATAGCTGATGCTTGAGACGGCCAAACATGAAAGCCCAGCATGCGATGGGGAAGCATGCAGGGGTCGGAAAAACCTAAGTAACAGCATCCCCTTACTGTCCTGTTTTACATATGGGTGGTTGTCGAAATTATGGTCCCTTTAATTTTGGGTACCCTGAATATTACGTGCCGTACTATATTTTTGCCACCCGCCCAGCTGAAACATGTCGCACCGCAGGGAACTCGTCCGAACTCACTAGACACATGAGGGAAGAGACCCCAGGGACAACACGTGCTCCTTGTCAGCTCCGTACTATATTAGGGACCCAGAAAGGGACCATAATTTTGACAACCACCCATATGATATACACCCAAAAACCATCTTCGAAACAGTAAGGCCGCTACACTATTTGAGACAAGATCTGGTTCGAAAGCAAATTCTGGGCAGTCGTGTCACGACATCCATTTGTGCAGCACACGCCTCCTGCTCTCCCCTCCCCGCCCTACTGGTAGCATGCATCAGTACGCAGACCCGTCAAAAAACGAAGACGACAAATGTTGACACCATCATCCCTGGGCCGATACTGACAAGCTAAGTTGCAAGTCATCCATCTCAATGCTCTGACCAGCTTCAGAATAATCCTTCGATGCTACGGGTTGCGCGGGACTGAAGAACCGGTGCTGGAATTTCATCTAAAGAGGACGGTCTATAGGAGAAACGAGACCAGGTGTTAATGCAAGCCTGGCCACAAGCGTAGGCGAAGTCCCATCCATTTCTGCAGAGGAGAGCCGCTGCTGCAGGCTCAGCAGCTCCCGTAGGCTCTGCTCTCGCTTCTCTTTCTCGCAGTCGTGAGCCTGCTGCTCAGACTCTGCTGCGTTCTCTGCGGCAGTTCGCCGGGCTCGCTCCTGTAGTTCGCTTTGGGAGAGTTCCTCCTGCAACCTGGAGATGTCTCGGTGGCAAGACTTCAGCTCCTTCCGTTGGCGCCACAGTTTCTCTTCCCCCACCGTCAGAAACGGAGCCGCCTCCCAGTAGAGGCTTTGTCGAGATTGCCCCTTGGTCACACACGGGAATACAGCATGACTCCTATCTGCGGAACCCCCATGCAAGCACAAAAAAAGTGGACCGTGGTCCAGAAAGTTTGACTATTGGTTGCGCAGATTCCTTCTCCCGGAGGCGACGTCGTCGTGCTACCAGCTCCTCCACCTCCGCAAACCCTGAACCCTACAAGCCCCGGCGCACGGTACACTTTACCCTGTAATACAATCCGTGAGCCCAAACATACCTGCACTAGCCCTGAGATCCAAACATCACCCAAAATCTTGAAATCCTGTGGGTGTATATATATATATACACCCATACATACATAATTACATATAGATATATAGGTATGTATGTATCTATGTATACATACATACATACATACATACATACATACCTAATATATACATATGTAGAGACATTACTTTTTGAAATCCACCCGAATTCCTCCACCTCAGTGTTCAGCTGCTCCGCAGCTCTTTCCTGCAGCGCCTCCTGGCTGTTGAGCTGCTCCTGAGCTTCTGCGGGGAAATCCCGGTCTAGGCGCTCACACTCGGGCAAGGCAGGCCAGGCTCCAGGTTTAGGGTTCAGGGGTTTAAGGGTTTAGGAGTGAAAGAAAATCCCGAAATTGTCAGCAAGACATGCCTGTTTTGCATCTGTGAGAATCGAATATCTGCCTATACTGGACCTCTCTTCCAACCTAGCAAGCTGCCTGTCTGCCTGCCTACCTACAGCACCTGCCTAGCGACCCTGTGCAGAGAGCCAGGTTAACAGATTGCTCACCCAGGTCCACCTACATAAAGACGACAGCCCTTTCTTAACCCTCCGGATGAACGATGAGGCAAGACTCTTCCAGCCTTCTCTCTTCTGCACATGCTGCCGCTGCCATTCTGTGGTGCGCCTCCTCTCCCTGCGAAAAAAACAGCAGAAAGGGGATCAAACCATGCAGAAGTACTCGTGGGCGGCCGAACACAAGAGCGACTTGTACCGTGCTGCTGGGCTTACTTCAGATCTCTGCTGGGCCCGAAGTTGAAGCCTTGACCTGGGGACTCCTGAACAACATGGAACGCGAAAGACACACGAGCTGTACTTGATGAATCCGTGACCAGAAACCTTCAGCGGCTATAGAACTATAGAATCGGCAAGACTGTCAGGTAGATGCGGCTTTCAAATTGTCGAAGCTCTGCTCCGCCTCCAGAGCGGCCTGAAGCATGCTGAGCTTCATCACAGCTGCCTGCAGCTGGTGCTCTTCCAACTCCTTGGCTGGCTTTTGAACTCTCTTTTTGAGGGGTATCTGCAACCTGGACAGGTTCCCCTCTTCAGCATGTCAGGCTCTGTATACAAAACGTAAGTCATTGCTCGTAAGCACTGGCAGATGTCACCTGTGCGGTTGCCCCGGCACATGTATATCCTGGTATGTTTGCAGTAGGCGAGCGCTCGGACTGGCGATGGAGGCTAGGAGACGACGCGACCACATCAAGGTCAAGCCCTGAACACATCGAGTTCTGATGTAACATACCAGAACAAATATGTAGACACAGACACACTTGTAGCCAACAACAGCAGACTGTCCTCAAACCTAAAAGCCAAAACATCTCGCGCGACTAGGAGGAATGCTTTTAACCAGGACCAAGCAGCTAAGGTCCGGTGCTCCACTTCCCGCCTTGGTTTTCTTTTGCTGCGCGTGAGTTTCATTCATAGATTCCAAACTTCACGAGCAAGAAAAGCTGTCGCAAGTGGTTCGTGAATCTGCGGGCTTCCTCATGCCTAGGGGCCTTCCCGGCATCTCCCTAAGCAACCGAAGTGTCACTCTAAACCGACTTCGAGCGCGGTACGTCTCAGCATCATTTCGCTAAGGCATCGACTCCCTCCTCGAAGGAGTATTAGTTTCGGAGCACCATTTCAAGCGTGAAGCTTGGGGTCGCAAAAACTCCATCTAGCAATGCTGCGTGTCAGGATTTGATGTACTGTATGTAGTGCCACTCGAAGCCTCAATCGAACATCCTCTACACAGTCAATTCAAAAAGCTCCTCCCTGGCCAACCTAAACACGGCACAAGATCTTTTGCCGAAGAACTGATGGAGCATTTGCTGCAGGAACTGCACATCCTTCGATGCCTGCACCATCTCCTCGCCGAAGGGGCATGTGTTGCAGTTAGCATTCTGTGTTCTACGGTATAGTGTAGTATGGTAATTACCCGGCACGTAAATCAACAGCCGGTGGCTCTGTGCAGGTGTACATGCACACATGCCCCTTCACTGTGTAAGTTCTCGACCCCGGCGCATGTGCAACACTGAAGGAGAGAGCCGCGAAATGTGTCAACACCTGGATATCGCATGGACAAGCCTCATACACAGCGTGTCGTGATACGATGTTTGTGCCCTCCAAATCGGCTGAATGCTGAACCTTAGCTTGCAGCTTCCAGCCGAAGTCAAATAGAAAGTATACACTCGCAGCCACATAACCAGCCAAGAACCAAACAAGACAAACCAACAACCATCGCATCAGCCAGCAACAACCAACGAGCAAGTTCACAATGGGCAGGCGTTTTGTGTCTTTACTACTGTATAAGGATTTTGTATAAGGGCAGCATTCGTTGAACTGAGGCTTGCTATCATCTCTCCCCTTCCACCCCAATCCCAGACTGGAGTGTTCGTCGGTACTGGCCTGCAGATAACATGGGACTGACACTGCAAACAACGATATGTTCGCCGGGCCAGCGAAAGAGTGCTATGTTCAGAAGGCGACGTGCCTTCGGTGGTGTCGAGGGAAACGCCAGGAACCGACGCAACAAAAAAAAACAACAACACGAACAACAAAATGCGCACACACGTGCAGGCCAACAAACGGGCAGATAGAGAGACAGACCAGATGCCAGACAGACAGGCAGACAAACACAGACAGGCAGACGAAGACGGATGGACACAGACGGACAGACACAGATGGACACACCTGCCAGACACAGACATAGTGACAGACAGATAGCAAGGCAGACAGGCAGCCAGACAGACAGACAGACAAACTATAAGAGAGGCAGGCAGGCAACACAAAAAAAAACAACTGAACAAGCGAGACAAACGAACGACACAGCATAAACATAGCCACCTACATCCACGCACACATACAAACGGCATGCTTGCATCTACATTCCCATGCCCAGCTCCTGGTGCTCAGCTTGCAACTGCTGGCTCTGTGTAGCCTGGCGATCCCATCGCTCCTTGAGGCCCAAAACATGCTGTTACCCAGGGGCCCCAAAGTAGTTCCTTTTTAGGTAGTATATTAAAGTCCCTAACCAACAAAGAGGACACAACCAAAAAGGAACTACTTTGGGGCCCCTGGGTAGTGTCTTCTTTAGTTTCGTACAGGCAGGACTAACAAGTCCTAAACTTTCGAATACCGGAAGATCTCGTAAGGTGCGGCACCTCAGCCGTACAGCCCAGTCATTTCGGTCTGTAAAACCCTCATCAAGCCGTAGGTTCAGGGTCCTCCAGTTCTCGCAGGTGCACTTCCTGCACCCCGTAGGTGCGCCGCGCCTTTGTAGCCTCGTCCAGCTCGACCTGCTCGGGCTTCGTCTTTTTCTGTCAAATATAAGGGGGTTTCCGAAAATCGGGACCCAAGTAGCCTAAATAGTAAGATCCATATTACAAGGACTCAAAATAAGGTACCCCCCATTTTCGAAACCTCCCATAGGGGTGTGATGGGTCTTGCACGGTTAGACCATTCTGACACAGGGGCGAAGCAACAGACTGCATGAACCGACACCCACGGCGGAGACAAGACCTGACAAATGACTTGTTAATGTGCATGCAGAAAATCACATTTATGTGTATATATATATATACATACATATATATATATATGTGTGTATAAACATTATATACATAAAAACATACATACATACATGCATACATACATACAATACATTACATACGTACATACATACTATTGTGCAAGTATCCTATTGTAACGTAGGACCAAAGTCCCACACTGCTTCTGCATTTGATGCGCTTTGAGACACATGTCGCTGTCGCCTTCGCTAGTTGACGCAGTTGCAGCAGTCGCTCTTCCAGGTCTTCTGCCGCAGCGCTATCGCGGGCAGGCGCGCCAGCCCTTGGGTCGATAATGTTGGGCCTTGTTAGAAACATGCTAGAACAGAAGCCTGGGCTCTAATTTAACAGAATTGAATTACATGGGGTAGTATTGAGAAGGGAGGTTCAAGGCTTAGAGCAATTTTTACGGATTAGAACTGGGATCTCTAGGGCTAGATGACGGGGGTCAGGGAGAGCTTCGTCAAAATCAAACATAACTGACATCCTCCTCAAAAATTACCGAAATTGACGGCGCACCACAAAAGCGTAAACTTTCCCTAAACCCGTTTGACCTCGAAAGCCCCTAAACCCTGGTGGGAAGGCCAACCTATGCTTGGGCATGGTTCAGGGCTCCCAGTCCGGCATGAGCTTCGAGGATCTAGGGCCATCTAGGGAGCAAGGCCTTTCGCTTGCCAGGTGCCTGCGAGGGGGCTTCAGGCAAAGGGCTGCTGTTCCCAGCAGTAGGTAAAGGAATGTGGCACCGCCCCTCCAACCGTACCATGCGCTTCCTAAAACAGAATTTCTGAAGGCAAGTCAAGAGGCTCCTTTCTCCCAGTACGCGCAAGCCTCCTTGCATGGCTTCTCGGCTTGCTTGGCTTTGAGGACCGAGGCGTAGGTCGGGACAGGAGATAACGTGGGCGAAATCGCGGCATCTTCTGCACCGGTACACCCCACCCCCCCTTGAGGTCCCAAATGGTCCAAGATCTAGACTAACGAACCCTTTCAGCCTATCCAACATTCGCAGCAGCCAGGGAAGATACGAGGAGTGGAGGAAAGCTCCCAAATCACCACCGAGCAGATATTTCTGGCTGGTGCAGTCATTCAACCCTTTACAGCATAGCGCGATGTTGCAAATGCGTAGCCGCAACGGGGACGGGAGCAGCCTAGAGTCGAACTAATTCCAGGGTCACCCTCTTGAAGCTGCAAGTTGAACCCGTACATCGGCACTTCATGCTCTTTTGTTGGTAGCAGCCTCTAGCACTGTCTGGCATCCTAAATATGATATGTATATATGCGTGTCGACATATGTATGAATGTATACATACATGCACGCATGCATACATACATACAAAATATATAGATATATACATACATACATACATACATACATATATATATATATATATGTTGTTGATGAACCGCTGCCCCAAATGGCCGAGACTCTCCGGGCTTCGGGCCACAGGCTTCGGAGATTTCTCCGGACGAGAGCGGCCAAAAAGGAATCCGCGCATTGCGATGCCCAGGGCCCAGGGTTTCCAGGTTTGTGAGGGTTTACCTTAACCCTGAAGAACCTACCTTTTTAGGGTTCCCTATTATGATTTCCTTATATAAGTCCTTAAAAAGGTAGGTTCTTCAGGGTTAAGGTATGGTTTAGGAAAATAGGATGAAATAGGGTTTTAGTGTTAGGGCTTCCAGGGTTTTGAAGACTTAGAGTGGGATTCCAGCGACTAGGTATATAAGGATTCAGGATCTTCGGTTTTGCCTGGCTGGGGGACTGTAGAGCATCCTGCTGCTGCAACGTGGCTCTCTGCTTCTCTACGAACTAGTTATAAAGGAGTCTCTGCCATCTCGCACTGGGCGCTTGTGAGTTCCGTTCAGATTTGACAAGACTGGACCCAGGAAACCTGTGGACAAAAACCCGAGCCATGAAGCCAGGAAAGCAGTTGCCAAGCAAGAGTCCAAGCTGGCATGTGAATCTAATATATATATATATATATATATATGTCGGGGCCTTCGTGCTTGTAGGGTATCAGGGTATAGTTCACTGTAATCATAGGGACTATAATGGGAACCGCCTTTGGGTTAGTTACCTTAAACCATGACACACTTCTTTAGAGGATTTGGCAAGGATGGCAAAGGCAGGCTTTGAGATCCTTCTTGGTAGCCAGGGCAGGTTCAACAACCGAGACGTCCAGCTAAACCGATCGCACAATGCGACGACCTTCACCAATGTGGGCACTTGCGATGCCAGTAAATTCTGCTTCATCACAGGAACATCGGCACCCACTTATCCTTGTAGTGTGAAGCTAGCTTTGTTGATGATAGGGCTTTGTCCATAATTTATCGGCGTTCCTTCCGTGGAGCCCTGGGTATCAGCTCGTGATGAGCCTGGACATTTTACGTGACCTCGACGGCTTGGAAACTTGGCCATCACCCCGCAGCAGTAATCAGCATAACCAACGACAATCATGATGGCGTCAGGCACACTTCGCAACACAGGAAACATTGCATTCATGCGTGAAGTTGTGATCTGTCCCCGCTCCGCTTAAGGCAGTGCAGCACAGAAGAAGCAGTTCGTATGCTGCCAAGCAGCCTCGCTGTTCTGTTCGTTCCTGCGGGGAACGAACCCAACTTTAAAAAGTCATTCGTCAGAGAACTGGTAGAAGTCGAAAACGAAACCGACACGAACGTGGCAAAGGCACGTACCAGCCAAACACATACTGTTGGGCAATGTGGGGCTGGCATTTGTTGTACGTGGTTTTTCGGAAATGCAAGTGCAAATTTGCCGACGAGCCGGTTTTGAAAAAGCTCCCGAAGGTTCCGTAGAGAAGGAGAACTGGTCTGATCCGTCGAAGATGCTCTGCTACTGCTACATGCTCATGCAGGGGTGTGCATTCAAGAGGACCGCAAGTACACCTACATGTGAACAGAAAATGACCATACCAGACAGTGCCAGAGAGAACCAGCTCGGCTTCGCAACGCGATGCTCGGGTTTCTTGGACTGCTGTGGTCTCAACCCAACACCCTTCAAACTGTACACATATCGTCGCAGTTCATCCAATCAGACCCGCCCCATGTTTCCAACAGGAACCCAAGGCCACAAACCCGACAACTTCATACACCCACAAACCTGACACCTCCATACTACTTGGAGGTTCATGGTAGTTATAAGTAGGGTTATAAGTAGGGAAACTATACTTATAACCCATATTAGAGGACTTATAACCCTACGTATAACTACCCCTGAACCTCCAAGTACCCGAGGCCGGCGCTTCAGAAGGAGTATGGGGAAGGGCGTGTAGTGTTGAGGCTTTCACCAAGCAGTGCACAGCTCCCGCCTTTGTACATCTCATATCCCCAACGCACAACCGGACCCGCAACCGGCACATCTCATATCCCCAACGCACAACTGGACCCGCAACCGGCAACTAGGAAAAGCCCTTCTTATGTTAAGTCTCCCAACCCTCCTGCCCATATCGGCCGCATCGCTCTTCGCGCGCTCCGAGGGCTTTGCGGCCTCTGTGGCTGTGGGTCTTCCGCTCCATGTCAACTTGGAGGCTCGCAGGACCATGCAGTCTCAAAGTTCTACACATATCTATAATGGGTATGTACAAATGTTATAATACAAAAAACATGCCGCCGAGTGTATGAAGGCATCTGAAAACCTATGTACGACCAGCTTACGATTTTCCATGATCCCTTGAACAGGTTCCTCAAGGTCATTCCGAGCCCTTTCCTTGAGCGGTCGACTCCCTGGAGGCTTGGAGGCCAAGTCACTGGCGCTCGAAGTCTCAAACTTCGCTATAATCCCCCAAGCCTACATCCAAAAACTGCCGAAGACTGCAAACCCTAAGACCCGTAAGAACCCTTATGGAACTGCGCCACGGAAGGAGATACGGAAAGCACACAGATGTAGGCCTGCAAAGCAGCGCAAAAGCTTGGCCGTAACCGGGCCCAGGTAGCCTCGATAGTGGCTGAGTTTTTCCGGCTTTCCAGATTCCAAGCTATCCGAGCGTAGGGGCCCGGGTTGCTTAAGGCTTAGGGTTTTTTTGGTACCCTCCTCAGGGTTGTGGGGTGTGGTCCTTTCGCTCACAAGCCGAATATGGAGTGTTGGGAGCTGTGCGGTGACCGTGTCATCGTCGTCGTGGTAGTAGCAGCAGCAGCAGCAGCAGTAGAAGCAGCAGTAGGAGCAGGAGCAGGGGCAGTAGGAGTACGAGTTGCATTAGAAGCGAGGAGGAGTGGCAGTAATAGTAGCATATCGTAGCAGTAGTAGAAGGAAGGAGCAGCAGCAGCAGCAGCAGCAGCTCTGGAGAATGTGATAGTTGGCTAGGGATCCAAGAATCCAACACCATGTGGCAGTAGCAACTGGCCTGACATGGAAGTCCTGCATGAATGCGGCCACGGGGCAAAGACATCTTCATCCTGGCCACAGAGCGGGCAAATGACAGAGTTTCGCGATGCAGAAAGCTGCCACACTGCTGGAAATAACTCTGCACAAATCACAACAATCCGTTGGTTCGAAAACTATCGAATAATTGTGCATGAGTTCCGTTTCGCAGCCGCGCATGGCTGCGCACAACATGAGAGGCGTATGTTTGCCATCATTGTCCTAGTGCTGGGAGTTCGATGCAGCAAGCCACTGACTTCGTCGTGGATCAAAGACGAGCCCTCCATCCCTGAACTTTCTCAACCCGCCCTAAAACCCTCAACCCTAAACAATATGAACCCCAAACCCTAAGACACTAAACCTCTTCACCGGCCACGGGCACCACAGGCTGCATGATTCAGAGGCTGTCACAGCATCCTTGCGCACTCCCTGGGCTCTTCTACTGCGCTGCAGAAACAGACCTGAAATTTCCACATCCCCCACAAAATCCTGGTCCGACATACCATCTCCTGTACCCTGCAATCCCCTCAAGAAACAAAAACATGACCAGCCCCCAGGCCGCCATGCCTCAGATGCTCCTAGAAGAGCAGCACCTCTGCGAAATGTCACAAGGCTTTTTAGGAGGCGGCGCTGCGCTTGAAAGTTACGACGATGCAAAGGCATTCCAAGATCAAAACCCGTGTCAGGAATTTAGATGCTGAAGGGGCCAGAGGAATCTGCTTCGATGGCGTCTTTGAAGGGCTTTCCGATGCGATACATACGGGATTAGGGGCCATGGGTTCGGGGCATTTGAAGATCCAACTTTGGTGGTCCGAGGCTGCAATGTTTTCGGTGCCGTCCCTATGGCACACTCTTTTGATACAGGCTGTGCATACTAACACCTGGATACAACCACTCAACGACAAGAATATGGGGAGTTCTTTGAGTCAGAGGATCCTCAAAACCACATCAGGGAGCAAATGCAATATAATTCATGTGTGCAGTATCAGTAGCGGGTTCTGACGAGTCTACCTGTCCTACTTACAAGGAATGTGACACGCCAACCTCCATCCGCGAAAGCGTCATTCTGAGCCATCCAGATGCTTTAGCATTCGTCAATAGTCAATTGCTCGTAGAATCCAGGGCGTCAATTGAGGATCCTACAGGTTCAAGTGCGACATATCTGCTGGCTCATATCAAAAGTCATCCTTTGGCGCTACAAAGCTGCAACCGAGACTCTCAGAATTGTTTACGTTTTCCGGGCCCGAAAGCATCTTTGAAGACTATCCGCACCTTCGCTCTTCGGCGAGGTCGGCGCCAGTGCCTTCTCGGAGCGGTCATCCTGCACAGAACAGAACTCCGCTGTCCAGTGCAAAAGCACATGGACAGAGTGTATGCAATAATACCGTGTTGCTTGCATGTGTGTGGACTACAGATAGATAGACATGCAATGCAGAGAGAGAAAAAGAGAGAGAGAGAGAGAGAGAGAGAGAGCGAGCGAGCGAGTGAGAAAGAATAGCTATAGAGATAGATGGATCGATAGATCGACAGATAGCTAGAGAGATAGATACGTAGATAGATAGAGAAACAGATAAGTGAATCATGAGACTGTTTGGGGGATACATAGATAGATAAGATTAGATGTAGCAGCTTAGATAGACAGATAGCTAGCCAGCTAGATAGATAGATAGATAGATAGAGCGACCGGTGTTTATTGCACTTGCCTACGTGTAAGTGTGCGTGTGTATGTATGTACGTATGTACGTTTGTATGCAGGGATGTATGTACTTATGTATGCTGGTATGAGCAGGAATCTGTATATGTGTAATATGTGTACACACACATGTCAGTACATGATTATATAGATACACTCATACATGTGTGTATCATCCAAAGCTTCAGTTTTATGGCCGTGGATTGTCATACCAAGCCGAGAAATATCAAGCCTACGAACTCAACTGGAAGCAGAGAAGGAAAACAAGCTTCTGACCTCAAGTTTAGACAGCCCGTCCCTGATCATGCAGCTCAACGAAGGCTCTCAAGCGATCTGCTTGAACCTATGCATCAATCTCAACAAAGCCCGAAACCGTATAAACACAACCGTCGCAATGAAAGCTCAGGCAACCAGAAGGTTGCGCACGGCCTCCATCCACGACAGGCGTGGAGCCTTTCCATGCGGCGAAGGGAAGGACAACAAATGAGGGTGTTCTGCATTCAGTGAATGTAGTGGGTCCTTGCGAACGACTTGGCTGGAATAAGTTTACACGGGTACACGGTCTTTCGCACTTTGAGACTTCGATTGGGGCAGCGGGTTGACATAGGGCGACAACTTAGTGTTCAGCGCGCAGCAAATCCAAATCCGAAGCCGGCCATGTCAAGCCGGCACTTGGGGTTCCAGATGTTGCGGATGCACTTGAGAGTAGGGGTCTTGAACTCACGCCCATGATTACGTCCGTAGCCTACGGTCGTGTTTGGCCGACCTCGAAATCCAGCGCTCCACAGTAGCTCTTCCGAAGGTGTCCCGCGCCGGAGAGCGTCTGCCTGAGCTGCAGCACCTAGCTCAAAACGGACATATGTCGGAATCAAAACCTCGAACCCGAAAGCAACTCAGAATCCAATTCTCAAAGTATAGAGACACACCCTACCCTAAACCCTAAACCCTAAACCCTAAACCCAAAATATGAACCCCGGATCCCCCCCCAAAAAACGCCCCTCCCAGGTCAGATCTGGCCGACGGAAATTTAAACCTCGAAGGCTTTCGAGCGTTATGGGTGGAAGGGTTTTATAGTTTTGGGATTTTCATAGAAATATCAAGGCCTAAACAGCGAGACTTTTTTTAAACGTGCATAGGGCTTTTGATGACCAGTGCCTCGGACGACCAAGGGTCTTTCAGCCTTATAAGGTTTAGGATGGTTTAGGTTTAGGGGTGTCTACAGGGCCCTTGTTTCAGAAACCCTTGCAACTTCTAAAACCCATAGCGAAAGCGCTACTCATGAGCAGCAGGCTCCGAGCATTGCGGTTCACTTCAAAAAGCCAAGTTGCAGCTTTTCCAGCCACCTCCTCCGGGATGAGGTTTGGCGGTTTGGGTATACTATGGACGCTATGATGCTTTTTCTCTGGAACGTGAGGAGTTGTTCAGGCAGTTATGCCGGGATAGGGGGTTGCTAACGTTCGATGTCTTGCAGGGATGTCGGACCATCTGATTTCAAAAGCCCGTCACAATTTAAGAGTGTTGCTGCAGCCCACTTTGAGAAGATGATTGGCCTTCTCGACACAAGGAACATCAAGGAACCAGCTGTAGTCTTCTGTCTCTTTTAGCACTCGTACTTCGCGGTGGATGTGTTGTTTTGCTACGAGTGATTCAGCTGCAGTCAAGTATGTTGTCTGTGCAGAAAGTTCCACAGGGAAAAACACAACTCACTGACTTCTTGTCTGCACTTTGCATGGTCACCGTCTACTTTGCTACAGACTCGATCCTGCCAGGACCTTCGTTGCCTTGGCTGCAAATGCATCCCCGCCGTCATGTAAATGCGGTGGCCCCCAGACTGTGGTGGTGGGAGCTGAACTGAACGCGGAAGTGCCAACACCCCTAAGGCGTTCTGGATCCTCACTCCAAGACCCCAAACCCTGACCCTCGAAGCCCGAAGCTCCCACTTCCGCTAAACCTTTGGTAAACCCAGGTTAGGGGTATGGTATAGTACTTGTTATAACTATGAACACATACAAAGACACTATCACTATACTATCACTAATTACCAGACCCGTTTCTGACATGGCCGTGTCCTGGTAGCCGGTGTGGCCGCCCCGAAGGCCGTCCAACTGCCCACAGTTTCCGGCTGGTCCTGGTCCTGGCACTGCTTGAGTCTAGGCAAAATCCAAGGAATCATGATGACGCAAGCAATACAACCTCAAACGGACAAGACTTAACATAATCATGAGTATAACGACGATCGCGATCATCATCATCACCGCCACCACCCCAGCACCACGGTCCTTTTCAAGGAAACCCTTACATGTACCAAGAACAGCCACGTAGCAGTCTGACTTGCCATGTTTTTCAGGCTGGTAGAGCCACTTCACTAAACATTACTGTAACATCCGCAGTGTTCCAAATGTAGCGACTGCAGCGATGCAGTTTTCGGGGCATCGCTGTCGCACCTAGGTTGATGACCAGAGCTGCGCCAGTAGCTATCAAATTTTGGTTCACAGGCTACAAGTAGCTGGAAAAGCTCTGTGTTCTGGGGCATCCGGCAAAGGCCTGCGCAAAACAAAAAAACATTGATGAAATCAGGAGAAGTCTGCTTGTATCAGGGTCAACATGGGCACACGGCTCACACTGCAAGTCGAGTCGGCCTTTGTCTCCGTTCTGGTACTGGCAGCGTGGTCGTGCACATGTGGCAACGCAAGCTGCTGCAGCTGGGAGGGGCATGTGAAACCGTGTGTCATGCAGGAGGCAGCTGTGCAACATCTCGGGCATGTTATGCTGAACCATGCTGAAAGTCGTATCTACAAGGATGTGATCAGCGTGGGCGACCACCGCAGGCGTCAGGCTAAAGCCTTGCAGGTCATGAGATCTACTCACGGAAAGCCTACGGCGAAATGGCACTAACCAGCCGCCGGATATCTTCTGACCATGCTGGAGGGACCGGGCCACCGGACTGCAATGGTCTGGAAAAGCTCTCTGCCACTGCTACCACTGGCTCCTGGATCATCTGTTTGGGGCCAGCATCTACGGCCGGCATCGCCCGCAGTTCTCTCTGTTGAATACATCGCGCAGGCGAGACGCGGCTGCGGCACTGCAGGTCTCTCAAGGAAAAACCTTTTACCTCAACCTGCACCGCCACCACCGCTGATGCGTGGAGCCTACGCTCCAGGGCGGCACGCAGGCGTCGCTCACGATCAAAGAGTGCCTCCAGTTCGCACTTTCGTGCCTGGAGCCTCCGCAATTCCGCCATGTGCTCCACGAGGGCCTCTCTAGCCGACGCCGGCGACACTGCCATCGGCGCTGAGCTCCCCATACTCTCACGGCGCAAGCTCAGAGCCAGGCTCTCGACCAAATCGGACGCTGCCTTCTGCCGAGCGAGATCTCTCGCCTCCTGCTCCGACAGCAGCCTCTTGAGTGCTCGCGCCTGATCGCGGCAAGCGTTGAGCTCCTGGCGCTTGAGTTGTAGCTTGTCTACTTCGATCGATGGCACGGTCTCCCAGTACCGCTGCCTGGACACATCACGACCCCGCAGCTGTTGCAGCCTCGCTTTAAGCTCGTTGACCTCGGCCTTCGCCTTTGTAGCAGATCTTAGAAGCAATGCCTCATGCCTTGCCAGCTCCTCTTCCTCTCCCTTCGCTTCCGACAAAACTGCTTTCGTCAGTCGCTGCTGTGCTTTATCCGCCCGCAACCCAGCCTGAGTTGTCCTTTAAACCCTTTGAAAATTATTTATATACTATTATGGTTCTCTACAAAATAGTAGGGGAAAACAATAAAAGATCCCAAAGGACAACCCAGCAGCGCGCATCTGCTCCAAACGCTTCGCGACCGCCTGCATCTGCACCAAGCGTTCACCTTCGGCCTCATTTTCGTCCGCGGCCTCCTGGTTCAGTTCCGTTACTTACCTTTGGTTAGTAGGGAATGGAAGAAGAATGGCGGTAGTAGCAGCAGCAGTAGCAGTAGCAGTAGCAGTAGCAGTAGCAGTAGTCGTAGTCGTAGTCGTAGTGGTAGTGGTAGTAGTAGTAGTAGTAGTAGTAGTAGTAGTAGTAGTAGTAGTAGTAGTAGTAGTAGTAGTAGTAGTAGGTATAATTGTACCCCATTCCTCCATTCCCTACTAACCAAAGGTAAGTCATTTACACCGACAAACACGCACAAACACCGAACACACAGCCACAAACATGGACAAACACACAAACAGCGGAGCGTAACGTGTATAAAACGAGTTTGCGCTGGACCATAATAGTAGTAATAATAGCAATAGTAATAATAGTATTAGTAGTAATAGTAGTATTACTAGTAATAGTATCCCAACCGGTTTCAGCTCCGGCAGAATTTTGCCAGCCCTGTCCCGAAGAGCGCGAAGAGTGTTTCGGGCCTCCTGCAGTTTGGGCTCCATCGCCTCCAGGAGGGCTTACAGCATTTGAACGGTTTAGGGTGTAGGGGTATCTCTAGGACTCTTCAGGGGCCCATGGGATATGAGCAAGGATGCATAGTGGCATAGTGCATGATGGTTGTGAGCCATGGCTGGGGCTTTTGGGCGAAGGCTACAGAGTTCCAAGGCCTCGAAGTCCGAGATTTCGGCACGGCGCCGTGCCTCCTCGGCCTCCAGATCCCCAAGTCGCACCTCGCGATGAGGGCTTCCGTGCGGAAACAGCATATTTCGATATAGTTTGTGGAATGTTGTGCAGCCCGCGACCACAACACCCAAAAGCGGGAACCCTTCCGGGGCTTGACATCCAGAAAGGCCTCATGCTGCAGTGCTCCGAGGCAAAAAGATTCGGGACTTGGGGATGTAGGAGCCCCCTGAGATCACTTTCGCTTCGTCTCCTTGAACTCGCATTTGGGTAACCAAAAGCGCCAAGAAAGGCTTATGTCCTGGTGTAAAGGTCTTGATCTTTGGCTTTCCTGAGGTGTGGAGCTGTTACGCCTGTTACACGAGAGGCTTCAAAGACCAGCACCCCAGCCTTGTTCCACCCTCAATCCCTAGACACCTGAAACCACCACGCCATGAGGCTGCACAACTTTGTATGGGATCTCATATCTGAACCAACACTTGACCTGAAAGCCAGGTCGTCAAGATCCGGTTGAAAAACCATGGCAGCTCCAGTTAAAACACCGGAAACTGAATGCCCAAAAGAAGATTGTCTGATAGCAAGAGCAGAAAGTGGCAAACAAGCGAAAACACTGAAAGCGATATTGAAGACAACACAAGAATCCGGGCAATAGTGGTGATGCTACGGCTACTGAAAGTGGGCTCTTGGTACTACTGCAACTACTGCAACTACTACTACTACTACTACTACTACTACTACTACTACTACTACTACTACTACTACTACTACTACTACTACTACTACTACTACTACTACTACTACTACTACTACTACTACTACTACTACTACTACTACTACTACTACTACTACTACTACTACTACTACTACTACTACTACTACTACTACTACTACTACTACTACTACTACTACTACTACTACTACTACTACTACTACTACTACTACTACTACTCCTGCTACTGCTACTACTACTACTACTACTACTACTACTACTACTACTTCTACTTCTACTGCTTATACTACTTATACTACTGCTACTGAAACTGCTGCTACTTATGCTCCTACTCCCACCACCGCCTCGCAGGAGCGAGCTTCCTGCCGGGCCCCGTCTGCCTCAGCCAGGAGCACCTGCTGCTCTGCGGACTCAGTGACTCAGTGCTTCGCGAGTTCAGGGTTCAGACAGACAATCAGAGTTTCAAGGTTCAGGTTTTAAAATCAAGAGTTTAGGGTTCAGGGACAGGGATATCCCTGTCCCTGTACCGTAATTACCCTATTTTATAATCCCTCTTTGCTACTGGACTCAAGTCTAGCCAGTCTACGATACTATAACTTTTTTTTCCACAGGCTTGATTAGTGCTCGCCCGGCCAGAATCCCCAAACTATAACCCTAAACCCGAAACCCCCATCGCTTGGTTTGTCTGGCTTGGCGCCTCTGCTTGAGACAGCAGCGCCCTTCTTGGGCTGTCGGCAGACGCTCCGAGGATCTTTGCCTCGCTGCGCTCGCTTTCGACCGGGGGAGTGTCCTTCGGGCATGGGCGGCTTGAGGGATGTGGGGTTTTGTTTTTGTTTTTTCACTCCTAAGGGTTTAGGGTTTAGGGATGTATAGGCTTTTTTTGGACACTCACACTCGGACAAAGCCTGGCAAGGTCTGCAGCGGTACTGGTCCAACGTCATTAACACGCACTCACCGGTTGGTGTCACTGGACAAGCGCTCCACATCATACCCGATAGGTTTCACCGGACATGACTCACTGTCAACACGATGAGTACGTAAGCCAGCAACACATGTACAAGCATACCCCCCCCGCATCATGTTGACAGCAGACTGCCCTAGAGATCAATCGACTAAGAACCATAGGCTTTAGGGGCTTGGGGGTTTAGGCTTTGCACTCTTGCAACTCGGGCTTAGGCTTTAGAGGTTTAAGGTGCTTGCTTTGTCTGGTAAGCTGTGAGGCTGTGTAGCAGAGCAAAGGCATGCGAAGCATGACAGGCTCTGAGACTCTGAGACAAGTGAAGCTCCCGTACGGTTAGGCAGAGAGTGGCAGGCACCAGTAACCACCCCCTTACATCCTGCAGTGTAGTAAACGCAAAAAATACCAAACCTCATAGCCCTGAACCCGTTCCGCTGGGTCCTTCGGAAGAAGGCAGCCCAACAAAGGGTACGTGATGCTCACGCCACCCAGCTGCAAAGTGCCCCTGGGTCGGTGTGTGGGATGTCGTGGCTTTGGCCCATGGGGCAAACTGCCGCTGAAACTTCAAACTGAAATTTCGCCCTGCTCCTCGGACTAGACATCTGACAGCACTCCCCTGCATTGATGCAATGCTTGATGTTTCAAAGCCCCTACCAGACCAGTATGTGCAAAACCCCAAGCCGCCCCTGTCGGGCACCGAGGTGCCTCTTCTCTGCCTTCCGTGGATCATGGGAGAAGCCTCCCAGGACCTGCAGAATGACACGACTTTGCCTCACCGTGTTGCGCTGCCAGTGGGCTGGGACGCAAGTTCAGGGAATGATCCCAGAAAAGCGGGGAAGCCAAGCCTGCAACTTGTATTGTTCGTGTGTAGCAGGCATGACATGAAGGAGTTGGGATCATGCTGCGACACTGCACGTACACTGACAGCAGGAATTCTCAGTAAATACAATATAGTGGAGGTCATCGCAGAACTCGCGTGTACAGCCTACACCCCAAACTGAAAACCCGAAAACATTGAACATTCGGAGGCCTCAACAGTTTTGCCTGGTGGGGCAGGCTCGTCTGCCAGTGCCTGCAGGCGAGATGACTGACCAGCTGCCTCCGAACACTCGGTCAGCAGCGAATTTGTTGGAGCATTGAACTATGTAAATAGTCGTCTAAGTCGACGCTCCAGGGCATGTACTTCCAGCTGTCGAAAGTTCGCGTACGCATTGAAGACTCATTCAAGTCGTACCGGGCACCAAACTCCGAAAATATGTCCTCTGACTGTACTTTGACTTATAGCCCAACATCCTCCCAAATCCCAAGAGTCACTTGCTGACAGAAACCTCAAGCTAAAGTAGCTCATGCGTAAGCGCGCTGCAAAAAGCTGCAAGGAATTTCGGGTGTCGGTAAACTTCTTTGTGAACGTCCCGGCCTCCACGTGCGACTGCAGCTTCTTCAAGCAGGACGCAAGGTCTTGCCACTCGGTTTCCGGGCTCTGGTGCTCGGGCGTTTCCAAACTGACACTTGACTCCTTCGCGAAAGGAACAAGTTCATGGCCAGGGGGGCCCGGAACAGGATGTAGGGCTCATGGCTTTGGGCGTTTACACTAAACTTACCTGCGCCTAAACCCTTACCAGAAAGCCCCCCTAAACCCTTATTGTACCCTTACAGAGGCCGTTCTAAGGGAACCCTTCTAATCCCCTTAACCAAAAGGGGGGCCCGAAGCCCCCACCAATCTGAGGAGTCGCCCCTTTAAAAGGAATATCGTACTGTACCCTGATACTCCCCTTGAAAAAAAGTCGACCCTTTAAAGGAATATAGTACTGTCCCCTGTTTAAACAAGGGCCCGAAACCCCAAAACCACCTGAGGAGTCGCCGGCTCTTCGGAGGATCCCAGAGGCTCGGCTCGCCGCTCGGGCAGGTCTGTCAAGGCGCAGGGATTCGACGGCTTTTGATTTTTTTTTTTTAAGGTGGAGCGGCCCTTTTCTGTGCGGCTTTTGATTTGCGGAGCTTTTGGACTTTAGGGATCAGGGCTTATACAGGGTTTAGAGTTGAGGGTTTCGACTCTCACACCTTGGTTTCAGAGTTTAGGGCTGAGGGCTGCTAGCAGGGTTTGGATGCAGAAGCGGCACGGTTGGGTCTTTGGATTTAGGTTATGAACCTCCGGTCGCGAAGACTCACAGAGTCGGTTCTCTCGTGACATACCTTCTACCTGGGACTAGTGACTAGTTTCGGATTATCAAACTGTCCCGAAGCGGCGAATATAGTACGACGACTACGAGGCTGCTGGATGTGCCGCTTGCAACCTAGTTTGACAGTACGTGTATCTATCACCATTCTATATCCTTGTTCCACGCATGCCAATTATATAGGATCCCTTGCGCTTCGCCCTTGCGCGTTCCTTGGGCGTGCTTGCGCGCGCGAGGGTTTCTTAAGACTATAGGGGTTGTTACTGTGGCTTGTTGACGCTTGGCGGCTTCGAATCGAAGCTTCGGCTGCGGGTACAACAATGGGGCTTCAAGGCTCAAGAAGTTGTGCTGGGTCCTCCATGGCTTTGGGCAGGCGACCTTGCACGCCGTCTTGCGCGCGCTTGCGCCGATCTTGCGCGGAGGATGCCATGTCAGAACCTAATTTTCAACAGTTCGCGACTCTGCTACCGCGGCTTGCAGAATTTGAGAATGAGAGCGCTTACTCCAGAAGCGGAACGTCCTTGGTTTGGGTTTAGGGTTTTATTTATAAACTCAGGAGTTTAGGGCTTAGCGTTTACGGGGTGTTTACGCTCTCACACTCGGACTCGCCGGGTTTAGGGTGCAAAGGCCGGGTTACATACAACGCTGCTGAGTATCACTCTTGAATCAACCTTAACCACAAGCCTTGCGCATAGCTTGCGCTCGCCCTTGCGCGCGATCGAAAGGGTGTGCACTTTTTTAAGCGACCGAGTTTTCGCAAATCGCCCTCCTAGTATTGTCACAAGAGCCCCCCCAAAAGAACAACACTCAGTATATCTGTATATATATATATACCATCTTTAACTCATCCGATTTAAGGCTTGGCGCCGCCTTGGCTGCCTTGACGAGGCTTGGCCACGAAAACGCGGCCAAGAAGGCACGGAGTTCGCACCATGGCAGTCTACGTGCATTGCCGACAAGCGGGCATACCCTGCCTCTGCAATTACGAGGATCGGTGTTTGCCACTGCCGTCATGACAGTCCTTGCTGACGCCCAAATGTGACGAATGGAGCACAGTTGTTGTTACCGTACGTGCTCTTGTTATTGTTGCACTTCTTCAGTGTGGGATCCACCGCTACCGCCGCTGCCTCTGCCTACCTATAGGATCACAGGGTTTTGCAGCTATATCAACGCAGAAATATACTTGTAATGTGATGATTCAGGCTTCCAGTGTTACAGTCGCAAACCTCTCCCAGTTTCAGGAATCATCCGAAGCTCTCTGAGCCGAGAAGTTGGTGTGTACTTTGGCCGGACGCAACAGCGAGGCTTCAGCCTACTTGGAGGTTCATAGGTAGTAAGAAGTAGAGTTATAAGAAGGGTAACTATACTCATAACCCATATTAGGAGACTTATAACCCCACTTATCACTACCTCTGAACCTCCTAGAACTCCCGAAGACTTCCCCGCAAGCAGAAGGACTCTCAGCCCCACTGCGAATAAACAACAACTTCGTGCGGATCGCGAGGGGTTTCTCCTGAGGGCCTTAATCAGCTTGCACAGGACTCCCCCGAATCAACGAAAATGGTTCTAGCGTCCGCCTCAAACCTTTACCGGGAACCTTGATGAACCCATGAAATGTTCGAACCACTATTCAGCACCATTTATGCAACACCACCCTTCAAGTACATGGGGCCAAGGAGGGGCACTAGGTTGCAGGCAATCAGAGTCTTGTTGGTTGACATGTGGCGATGAAGTTGAAAGATCCCAGAGATCTGCGAACCCAGGCTGCAATATCCGGCTGCGGCCTGGAATCGATAATCGATGCCTAGCTTCGCCTGTTTTGCTGCCAGCAGTCTCCTCACGGGACAGTCGGCCTATATGGTGGCCTCGTCTTCTGGGGGGGCAGCCTCTCCCAGCTGCTCTGGATCCAAAGGGTAGACGTCCTCGATCTCCTGGAGGTCAGCTTCAGCATTCGGTGCGTTAGGGCGTGCGCACAACGTGTACTATGTACTCTCTCTCTCTCTCTCTCTCTCTCTCTCTCTCTCTCCCTCTCGCTGTCCGTGCTGGGGCTTTCGATGCACAAACGACTACAGCTGGCACAAGATTCCGCCGTAATTCTCAACTCCTAGAGCCAGCAGCATCCGGCAGCCCCCGAGCGTTCTCCTAGCAGTCGACCCAAGAAGTCCTCGACGGGCGAAACCATCACACATCCATCGTCGTCACTGTCCTGGCGTGCCAAACCCTAAACCCCTATAAACCCTAAACGAAGCGGGCTCTGTTGGGTGTTCGGGAGTTCAATGAGAAGCCATTTCCGGCGCCACGCAGCGCGCAGGTCAACATCGATCGCTGACAGAACAACACAGCCACACGCCGGAATCGCGGCATTGGTCGACAGCAACACTTGTATGTCTATCGGCCGTCTGCTGATTTCAGCAAAAACTATTGCAAACCACACAGCAATGCACAGAGATCGCCGAAAGAGGGCATCATCATCAGTTCCAGATCCCACAACTCTAGGCTAAATCTTACAGAGACTGCTATACTACATACAGATACATTGACATGCATATGTAATAAAGGTTAAGCAATAACTTACACGCCAAACCCATCAAGGCCACCCCCCTGCCCCAAATACCCCAAATGCCGGGCTCCTCGACCTTGACTGGCCCTGTCGGCGCAGATGTATTCTGCCGCAGTGATGCTCTCAGTTGCTCGAGGACCACAGATACACTTCTGAGGCCCATAGACAAGTTGCGCACCTAGGTTGTGGAAGACGGCCGGTATACCGACTGACGGAGAAAAGAAGCAAGAAGCAACCGAACGCACAAGCTTTCCTCTGAAAATGTTGCTGAACCTGGTGCAAGCCACCCTCTGGGTAGTGTCCGAGGAGTCTTGAGAGACCTCCGCGGCGGGCGCGACTGCTGCAGCTTTGGCAGCAGGCTTTCCGGGCCGAGCCGTCGTGGCGGGCCGAGCCCGAGATGGCTCCGACTTTTTGGGCGGCGATGCGGGCGAAGTCGGGGAAGAATCCGAGGAGCCCATGTAGAGTTGGCGCTTGGCGTAGGCGTCGCCAGGCATCTTGTATTGCCGGACTTGGAACGCCTGCAGCGGGGGCATCGACCTTGGAAATCTTCTTGCACTCGTCTCTCCTCTCTCTCCTGCAGCCCCTACACAAGCTTTTAAGCCGTGATAAAGCAGCCACGCGGTGTGCTGGCAAAAGGGCGAACTTTCCGTAGATTGGTGTGAAGCCACCGACGCTGCTGCACTGTGTCTCCCAACGGCTCCTTCAGTGCAAGGATTTGGCTCAAGCCCGACGGCCCCAAACCTGCTAGTGTTGGGGCATGAATAGCTGAGTCGGGTTCGGGGATATATTGATGATGCCGACCGCGCATATAAAGGGGTATGTAGACCTAAAGAGTTCTGCACACTGGGAAGACGCCTGCGCTACGGCAGCTGAAGGACAGCCATCAATTAAGTACCAAGGGAAGATACATGACAAGGTAGTCAGCTAGAAGCATGATGTAATACTCTTAGTGAATCCTTTCAACAATGCCGTACTCATGATGACGAAAGGGAGTAACTCCGACCCCTGTTTCCCAATTAGAAGCCCTAAAACCTGGAGGTGCAGACACGCACGAACACAGACCAAAATACCAGGCTCCTGGATCACTCTTTGGTGCATTCCCAGGGCGGCCCGCCCGGGCTTTCACACGTGGGGCAGTGGCTTCTGGCGAACCTGCCGACAGAGATTTCGGGACTGGAGAGATAGTTTCCTCCAAGGTCTGTCTAAAGGACTTCTGAAGCAGCAGGAGGAGGAGCGGGAGTGTGTAGCAGTAGGAGCATTCAAGTAGGAGCAAAAGCAGGAGTCGCAGTCGGATTTGAGTAGTAGCACTAGTAGGAGTGGTAGTAGCAGTAGCAGTAGCAGCAGCAGGAGCAGGAGCGGGAGCAGGAGCATGAGCAGGAGCAGCTGCGGCAGCAGCAGCAGCAGCAGAAGCAGTCCAGCAGCAGCAGCAGCAGTTGTGGTGGTGGTGGTAGTAGTAGCAGTAGTAGTGGTAGTTGTTGTTGTTGTCGGAGTAACAGTAGTCGAAGAAGCCGAAGCGGTAGTAGCAGCAGCAATTGGTGGAGCAGTGGGTGTAGGAGGAGTAGCACTGGGAGCAGGAGTGGCAGTGGCAATGGCAGTACAGTAGCAGTAGCAGTAGCGGCAGTGGAAACAGAAACACTAATCATAGCCGTTCAAGATAACACAGGAGATATCCTGGTATCGCGGTAAGTACAGAGCCCTCAGCGATGAATCCAAACATGCATAAACCTTGGGTACGGCCCCCACCCAGTAATAGTTGAATAATATTCATAATATAGATATATGAGGACGTTTATAGTAGCCTTATTGTAGACTCTTACTGTAAGGGGCAGTACCTAGCATCAACCAATCAATTTTGGACCGGGTGCGTTGGCGCTTCGGCAAGAAGCGAGAGGCCAAACGGTTGTGAGCTGCGCGCTCCGTCTGGAATGGTTAGGACCAAAGTTTGCGGGCTTTAGACACGGCGGACAGGGCGTTTGGGTTTCAGGGTTTGGGGTTGGGGGTCTCAGTGTTTGTATACCTTGCCCGTGAAATTGACTACAAAAACAGCCATAATTGGAGGCTCGGTGGTTCTGCTTCCTGCATGCCGCACAGACAGACGACTCACTCACTCAGTCACTCACACACTCGGACGGACGGCTCGGTCTCTGTGTGTGTGTGTGCGCGTGCCTGTGTTTGTGTGCGTATGTGGTTTGGTTTGTGTGCGTGTGCGTTGTGCATGCATTCCTGTGAGCGTGCAATCAAGTGGCTAAGTACATGAATAAAAAGCTGCTGAAGACAAAGAGGTCAGGGAAAAAGAAAGGAACCCATATATGTATGCACTTATAACTGAATTAATTACATTTTATACACACACATATACATATATCATGTACCATTGCTTAACTCGTTTATGCTTGTACTTACTTCGATGTTCATTTACGCACATTTACCGTGTGTACTTGTGCTTAATACTTTCTTTGACTGTCTGTCTGTCTGCATGTGTACCGCTACCCATTACCTGTGTGTATATATATATATATATATATATATATATATATACATAGGTTTCCAACCTACATATATACATATATACATATACATACACATATATATATATATATATATATACATATATATATGTATATATATATATATATGTATATATACATGTATATATACATATATAAAATAAATACACACACACACCTTTATACATGTACATATACAGACCCATACACATAGACATAGACATACTTACATACAAACATACAAACATACATACATACAAACATACATACATACATATATATATACATATATACATACATAAATTAAACACGTGACAGTATGTATGTGAGAGAGAGAGTGTGTGTGTCTGTCTGCCTGTGTGTGTTTTCACAACAAGCAGGTGTAAGCATGCATGCATGTATGTGACAACAAGCATCTCTACGCAGGTGCAGAAGAAACACGTGGACGCACACATGCCCTCACGTACACAACTGGAGTGGCTGGAGTGGCAAATCTTCGAACACCTCTTGCAGCAAGTACAGTCACAAAGTACACATCGAGCATGCACAAGCAGGGCAGCCAGCGAGCACATGAAAAGTGGACACATCGAACTCGCATGGCTGGGTGCAGTTTTTGGAAGGCACAAAAGATCGGCCATGGTCTCAGCTCTCCAAACTCTGCATCCACACTTCACTCAACGAGTTTGACAAGTCTGAAGCCCAAGCCCTCCAACTCAAAAACCCGACACCCTGAATCCCTTAAACTCTGAAACCCCAAGCCTTAAACCCTGAAGCCCTAAAGACTAGCAGTGCAGCCTCGCCCCAGATCATGGGCTCGGAATGACCGGATCGAGGAGGCGAAGGCCGTCTGCGGGGCGCAGGTGCCTTGGAAAGATGTCACTTCTTTAATTTTATCGTTTCGGCAGGGTTTTTTGACACTCACTCTCGGACAAGCCTGGCAAGGCCTACTACTTCACGGCAGGGTTTAGGGTTTAGGGTCTCTGGGTACGCGTGACACCGGCGTATACGCGCTGAAGATCTGAGGGCAGATGTCACTTCTTTAGGGGCTGACGTCTTTTGTTTAGTGGCGCCTGGAGTTTGGGTGGGGTGTCGGGTGGAGGGCAGTGCCTTAACAAACTTGAAGGGTGGTTTCTGGGCCCATCGAGGCGGTGACAAAGCATGCAGCAGTCAAGCTTCTAAAGTTAACCGGGGAAACAACTCCAAAACGGGGCCATCTTTGCCACCAAGGTTCCCTCTCTCTCTGTCCCAGGCATTCGAAACTACCAGGGTTCCCTAAACCCTGAAACCCTAAATCCTAAGCCGCAACCAAGGTTCCCGTCCGTCAACCTCGTCGAAGCGATCGTGCCTCCACGCGCCGTCAGGGACGGGGCTCCTTGGCCTGGGCCTGGGCTCCTTTCGACTTGCCGCCACATCGCGAGGAGATTCACCATCCTCGCTTTGGGGTTTAGGGGTTGTAGGGTTTAGGGGTTTAGAGGTTCGGGATTTAGGGTTTAGGGGTTTAGGGGTTATGGGGTTTAGGGGTGGGGGGTTTAGGGGTTTAGAGGTTAAGGATTTAGGGTTCAGGGGTTTAGGTATAGGTTATCGGGGTTGGGGGGTTTAGGGTTTAGGGCATGGGGCAGAGTCTTTCCTGGGACCTGCTGAATAGTTCGAGCAGCAGGCAGGGTGCTATGCCTAGGGTTTACCTGTGGCCGAAAAGACCTACCTTTTTTTGGGTTCCTTATTATGGTTTCTATATATAGTTCCTTAAAAAGGTAGGTCTTTTCGGCTACAGGTAGGGTTTAGGGTTTCATCATCCTCTCTGGAAAATAGAAATCCGTTACGGAAGCGAACTAGACTCCCTCGTGGTCCAAACAGATTGGCTGCAGCAGCAGGCCCTGGAAAAGATTGGCAGCTTGCGCTGGAAAAGACACATGCAAATGCACAGACAGACACGGACCAACACTCATAATATAGGGCCCCTAATCACTAGAATACGATTTTGAGGTGCATTATTCTATAATCCTAATAATTAAGGAGCCCCCACAAAGTAGTATAGGTAAGTATTTACGCCTCTATAGCAACCTGACATCCCAGAAAGCCGTCGTAACTTCGTGCTCAAGGCTCCCATCGGTCATCATGTCCCCACGTAAACTTTTCGCGCTCTGTCTCTGTCCAGAATGAACTGAGATGCCGGGGGGGCTCCTGAGTCGGAGACGGCATACCGAGCAAAGTCTTCGGGGTGCTTTCGAGGTCCAGGGTTTGGGGTTATTGTTAGGTAGGCTTCGGTTCTTTGGGGGCGTTGAAAGGACCGACGTGCACCTTCATGTCAGCGGTCGCTTTATCATAGTTCTCATCTGGTTTCTAAGGCAGCATGTCACAATGCAGAGCCACAGCCAGCCCCAGTGCTCTGTCCGAGGGCTCGTACGAATGCTCAAGTTTTAGGCTTCAAGTTTCAAGCCATGTTGCAACAAAGGGCCCTTAGAAGCAGCCTCAAGTTAGATTTGTTGTTGACAGGTCGGCTCTGTTCACACCTGCAGGCAGTACTTGGAATGTGGTAGTCCGGTATGGCGCAGCTTGCAAGTTGCGACGAGTACCTACCTTCAATCCCAAACAATAGAACTGAATTGCAAGCCTCCAAACCCTAAATCCCAAAACAACAGCAGATATAGTCTCATATAATAGTTCATAAAATATACAGTTCTAAGATTTGGTAATAATCTTCTATATATATATATATATAGCCAGTATAACCAGGCATTATTATCAATCTAACCATATATATATATATATATATACATGTGTATATATATATATATATATATACACATTATAAGAAGGATCCCAGCAGCTTCAGGCCGGTCGTCGAGCTCAGCGCGACAGCTTCTGCCGGGCTCCGACCCTCCGCGCTTTGCAGGAGAGGCCTCTCGAAGATCCCCAGGTTCGGACAGCTTTAGGGTTTAGGGCTTTAGGGTTTAGGGTTCATGTCATGAAAGACCAGCTGAGTAAACAGGCCTCTTTGTTCAGGGTTCAGGGGTTCACGCTCTCACACTCGGACTCCGCCAGGCGAGGTTCGTAGGTCGGCTTGGTTTAGGGTTTCAGGTTTAGGGGAATAGAAAAAAGATGTGGGGGTTTAGGGGTTTAGGGTCCCGGTCCGGGGATTTTATTTTCGTGTTACAAATCGCCTTACATAAGACTGAAAGGGCAAAAACAAATCATAGAGTCAAGGGCGCGACCGCCTGATTCATCTCAAAGCGCACAGATTGAAGGCTTGGGGTGTGAGGATCCATGTACATATCATCTGCCTAGCTACCTATCAGCCTAAACAGCAATCTATCGACCTATCTCCTTTTCTACCGACCGACCTGCTTAGCAATCTGCATATCTATACAGCTCCACGTCTCAGGCTGCAGGGTTGAGACTTAATTACCATCGACGGTCTTGCGCTTTCAGGGCTCAAAGGCGCCGACTTTGGACGTGGCACAGCAACTATTCAGGGGTTAAGGTGTGCAGGTCGTGTAGCACAGCATACGCACATGGTCGGTTCGCACGTACGCATGCATGTACCTATGTATGCAGCTATTCACACATGTCTATTTGTTTGTAACACCACGTATGTATGTACGCAAGTTGGTAAGTCTTTTGCAAACACATGCATGCATGCATGCATATCTATGTCGACCCAGCATTGGGTTGGGTGGGATGCTTGGAATGTGGAGAAAAATGTGCATACCGGTGTAGGATGACATACGCATTGGTTCACAACATACAGCTACGTACTACCAACGGGGTTCAAGGGGTCTGTTGCTCTGTTGCTCGGCACATGTATATTGGCCGTCTCAGACCAGATCTTCCAACTTCGTGGCATTTCTGCATATTTCTGCTTCTGCTACAACTACGGCTACTTATGCTACTAGGGCGAGGACGACCACTGACAACAGCGATGCTGATCAGCAGGACATTCCTTCGGACTTGCACTGATTTCCGGATTCGGATGTAAATTTGGGTTGGCTTACGGTTAGCCACATTCTTTTGCTGACGAGACACTTCATTCTCATGCGAAGGCGAATCCTCGGCCAACTCTGCTGCCAACGACTAGAAGTAGTAGTAGTAGTAGTAGTAGTAGTAGTAGTAGTAGTAGTAGTAGTAGTAGTAGTAGTAGTAGTAGTAGTAGTAGTAGTAGTAGTAGTAGTAGTAGTAGTAAGCCAACAACTAGTTAGTTAGCTAGATATCTAGCCAGCTAGTTAGTTAGCTATAAGTACCTAGTCAGTTGTACACAAGTCGTACCAAGAGCTGTAAGCAAAGGAGGATGAGGACATTGCAGACACTCCACAAGTAGAACATGTGTGGCTTGCCTTGGCAAAACTCTTGATGCAAACAAGGGCTCCGGTTCACTTTCCTCTTCGAATTGTTCCGCTGCGGGAGTCTCCCCATTCACGTCCTGGGAAGCATCCCGCTGGTAGCTCGAAGCCCTCATGCCCGGGGAGGCTCTCGGAGGCTTAGTGATTAATCCGACTGCTGGGCTCGATGCGATCTCCGAAATAATTACGCTCGATGGACCAAACCCCATCCACCAGAACACATAAGGAACAGAGACGTAAAATTTTGGAGTCAAATCATGACTTTGCCAAGCTGCTGTTGGGTTCCGGGAAGGACTGGGTTGTCTTTCGGGGGTTCTAGCCTTGTGGAAGTCTCGATTCTTAGAGGGTTTGCGAACCCAAACGAGAACAAGTATGTAACACATCTAGATGTGACCATGTGCTAAAAAAAGAAACCAAGGTAAATAGGCAAAACCTGACTCCGGGAGGGGAGAGAGCCCACAATCAGGAATTAGAAACCAAAGGGCCGTCTGCTTGTTTTTCCGTCGCCCTCCGCTGTTGTTGCGACCTCAGAGAAGCACGAAGAAACTTCGGGTTGCAGAAATCGGGGACCCAGAATCTCTGATTCTCTCAGCTTTTTTTTTGTCGCCTCTTTTCCTTCTGCATGATGTTCAGCTCAGGGTTTCAGCACTCACAACTAGACAAGCAGGCGAGGATCAGGGTTTAAGGTTTGGGGTTTAGGGAGATTGCTTCAGGGTTTCCACTCGCACACTCAGGGAAGGCATGGATTCAGTCGAAGCCTCTCGGTTTCCCCTCCCACTCGGCAGGCTTGGCTTCGCTTCGGGCGCTACTGTTGATGATATAAATCCTGCATTACCTTAAGGACCCTAAACTATGGAAATTATGGTATATTCCTTATTATGGGCAATGCAGGATCTGCATCATCAACCGTAGGGTTTGGGATCTTGCCTCGAATTGACGTGGGAGGCTAAGCTTAGTTGCCAGGATCCTGCTACCTGCGCAGCCATGGACGGCTGTTAGTGCGACAAGGCAGACACTAAGCTTAGGCAAGAAACAGCAAACTCGAGTGTATGAGGGATAGAGTTACAGCTCGATTCAGATGGTTGTGCAGAATGCAGGGCGCATAGAACAGTGTTGCTTGGTTTCGTTGCTTCGGGGTTCCATAAAAAGAGTGGATCTCATAGTTGTCGTTCTTGGTTAACCACTGTTTTGTCAGCGACGACCTACAGTCTTGATTCTCGCGGCTTGCCCCGATGCTGTTAGGACTCGGCACATGGTCTCATGTATGCCGATATCAGACTTAGCAGATCCACGACCACATCTTTATGGGCTCTAGACTAGAGAATGCTGCAAACCTGGGCAAGGGCCTGAACAGTCGATACACGCGCAGAAGCGGCTGTGAAGATTTTCCGAAGAACAAGACCAAGAGTCCCTGTCTCTCGTCTGGATCCCGCTGTGAGAACATCTTGCGCAGCAGACCTATTCCCTGTGCATAGCGAAGGCACGTCCTTTGCCCTTGCGTATGGGCTCTGGAGGGGCAACTGGTGCAGCACGAGGCAACTTCCAGTGTGCGATTTCTTCGGCACCTGAGCTGCATCGCAGCTGCATGGGTCACGAAAGGCTACATGAATCTCTCTCTCATCTCTCTTGCCACTAGCTCTGTCGCGTACCGATGCTTGGCAACACAGCCCCTCGCCTCAGATCAGACGCCCTGAGCCCAATTTGAGTGGACCCTCAGAACAAAAATGTCTGACATAGCAGAAGTGCAATTCCGAGAAGCATCGGAAGCCATGTGTAAGAGCATGCCCATATTCATGGGACGCATGACAACCTTGGCCGTTTCGAGTTGTAAGTGGTGTGCTTAGAGTCGTCATGGGATAAACGCTTCGAGGTAGCCTCCCTCTGCTAACCCGCAACTCCATGCGTAACCACTTTCCAGAAAGCAGGACGATACCCGATATCCAAGACTTGACCTCAATCTTGGACCTTTTACACACTCAACGCGGATTTAAGTGTCTTTTCGGTTTCGAGTGCTACCGTCCGGTACGAGTGCTGCGCTGGTGTGCGTTGGAGAAGAGTTCCTGCAGCAGATCGACCTCTGAACGTTCTACTCAGCCCCTGCTGTGCATCCACACTGTAGGGTTACTAATTATGTATCTCGTAGGTGCCGTGAAAGGAGCTACAAGCGCAGGTATTTGGGGTGCGTGTTGCAACAACACATGCTGGTGCATACATATGCACGAGTACTGAGTATCGACAGACGTCCCTATGTTCGGCCTTCTGTGTACATGCGCGCAGCCGATGCATGTGTCTGTATGTTTTTCAGCAACTTCTGCTGGGTTGTGTCAGGCACTCCCCTGACGAAGACGTCCATGTTTTTAAATCCCAGGGCCCCGTGGCATTCTTCAAACTCCTACACATCACGCAACACTCTTCCACTGGGCGGTGTATTTGGGTATTGTGCCAAACCATGAAGACAAAGCGTCCCTGGCTTGTTCGCGAGTCCCGGTCTTTCTTTGTGGTAAACATCCGTGAATGAATTAAAGCTGGAGGGCGGGATATGCGGCTTGTCGGGTCCTGAACTTAATCCTCCCGGACTCCTCCCTGACCCGAACTCGGAAAATAAAGGAAGTTCGGCCGCAGGACGTTTGCAGCAGTATCCACCGAAGTCCTCGGTCTTCGAAGCCTGCGTTGTTTTCTTTCAGGGAAGGCCCTCATGAGGGCCCTTATTGATTCAGGAAATGCGTCCTTCCGGGCCATGTAGTACTGTACGAGTCAACACTAGCTCACGCGCCAACCTGATTCGTCTGTGCTCCAGCAGGGACACGAGCAAAGGCCAGGAACACTTTGACGCAAGCTCGGGCCGAATATCGTTGGGGCAATTCTGATCTGTTCTTTCGCATCTCTACACACGAAAGCTGTAGGTTTCAGAGTTTGGTTTGGGGGCTTGGGGCTTGAACGGCCTGGCCCCTGGCTCCCAGCATCAATGTGATCATAGCCCTTCCATCACCCATAAGCCCGTACCAAACCGTCACTCAAGTGCCTCGTCGAATCCCCGAAGTTCAAGTCTCGCCCTCCACTGGGCATAAAGCACCTCCCTGTATGAACTTAGGGGTTAAGGGGTTTAGGGTTTAGGGTTATGCAAGTGAACCCGTCCGGTAGGGCGTGCCATGTACTGGCAGGCCGGGTTGGCGCAGGCGAAGCGTTCGACCTCGGAAGAGGCATCTGGAATCCCAGCAAGCATGCACCCAGTGAGGCCCACAGGGTTTAGTTGCAGCCTTTGTGCACGGCTTTTGTAGCTATAATCTCCCGTCTAAAGCCCCAAAACGCTGAAGCGCTCAAGGGTTTAGGGACACTCTTGGCTCCAGATCTAGGACCACTGAAGTGAAACTTTGCTTCGGCCCTTAGTCCCATCTCGAGATCGTATGCATGGAGTGCATAGCTTCTTTGCCCCTTTGGGGTGAGGCGGGTATTCTACAGTAACAGCATAAGCTCTGCATGGGCACTACATACATAGGTTAGCTTTGACGAAAGTGACAACCACAAGCTCTAGTTAAGTCGTTGATCTTACAGTACATGATACTCGTCGGCTTGTACAGTCCCAAGTCCGACAAGAAATGCTTGATACGAGCGAATTGCAACCCTTCACTTTCAAAACATCAAATTCAGGCGACAGCATACCAAAGGAGGGCGAAAGTTTAAGGGTCGGGGGCCAGGGATAATCATGGATCCAAAGACTTAGCCGCGAAATTTTGGATCTCTCTTCGTCAGACCAGGAACCCAAGCCAAACTATGTTGGCAAGAGGTTGGACGGTGTGTGCGAGGGGTCGGTGGGTGAAAGGCCCAGCCGGAATACAAGCCCCCCCCCCTCCGATGCTTTGCTGCCGTGGCGCAGGCATTGCGCCCAAATTTCCGCGCAAGTAGTGCACCCAGGAGGATGAATTCAGCACATTGTCGCAGCGCCGTTTAGGGCCTAATTAGGGCCTTTGGGGTTGAGGGCTTGAAGCGGGGCTTCAACTCCTCCAGACCGACTGGCACTTATGGGCCCCAATCCGGTCGGGCGCCCTCGTGTGTGCTGTGGTGCAGGATTCTTGCCGTGTTAGTGCTGGCTTGAAGATTGAGGAATGTTTTTGCCGGCAGGTAGAGTAGTTTGGGGCTTCTGGGTCACAGCTTTGGGCTTCAGGGAATGCGGTCTGAAGGTTCAGATCCTACGCTCGAACCAGAAAGGCATGCCGGGAGCTGCATTCAACCTCCGAGGTCCTCATAATTGCAAGAAGGGTGGTATGAGATAAAAAAAAAACAGGTTTAGGGTTTTGGGTTTAGGGAATTATACCACACAATTATGTATAGGGCCGCCCAAAAGCATCGGCGAAACTGCGCAGGGACCACCTGGATGACAAAAGCCGGGAGGATGGACTGCCGCTTGAGCCTGCAGGGGCAAATCCCGGCCAAGTCCTACTGCTACTTGCCGTGGGCCTCTGAGACTTGAGATCACATCTTGGGTTTTCTTGAATGAGCTATATCTGAAGCTAGCAAACCTCCGTTATCGCAACTGTAGCAAGAGCGAACCAGACACTGTCTTGTGACTCACCCTGCTCTACTCCTCTAAACCCCTTGGCTACTGAAACCTCGACTCAAACCCTAAATCCTCTAAACCCTAAACCCTACTCTACTCCCTCAAACCCTTAACCCGGAGACCCTACTCTACTCCTCTAAGCTTTTACCGCAAGCTCTGTCCGCGACTCTGCTCTACTCGGGCCTGGCAGCAGCGGCCGCCACCTCGGGAGCACCACCAGGGGACGCCTCGAAGAAGGTGAGCGTCTGACGAAGGAGATGGTAGGACGACCTCGGGCTCCGGGCTGAGGGGCTTTAGGGGGCTTCGGGTTTATAGGCTTATAGGCTTTAGAATTCAGAATTTAGGGCACAGGAACTGAAGGTTAATAGTTTGATTGTACTAACGACCTCAGACTCAACAATCGTGGCCCAAAGGCCTGTCGAGCTGAACATCCCTAAGCCCTTCGTGACCCCTGCAACAAAAAGCTGGACCCGAAACCCCATAAACTTGAAAAGTCGCTTCGCAGATCCTATGAACGCCCTGAGAATAAAACCATAAGGTAAAAGCCAGAAAGTTGGAATATGATTATCCTAAACCCTTTATGGTAAATTATAGGGTGTCCTACCATGAAACCAAATTCCAACTTTCTGGAGTTCCCTTCACGAGCGTGGGGAGGTCTTCGACGCCGGGCTCCTGGCGTTGGAGGTCTGCCACTGGCGTAGTCCACAGGATCCACAAAGCCTGGGGCTAGAATCGGGTTGTGGGGTATATCTATGCATATATATATATATATATATGTATATAATTATGTGTGTATATATATATATATATATTGAATTATACTACATGTACAATAAAGAACACCGAAATAGTACGTACTGGCACATGTTTAGGCCCCTACAATAGCTTGGGACGTATGAGCTTGGCGGTTCTTATGGTTGAATGAGCAGCAAGCATTTTACGCTTGCCTTTTACTTGAAGTTGCAGTTGCCTACCTTCGCGCACTCCCACGGGTCGGCTGGGCTTCGCTGGGACAACACAGAGGTCCAAAAAAAAACAACATAGACCAACTGTTGCAGCTCCCATGCTGTCGCGCAAAAGTTGAGGCCGTTTCCAATTTGCATGCACGAGGTTGCATGATGTACTCCCGTACACATATGGCTTGGCACGCTGTCATACGCTGTCACTGAAGCTTCGGAAACGTTGGGTTGGGCGGCGAGATATTGAGGGTCCCGAGTCTCGGATGATTGCAACCTTTGACAGCTTTGATCCTTCCCTGCGCCTGCAGAGCACGACAAGCATCTGCCGGCATGCAGGCCCTGTGCCACGTCCGAACCAAGAAAGCATCCCTTCCAAGCAGCACTGAAGCTGCTTCGTCTCCTCCTGCATGGCTGCTGAGGCGAAAAGCTCAGGGCTTCGCAGCTACAGCGTGAGGTGTGTCCCCAAGCATGGAAAAAAGAATAGCTCCTGTCTTCGGGCACCGACTGCTTCGGGTCTGGGACACAGAAGAGGCGCCACCATGACAGAGCGCAAACATTGATTGGCCTACAGCTTTTCTTCAGGAATCTTGGGGAAATAGATGCAAGAAACCAGAACCCTATAAGCCTCCTACTATGCATATAAGAGAGCCCTAGTGGCCCTAGTTTATCCCAAGCCGTTGCCTCCACCACCGCCCAGCACTTCTCAGCAGGCGAATTGCTCCGAACATCTGTCCGGAAGAGCCAACCAGCTCCTCGACGTTGCTATGGGTTATGGGTGCTATATTTGAACATACGATTAATACGGATGTTTGGGGGGTGCTTGTACATATTCGTAAACTAGTTCCGCAGCCTAGTTGTCCCTTTCTACCTGCCGCGAATTTAGAAGAGCCCTACCTCGGTCATGCCCATACCTTCCTTCAGCCCCGAACCCCAGACATCCCCAAGTCGCCAAAACCTCAACCGATCAAGAATCCTTAGCATAAGTCTTGTTGGGAGCTTTGCAGATACCCTCATTGGAATGCACATAGTCCTAGTAACCCTACTATAGATCCTCTATAGAACCCCTTTAAGGATCCCTTTAAAGGGACGTTATTCTAACTATCAAGGCCCCTCTATTAAAGAACCCTACTGTAGATCGATCCCTTATCGAACCCTCTGGGTCAGGTCCGTGCACTTCCGACAGGCTCCAGCCTTGTCGAGAAGCTTCGCGGCTGAGGCGGGTTTGCCAGGACTCTGCCTCCTGACACCGGGAGAACTCGGTTTTGTTTAGGGTTTAGATTTTTTGCCCTCCTACCTAGCAAGGACGAGGCCAGCATTGCAGGGTTTAGGGTTTAAGGTTTAGAGAACTCAGCAGGGAGTTTTTCTAGCAGTGGGGGGGGGGGGTTAGGCTACGGGGTCAGAGATGACTCAGGATTATGGGGCTCAGCTACAAGTAGGGTCTAGGCTTTGGGGTAGGCTTCTCTCTAAACTGTGGAATAGGTCGAGCCTTAGCAAGGTAAGGACCTCGAGGGGATCCGATCTTATTTTGACATAGGGGCCTTAATAGTTAGAATAGGGTTTGGGGCCCATGAAACTATAATTGCTATAGCGAACCCCCACAGTAGTATAGGTGATTATTTAGGCCCCTAAGGCCCTAAGGTTACGGATCCCTCCAAAGATGGCTTCCTGTGCTGAGCCCCATCCTCGTCGACTCGGTCTGCAACGAAATCCCAAACATCTTTGCAGCTAGTCCCTTCAAAGCCTGCCCCAAGCCCAAGCCATAAAACCTGCATATATATAAATAAATATATATACATATAAATGTGTACAGATAGATAGAGGTATACATATATACATGTACGTATGTATATATATATATATATACATATGTACTTGTATACATATAGTTAATGCCTAATCTCCGACACCTATAGCCCTCAAGCCCAGGGACTCGCCGCTGGCCTCCGCTGTCTCCACGCAAACGATTATCCGCTCACCTGCGTGCAGAAAGCGTGTGGCTTCCTGCAGACTGATTCCAGAAACCCACCTACACGCACAAACACACACACACACACACACACACTCTATCTCTCTAATTACATACAGTTGGATAGGATAAGTGTATATCTGTCTATAGCTGTCTATGTGTACACAAATAAATAAACATTTGTATATATATATATATATATATATATATATGCACCCCCCCCCCCAAGATCTACGCTTTCGTGGTTCTTGGGGCATGGGGAGCACGAAACACTGCTATGCTCGAAAAACTCCAAAATTTCTAACCCTGAAACTCACGAAACACTGTAATGCTCAAAAAATTCCAAAAATTCTAAAATTCTGGCATCTATGGCCAGGACGGGGGCAGATTCCTTAAAAGTTTGGAATTTTTGAGCATAGCAGTGTTTCGTGAGCTTTGAGGCAATGAAAAGTTGATTTTTTTTGAGCATTACAGTGTCTTGTGAGTTTTAAACCACGAAACACTGCTATGCTCTAAAAAAATGAGCTTTGAGGCTGTGAAAAGTGTATTTTTCTTGAGCATTACAGCGTTTTGTGCGTAGGACATGAAAGGAGCTCTCTGTATTTCGTAGTTCATAAATCAAACGCTAGAGCGATTAGGCCGCATCAGAAGCGGACGCTTCACGAGCAGCGGGAAAGAGATGGCCCACGCACCAAGACGTCTTCGTAAAAGAGACAATAGTATTCTTGTTATTACAGGAATGTTGTTGAATAACACACCATAAAATGCAAAAATACACGAGGTTTTTTAGTATTACATGGACAAAACTAGCACGCCCTCCAGCATTTCAGCTTCTCCAACACATAAACTACCATAAATCCTCGGCCGAGATTCGGCGCCAGATTTTTACACATATCAAACCCGCGCCTTGCAGCAGCACGGTTTGCATGCACATGAGGTAAAGCACGATTGTATCGGTATTTGCGGTGTTTTCGGTACATATGAGTAGTCGACCAATGTAGAGAAGCAACCTGTGGAATCGTGTGGAAGAGGCGGGTGTAGATCTTGGGGGGGGGGGGTGGGGGTGACCAGATATATACATATATATATATATATATATATACACAGATATGTATCTGTATTTGTTTTACCTATCTATGCATCTATCTGTCTCCGTCTCTCTCTCTCTCTCTCGCTGTCTCCCTGCTGCATGGACGGCCGGACCTCCATGGTGTTGTCTCAGAGTCGTGATACTGCTGTGGGTTTGGGCTTGAAAGGAGCAGCGTCCTCCACAGGTGTTAAGCACACCTCGCATGCATCCATACATGCCCAATATCCGTCTATTGATGTGTCTATCCCTCTCCCGGTGTATCTTTGTCTCACTGTCTATCTCTGTCTCTCTCTCTCTCTCTCTCTCTCGCTCTCTCCCCCTTCCCTCCTTCCCGTCCCACCATGTCCCTCCCTCCCTAATGGCTTTCATGCAAGCCCGAATCCGGTGCCGATCCTTACAGCTATACATGATGGCTATATCTATGTGTACAACCCCATCACACCCAAACGGGCAAAAGTGGTCCGGCCTGAATCCGAGAAGCTTTTCCAGAGCTCACCGATCGAGCGAACGTCTGCGATTTTTATGAGGATCCAATGCGTGTCTCAGCTCGGTTTGGCCCTGAACCGCCACCCTGAGGAAACTCAAAGGCCCGGGGCTACCTGTCACGCCGTCGGTGGAGGGCTCGCAAGCCAACTCGAAGCCTAGGGTTGAAGTTCCAGGCTGAGAGTTTTTGACATTGCTGGTTTTAACGGGGGTTCGTGATATCCGTTCAGGGCTCGCGGGGTCTGGGGTTCAAGAATTCTGATTCAGGCGAAAAGTCTAGAGGGCCTTCCGGCCCAGACCCTATGCCCAAAAAGCCCTGAAGCCTCAAACTTGTAATGCGAAACTCCTGAATCCAACGGCTTGCTCAACTCTGCGGTCGAGATGCCGAAAGCACCCACCGACCCCAGCCAGGTAGCCACCTTGGCCGTTACAGCAGGCGTTTAGGGTGGACCGGATCTGAGTCCATTTTTTGTTACTCGCACTCCTCCGGGTCCAATTAAACGTCCGTTATGCAGGGTTGTACATGATTATCGCTTCTATTCTGAACGGAAGGATGTCGAGTTATGCTACTGTTTATTCTGCTTGTGACATGCATGTGTTCGTCACGGCTCGCTCGGGGGCTTTCGAAGGCCTAAAACAATTGATACCAGTGCCAGTACCAGGGTTTCAATCAATATCCAGCCGGTGATTGAAACGATAGACAACATGCAGGAACAACAAAAAACAACACGAGCTCGAATTGCACCAATGTTAGAACAGCACTATGAACATTAGGGCCCATCGTCAATACAGTCTCATACCATGAGTTAAAAGAGACATGAGCGAAGACTGTGGCAACTTTACTCAAAGTCTCGCCCACCTCTGAAGCAAGAAGCGAAGTCAGCTGCATCACCTGCACGGTGACTAAGCCTTTTATGGCTCAGGTTTTGCGGCTTCAGAGGGTGTAGGCTTCACTGTTTGGGCACTTACGGGCTTGAAACTTGTTGGTATTGTAAAGGGGCCTACTGACAGCTACGAGGTATTACAAGTTGGGGTTGCAAGCGAAAAGAGCTTTGGTGTACCTTAGCCTTAGCTTTGATGCCCGAGAATCCATATGGGAGATTCCGAAAATAGGGGACCCTAATATAGTACCCTACATAGTAGGATCCTTATTATAGGGACCCCCAATATCAGGTACCCCTATTTTCGGAAACTCCCATATGTACTAGACTCTTTCGAGGAACCCGGCCGCCCCAACCTTGAGGCCTCAAAACACTCAAAGAGTGACTCAAAGAAGCGCGCTCACGAGATCAACCGTTGCTGGATTATGCCAGCGGGTCATTTGGAACTCGCCCTCAACCTCAGCAAAGGAACCCTTCAACATGGCAGGCTTTGCGCCCTTGTGTCCCACATGGTAAAAGTAGGGGACCCCAATATAGTACCCTAAATAGTAGGATCCTTATTATAAGGACACCAGAATAAGGTACCCCTAATTTTCGGGAAAACTCCCACATACTCCTCGAATACTCGGCGTACCTCACAACCCGGTAAAGGCAAAGCCGTCTCGGGGGCATCACCCGCCTGGGCCAGAAGGCAAGAAGAAAGTACAGGGTTATCCTAAGCCATTATGGTGTATAACCGGGCTTATCTATAGGTTCAATGAAGGGCCTCAAAACTTATAATGAAGGTTGACTATGATTTTGCATGATGATTATAAATTATCAGGCTTCATAAGGAATAGTAATTATTCCACGTTGATCTTCTTTTCTATCGTAGCTACAGGTCACAATTGCACGTCGCCCTCCACAGGGTGTTCCGTATGGTCACTGCACCACCACGAAAGCCAAAAATATCAACAACGTCACAGCCACCATCAGCATCAACATCATCAACATCATCAACATCATCATTCCTATCATGATGCTTACTATCCGCAGATTCGCCGCATCAGTAATTTTGTTGTCGTCGATGTGATCGATATCATCATGCTGCTATGTCCTGAACATGTAAGGGAAGCCCTGTGACTTTGAGATGCGGCCGTGCGAAGCAAACTTGGACACACGTCGCCCACTAGCTTCTTCAACACAAACCCTGCCCGTTCTCCACAGTCCCGGGCGAACCAAGCTCCATCTTCCGTGAAAGAGGGCAAAACCAGACTAGACAAAGGACATGCCTCCAAAGCTACACAATGGGTCTAAGGATGTATCGGGTTCCCGGTATATACGAGTAGTATATCGGATTCGAAGTGTTGCCAAGGTCGCAGCACAGATGTCCTAGGCCCCCCTAACACCCCGAAGCTAGGATGGCCCTCAAGGTCAAAAAGGCCTTGAATGGCGATCTGAGAGCGCTTCAACCCTCGAAGCTGAGGAGGTCCCTTCAAAGAGATGAAAGCATATTACATTATGACATATCTATATATGTATAGATATATGGATGTATGTGTATATATATATATATACATATATATATATATATATATATATATATGAGGTGTTGTCAAAACCGTTTACTGCCCTTTGCTGCCCTTTACTGCTCTTTACTGCCCTTGACTGCCCTCTGCTGCCCTCTACTGCATATGTATACATTCATACACACACATATATACATATGTATATATATATATATATATATGTATATACACAGACACACACACATATACATATATATATATATATATATGTATGCACGATCAGATTGGGCAGTAGCTCATAAATCGATCTGATAGGTATCGATTCGGGTATCGATTGCCTAGCCATATATCACCTGGAGAATTTAGGCACAAATGCCGCGGCAGCACTGAAATGTCACAGCAGATGATCTTCTTTGATCGTGCCACTTTTTTGGGGGGGCCTTTTGGCTTTCCAAGGAATTCAGCAAGATGGATCGCATTCCACGACCACTCACAGTTACCGAAGTTTTGACGGATGCATATAAACAAATAAATAAATATATATATATATATATATATATATATGTATATATATATACTTATATATATGTATATATATATATATGTATATATTACGCATAAACTTATATATAAATATCTTATGAATTGCAGCTTGGAGGCCAGGATCTGCCGAAGCACCAGGTGTCGTGCACGAACTTCCGCCCAGCACCTGGTTGAAGAAGCTGGGAGGGGGAGGGGTAAGGCATCTGCACTTCAAGGCCTGTGAGTTTTTTCGGGACAGAACTACCTTCGCGATGCACGGTAAGCGTAGAACAGCAAGGGTTTTCAGTATCCGGTTCCGGGCGTTGGGTACAAGGTTGGGGGACAGGTTCGGGCTCGATTTACACGTGCAGCAATGACCGGCCAAGACTGCTTCACTGGCCTGCTGCCTGGCCAAGTGTGGCGTTTTGAGGTTGCTATCATGGTACTCTTCCTGTGCTTTCTGACTAATGCCATCATTGATTCTACTTCTCCTCCGGCTTCTACCCCAACTCCTGCTACGGCCACCACTCGTATATACTAGCGCTAGCAGTGTGCAAACTGTTGCCACGGATGATTGGATTCATGCCAAGGGTGCTTTTTCTACCTATAATGAGCTTTGCAGAACAGGGCTCCGTTCCTATCATAGGGACCCTTAGGGGGGTATGTGTAAGGGGAGGGGGGTGTAGGGGACTATACTTCCTTAAACAGGCCTCTATTAGGTCCTTGTTATGGGCATCAAGGCCCGCTACCCCGCTAAGGGTCCCGATGATCCTAGGATGCTGCTAAACGGCCTCCTGGGAAGGATTTCGGTCAGAGAGCTCGTCGGATCTTAAGATCTCAAGCCACGGGCCTCAAAAAGTAGGCAAGAGCTTTGGTGATGTTGACAGAACCAAATCTTAGAACTCGGGAAGAGGCACCCGGTACTTCTTAGGGTGGTCTTTGGTCCGACTATCCTATCGGCCCTGCTGAAGGACCAGTTTTGCAGGAGCACGCAAGCGGGCCGAGTGGGTTTCCCCAACATGCGGCGAGCTCTGATGCTCTGATGCAAGCCACCGATGACTCGTATCACCGGCTGTTTGCCCAGATGTAGATGCTGTAGTTGCCCCACTGAAAAGTTGCCGCAGAGTCGGTCGATGCCAGGCTCAAGCCATCCTTGGCCCCAGCGGTGGACACCAGGACGTTGTAGGAATCGTCGCTCCTCCAGGTCACCCATTCCTCTGTAATCTTCTTGCGGATACAGCTGGCAAAAGCAAAGTTCTCGGCCGTGTAGCAGGCGACAATCGTATCTTCTAGAAAGGTAAGGGATGCATCCCAGAAACCGTAAGTCAAAAAGAGCAGAGCTTTCGGACGTCCTGGTGGCTCCTGCGAAGCACCTTGGAGCTGTGACTCATCGTGCATGCGGACTGCGGAGCTTGCTGTCAGCAGGCCAGCCAGGACCGCCTTCCAAAGAGCTGCCATGCGAAGATGATTTTGCAAACTGCGCGGCTTGGCTACAGAAGCTTGAGCCTTAAGTGAGCCGTCCAGACGCGACTGTACTCATTCATGCACGCAGATTTGCCGACCCCCAATGAAGTTCCGATCAGCCTGAAGACCCAATGAGCGCCGAAGCCAATGAGGCAGCCCGAAGACCCCGACAGCCCTGACATGGATCGCAGGTCCATCAGCTCAGGCTTTCTCGGCTTGCGCAAACCCACGGCAGACCCACTATCTACTAGTTCCGAAATCGTAAAGCATCACACAACTTGTCGCAAAACACGAAGGAGGGTTGGGCTTCTTGGTTCGCGCACCCGGCCATGACACCCACTCTTGGGAGGTCCGAGGCACTTCTCCCACACCGGCCGCCGGAACAAACGAGGCTGCAGGAGCCACACGAAAGAGCCCGGTTGCCGAGGTGTCCTGCTGCAATTTTCTCAAAAAAAAACAGCAAAGAAAGTAGCTTGTAGCTCGCCAGGATTGAAGCAGCTGCTGTCAAGCTACACCGCCTTTGCATGGTATGGAAGTGCAGCACCATTCCAAGAAACGACAACACACCCGGACATGTGGCAGAGAAGCGCTTGATGCATCTATATATATATATATATATATATATATATATACATATATATATATATATATATATATATATGCATATATATATATATATATATATCCCACGAAGGAGCACTGCAGCTCCTGCCACCATCCTCAAGCGTAGGCTGCCTGTGGATGGGTAGGACCCTCAAACTCACATCCTACAGGCTGGCACCAAGAATCACAGCCTCGGAGTGCCCATGTATTTCCTTGAGTCCCTCGCCTCCTCCGAACTCTTCCAGCCGACAAGGACGTCTCTACGCCGAAACCCTTCAACTGAGAATCAATGACTAGGGCTTGAGGAATGGGCCCTCTGCGGACTTCCGGAATGAGTCCAAACGAGACACCCCAATAAACATTGATAGTCACTGATCAATACCTAGAGGCTCCATAGTAGTTCCTTTTTGGGGTTCGCATTTAGAATATTATACGGTAATCCCACGAAGGAACTACTTTGGAGCCTTTGGGTAGAACATCCTTTTTGGCGGACTCGGACAGGTGACCCTGACGAGAACCTGCATATGGCTTGCACTGCCACTGCTCTCAAAGATTCCGCCTGATCCACTCCAATCCCCAAGGGTCCAAAGGACCCAAGAATCAGGTACTCGGTTTTGATGATAGTGGTTATGTAGGTTATGATTTTGGGGGAGTATATGATTAGTAGGTACTTGGACCATTGGGGCATCTTCACTGGCACCAGTCCGGTCTTCATCACCAGCTTCCGGGCGAAGAATTTCCAATATCTCGCTACGAAACCATCTCGCCCCTGCTGTGCTGATTTTGCATTAGGCAGATGCGAAGATATTTGCAACAAGGTCGACGTTGCTGATGCTGGCTCACGACTGATTTCGCAACTCTATTACGAACACGTCGGTTGCAAAAGGGAAACCAGGAGATGCAAGAGACTTCATTCACCTGTTTATCAGATCAAGTCTCTTGGTGGATAAGCCCCGAAGGCACAATGACACTGCTGACTCACCGACTTTTGCCAGAAACCCTGGGCTGCCGCACGAAGCTGCACGTACCCATCGCAGCCGGCACAATCGCGGTCTGTCCAATTGTGGAAGACGTTATACCATGGTTTCTTTGCTGCTATACATTTGGGTATGACGGCCGAAGGTGACGACGGCTAATACGACGGTTACTACGGCTGCGACTACGTGGCTGCCGCTACTGCTTCATGCTGCCTCAGCTGCTACCATTGTTCTTGTCGCTACTATCTGCTACTACTTACGACTGCTAGTCCGCCGCTGCTCCTGATCTTACTGCTACTGAACTTCTACCGCTGGGGCTGCGACATTTCTGCCTACTCCTGGTTCTGCTCCTTATCAACAGTGTGTGCCCGAATGTTCAGAAGCCAGTGATACTTGGAGGTTCAGGGGTAGTTCTAAGTGGGTTATAAGTCCCCTAATATGGGTTATAAGAAATGTTACCCTACTTATAACCCTACTTGCAACTACCCATGAACCTCCAAGTATTCCAGAACATGCTACCACCGAGTGTTGTCTTCTTCAGCATGTCCCCACAGCGCAGCTCGGAAGGATGCTAGGTGCAACGGACCTGAAGATGACGTACGTCCATAAGTGATATCTTTGACTGGTTTTGATCAGCAAAACCCTAAACCCGGTTATAGTAAGCCTGTGTATATGTATATGTATATATATATATGTATATATATATATATATATATATATTATCGTCGCCCTACTAAAGTAGCCCTTTATACTCATTCTTAATTAGAAACCCGAAACCCAACTTTCGCTCCGCGTGGCCTTCGTGGCCAAGACCTTGGCACCTGCACGAAGAGCAGGTCGTGAAGAGTTTAGTTTTGCAGGGTTTGGACTTTAGGGCTTGGGCTTTCGGTTGAAGGCCGTGCAAACGATACCACTCCGATCTCGATCCGTTTCAGGAACTACAGTACAGGCCACCACGAGATCCTAAACCCCAATTCCTACTTCACGAAGCGTCGAGAGATGGGATGCCTCCGATGGCTCTTCCTCGAAGTGTGGAGGAAGCCTCGGCGCAGAGCAGGTCACACAATGGCCTTAACAATTAGAATAGGGATCTGGAGTACAATTTGGATTCTGAATTTTTTTTCGCGAACTGCTTGCCCGCTGCCGCGTGGGCCGGAGCCCAATCACCCCCGTGATGTATATCGCTTGGGACAAACCGTGCGATGTGGCGCCGCTAACTCAGATTAACCTGTTTCATGTTCAGGAACTTCATCACATGGCACAGGGGCAGACAGCCACCCAAATGCCTGCAGTGCAAAACTGCGTTCCGGCTCGCTCTGCTACTGTATGCCAAGCTACGTCAATGTGGCTCTCCCTGCCGTTGTCGTCTCCTCTGGCCGACTTTAAACACGAAATTATATTTTCGGGGCCTTAATAAATAGAATAGGGTTTTGCGGTCCGCTATACCATCATTGTAATAAAGAGCCCCCAGAATTGTATTAGCAACTATTCAGGTCCCTATAGTACCCGACATCCAATCCTGTAGCTTTGCAGCTCAAAGCAAGGATTGTCTGAAACCTGGGCACACCCTAAACCTCAACTCCTGACCCCATGGCCCTATGTTTCCCTTTTCAGGTCCTCCAGCCGTATCTCTGTCACGGCCTGCTGACAAGCTGTGGGTTGATCTAGCTTCGGATTCCCACCGATAGTGTCCTTGTAGTCAAGATCCTCTGGCGCTTACAATGTAGTCGGAATGCTGAGAGGTATCCTACAGCATAACCTTTCTACGCATCTACACATAAAAACACATGCATACATACATATACATATATGTATAGATCCATATATATATATATATATATAGATCCATATATATATATATATATATACATATACATATACATATGAGTGAGAGAGAGAGAGAGAGAGAGAGAGAGAGAGAGAGAGAGAGAGAGAGGCAGGCATCGCTCCCAGGATGCTAAGGTGCTGTGTCTTGGGACTTCAATGCTCAGGTGGACGCCTGGCATGTCACCACGAAACTGCGGAGGGCCGACTTTCAGGCTTCAACGAGAGAGATCTGAAGAAAACAAGTCAGAGGCCCTCGGCCCAAAGTGTCATGTAAGGGGTCCAAAATCAGAAGGACGCGGTGACCTGCCTCGCCGGTGACTTCGGCATCGATGTCGAAGACCTGCCGATGTTGTGCTAGCGACTGCACACGGCGATAGCTGATCGCTGATATGAGCATCCCTGCAAGTCATCCGAGATGCCATACTGGTGAGACCGTTGACAAGCGCCAGTCTGAGCCCTGTGTTATCAGGCTACCAGCAACCAACATCGAAGCCGTCACACGGTGCCAATGGGTTGCTGGAGGGTCGTTTTTTTTCTGAGACTCCCATATACTATATACGCACCTGCAATTCTAAACCTTCTACAAGAAACCGATCCATTGTGCCTGCGGCGGCAGCGCCTGCGGGCATAAGGTGGGCCCCGGAGTCCCAGGACTTAATGGGGTGATGCGGCATGCGGGATTACGCGTGGTTTCTTCTGGTGCCGTTCGGGATCTATAGGACCCTTTGTTTTGCAACTGGGCTTGGGGCTAGCCAGATCCTTGCATCGCGGCCTTTCCCTAGATCCTTGTTTTACACCTGGACTTGATGAAGATCCTAAACCCTAAACCCTCCCTCAGGTTTATAGTGTTGATTAATTCGACCTTGGACTCTCGGGGCTCACAGCTTAAGTTCACCGGAGGGCCCCACATCCAAAGGCAGCCGGCCAAGGAGCCCGGCAACTTGATTGAGGAATACAACCTTAAAGAATTATGAGAAGTACCCAGGACCCTCCTTGTACCCTCAAACAGGGGTATATGGTGCCAAAGAGTGGGTACTTAGGGTCTAATAGAGGGTAGATGGAGAGTCTAGGACTAGATAGGCAATCAGAGGAAACCTGAACCAAACGGCTTCCTAAGAATCCCTTTTTGCATCAGGACTTGTGCAATCGCCTGAGTACCTGAAACCATAAACCCCGAACTCCTTAGAAGCCCTACACTGCAAAGGGTCGAAAAACGACAGCCCTATTTACTTCTATATAAGTACATAACCATGACACCATGATGTACTGTATCTACTAACTTAACCCAGCCCAGCTGAAAGACGGCTGAAAGATTCCAACCCCGCGGTCCTCCTTGGACGATGGGCCGTAAGAAGAGCCCTGATTGGTCTTCCGGGGTCAAGGAGTCTGGGACTTTTGAGTTTCGGGCAACATGGGCCCTGATGAACGGCTTAGGGCTTAAAAGGGGCTTGGCAGGGTGTAAGCGTGTGAGATCCAGGACATCCGGCTTAAGGAAGGACACCCCATGTCCGAGCCAATCTGCGGGTCATGGCAAACTTGAGGGCATCCCAATGTTGTGGCTCCGAACACGGGATATTTCCGGAGCCTTGCGAAGAAATGATCTGGCATCACCCTCCAAGAACCCAAACGGTACCTACCTGGCTACCTGGGCCCTACAGCTTGTCTGTGGAAAGACCTTCGCCAAGCTAGAGCGGTTCTGTGGTGTCTCGTGCCTGCTCGGGCCTAGGCGAGTTGTCTGAGACATCCTGAACCCGTGCATCTCTTCAACCACAAAACCTTGGACCCGACCCTCGTCAACCGCACAACAGCCAAAACATGGCTAACACCCGGAAGCAAGAAAAGCACGGTTGATGAAAAGCTACAGAACAAACGACACCGACACCGAGCAAAAGTGCTGTGCCAGAAAATAAAGCCGTCTTGGTCAGTAGAACCTCCGGTCATCTCCAGCACTCCAAATCCCAGGTTCCTTAACTTCTGAACCCTTCGCCGCTGAACCGTTCCGATGCGTGTCGAGCCGCATGGCCGCTGAGTTCTACCTCGGCAGCACGGCGGCCACGGCGAAGGCGTGCCAGCTCCTGCGCTAGTGATCGCGGCTCGGCGCTCCGAAAAAACCAGGGACTCGCAAGAGGGTGCAAGAACATGACCCGGAGATATTAGTAATTCCGATTCCAGGCCATACGGTTCTTCGTGTGGGATGGACTACTTACTGGAACCTCAAATCGCCGATGCCTGTGAAGCATCGAGATGGTGCAGCCATTTTGGGGGGCTGCAGCGCACAGGTGGGTATGCCTATACTACCCACTTGAGGTGTAAGAGCTTGCCACAGAGACCTGATGAAGTGCCTTCACGCCAGGTTTAACTGAATGGCAAGTACGACTTCCAGATGTCCAATGCAACACATGCCTTCAATGCGCCCCGGGAGAAAGCCCTTTCAATCCCAAGGCATCAGCAAATATTTGCTTCAGAAAAGCCAGTTACAGGAGGTTATACATCTCTCTAAATTTCCCTGTAAACTTGTGAACCTGCCCCTTGACCACAGTACGAACTTCAAAACCCTGTAGATATTTGCTGCAGGTGTTGCAGAGGGCCCGTAGTACTTGGGCAATTCTAACACGATATTTTAGAATAATACGTACCCCTGCGGAACAATACTTCTAATCACCGCAAGCCCTACAAGGACCCATATTATCAAACCCCATCAAACCTCTTACTACTACTGGCCTCGTAGGCGAGCTCGGGGTTGGCCTTGGCCGCTAGACCGAGCTGTGAGCCGACCTCGACGGAGGCGTGTTTTGGAGTTTTTGGGGGGCGTTTTTTTTTGAAGGACCCTTTCCGTCTCGCTGGATCCCGGGGGGCGTTTTTGAAGGCTTGAGAAATTAAGAGTTATAGCGGCTTTGGAACGCAACCGGTTCACGCTGTACAGGCTTCGGCTTTCAGCCACGATTTAACAATGTAGCAATGTACCTTCACCTCCCCCTCCCCCCTGCCCCCGCGTTCGCCAATGGCTGTGCAGCCCCAGCGTCTGCTTCTGCGAAAGGGTCGGCACCAAGACAAAGGCCGATCTTGAAAATGAGCACCTGGAGGTCAGAACTCCATCGTGGGGCCCGGGCGGATGCAAAGGTAAACATCAATCGCAATACGAAGTGCAATCCTGTTCAGCTCAGTCATGCCTACGCTCGGTGAGCCTTCTCGTTTGATTCAGCTCCACAAGTTTTCTACTCCGTGGAGGATCCCGGGACAACAGCAAAGAGGCAAAGCTCTCTATCCATCACACCAGAACTCTCTCCTCCTTCACAGCTTGTGCAGCCTGCAACTTAGCTTCCTAGGCACTGCAATGCAACAACAGCCTCTTCTGTTTCGCGAGTTCTGCCAGTTAGGATCACCCCCAAGAATGCCCTGCCCTGACGAATGAAATCACGGCCTCGGCCAGGAGATGGACGTAGGTGTAGCGGGGAAACCTGGATCAAAAGGCAACGGGAAACGAGGTGGTTCTGGGCGGCTGTCTAGGATTTAGGTACGAAAGCCTTAGGGCTAACGGATTTGTTCAATGCCACCGTTTCGAATTTGGGGGTTTGCAGGCTTCTCGGGTCAAGATTCAGCACTGCATTTTGCATCGGCCGTTGCCCAACCTACCCAACCTTGGCTTTGGGTTTGAAAGCACCAATCTGGCCTTTTGTGGCCATCGTTGTCACCGGCATCAACATCAAAAGCTAGCTTGACCACGATGATCATCATCGTAAACATATTCTGTCACTTGTCTGTACACACACACACACACACACACTCACTCTCTCTCCCTCTCTCTCTCTCTCTCTCTCTCTCTCTCTCTCTCTCTCTATCTCTCTCTCTCTCTCTCTCTCTGTCTCTCTCTCGCGCCTCTACTTGAGATCAGTAATCGCAAGGAGCAAACAATCACCACAATGCAGGGTCGGCAGTGTCACGATAGCGGCTGACATCGTCATGCTCCTCCTCCTCCTCCTCCTCCTCCTCATCATCATCATCACCCCTCGCAAGATAAAGTAGGACATCGTACTACCTATAATCACCTTCATATCTACTAGCACTCCCGAAAGTTGAAAAGCACGTGGCAGGAATCGCATAAAAATACACTCGTAGCCAAACATGAACTACAGATTCGCGATCATACGGACGATGAAAAACCAAATGCAACTAACTGTCTACAAGGGGCTCCAAGCCGCAAGCCCCAAAACTGTAGGTTTGACCGTTTGAACGCCTCTTCGGCAGCAGATCGCCCGTAGGCTTCAGCGTGTTCAGCCGTTGCAGCTGCTGCCCCACAGGAAAAACGCGTGGCCTCGGAAAGAGGCCCCATAGCTTGGGCTAGCAGCTCACGAGTCCAGGAGAAGCAGGAGATTCCGTCGAGATTGAAGGAGTTAATTAGGGCAGCAGTTCGACATGCTCTCGCCCCGTCACATCTTGGATTCCAAGCACAACATGGCAAGAGAAGTGCTGCTTGAAATTAGAGTGGGCGGACGCAGTTTACGCAAGAGAACAGAAACTGGCGGGTCTCGAGTCCATGCCCCAACTCGAGTCGAAACTTCAACCGGCCTTGCATGTGACGGCATGCCAGGGGCTGCATTCCACTGCAGCGTCTCCTTTTTCGAACAGAAGGGGGTCGAGAGTCATGAGTGCACTTTGTTGTTGACTATGTAAGACTGAACATAGGGATCCTAAAATCTATTGGTTCTGGTGCTCAGCATCCTATTTGTACTGCTCAGGATCTGTCAGGCTCACTCTTTTCAGAATCTCCTAGCTTAGTGCTATCTTTAGAGCAGCATGCAATGGTGTCTGTCGCGCAAGCGGGCTCACGCGGGTCCTGGATAATCTTCACCACCTCTCGCATCAACGAGCAGTTCTTGACCTGTGGCGAATCTTCGCAAACGTGCTTTTAACATCATTACAACCCTAGAACCCTCAACAGCAACATGCATGGCTTTTGAGTTTCGCTCGGCCTGAAAACCATGCCCTGAAGCTGACAACTTCGGTTCTCGAAAACTGTTCCCTGAAGCAATTCCTGCCGGGACACCGCAGTCGCAGTGTTCACCAACAAGCTCACTGCTGACCTGGCTTGGGCCCTAAATTAGAGTTACACAAACGTAGACCCGTGAAACCTAAAACATCACCTCACGGCTGACCAACCCCATCCAAACTCCCTGCGCAGCCAAGCAATCCTGAGATGTTCGGAATTTCGGCGCTGGGCCCAATATCCTCAAGCCATTCTGCCATCGTCATGGATTCAACTTTGCAGGTGTATGCGGCTTTGGGCTTAAGCGTTTCAGGTCCGGGGTGTCGGGTATATGGCCGGGCCTGGCCGACTCCTCCCAAGCAGAGAGAGTCCGGGCGAGGAAGATGAGCTGCAGGCGCTGCACTACCTGCAGGTATCCCATACCATGCCAGGTCAAACAAAAACTGCTGGAATTCGTCAGACGGACGAACGATGACATTGCGTTATACAGATATATGTGCATTGTAAGCGGTCATGTCGCCCCTTTTTGTCAGCTTCAGCTGTGACCTCAATCACACCCTGGTAGACATGTGCAGCTTGGTTGCGCGGGGGATTGGTGCCTGAAGCTGAGCTCAGGAGTAGCAAACAGCAGTAGCCCCCCTCCACCACAAAAGCCACTCTGGCACTATGGTCCACCAGAAACGACTATGGTTCTGAAGTTCTCAGTGCACTCACCCTTGTTGGACATGGTGGTCAGGCTCTGCGGGAAGCGACCAGAAAACCAAAGTCTAAACCGGGAATCAGATGGCGGAGTGTTTTGGGCATCCGGTCTTGGTTGGCGGTGTTTGGTCTCATCACAAAGCTTATGAATAGGTTCAACTTTCGGGGGTGGTTGGGGGGAGGCGCAGAAAGGACTCGCTTGAAGGAGCGGAGGGCAAGCTCTGAGCGGAGTCTTCTCCAGTCCGCAGAATGCTCTTACTTGCCCTAGCTGCCTTCTAACGCCGAGCCCAAACCCTGCAGTACCTTTCTTATCATCAGATGGACAAGGTTTGGAGGAGCAGAAACTCAAGCGTCCCACATGATCTTCCGGGTTTGGGCTCCCAACCGCTAACATGCTGGACCCGCACTGGGAGCACTTGAATCCCGACAACTCTGAAGCCTCGATTGCGGTGTCCCGGGGCTTCAGGTCTCTATAAGGCTATAAAGAAGCACCTCACAAAGGTAAGAAAGAGTTTCAGAAAGAGAGGTGCAAGGGCCAGAGCCAAGGGCTTCAACACCACCTAAAGCTGCATCCGTATCCAAGAGGCCAGTGGCACCAGCTTCTGTTCGATAAGGCGTAGTTTGCCGGGATCTTTGCCCTCCTCCGACTCACATCTACATGCACCAACGATGGCACATATGCAAGTGCGTCGTAGGTATGTCTGTCTGTTTGCATGTTTGCATGTCTGTCTGTCTGTCTGTCTGTCTGTCTGTCTGAGTTCGTGTCCGTGGTCTGTGTCTGTGTGTGTGTGTGTGTGTGTTTGCGTGTGCGTCCGTCCGTGTGTGTGTGTGTGTGTGTGTGTGTGTGTGCGTGTGTGTGTGTGTGTGCGCATGTCTGTGTCTGCCTCTCTCTCTCTCTCTCTCTCTCTCTCTCTCTGTGTCTGTGTCTGTGCCCATGTGTGCGTCGTCGTTTGCGTCTGTGGCTGTAGCTGTGTCTGCGTCTGTCTGCATCTGTGTACGTCCGTCTCTCTGTCCGCATGCATGCATTCATGCATGTGCCTGCAAATATGTGCATAGTAAAACTGTCCGTGTTATCACTACTGGAGTCTCGGCTTGTGGATATAGTTGCTGTCGGTATGATTTGACCAAGACCGTCACTACTTTTACCATGAGCAGTGACAGGGCGGTTGCCATGTGCAGTTGAAAGCGCTATCATTGTAAACATCGTATGCATGCGTGCATGCAGGCAGGCAGGCAGGCACGTATGCGTATGCCTGTGAATGTGTGTGTGTGTGTGTGCATATGTATGGTTGGGTAGGTATGTGATGTATGCACCTCTGTGTGCACGTATGTGCACGTGTTTGTACATGTACATGCATGTGTATCCGGATGTGTGCATGTATATGCCTATGCATATGCATTTATGTGTCCAGACGCGAAAGTGTATATATATATATATATATATATATATATATATATATATATATATATTATATTATATATATATATATATATATATATATGTGCGTGTGTGTGTGTGTGCTTGAATGTATTATACATGCATACATATCACTGATCACTTCCTTGCGCACTTGCTTCTTTAGCTTGGTGCACTTTTACAAAAACAAAAACGCACAGACATAGACAAACAAACGCGCAAATACATGTATGAAAATCTATACATAACAAATAAACACATAAGCATATATACATATATATATGTGTATATATATAATTTGTGTGTGTGATGCATGCACAAACACTGCGGCTTTGCTGCCTTGTGCTTCGGGTCTGTCATGTTGAAGGATACCGGCATGTGCGTCTTGACACAGCTTCAGGACAGGTTGGGCTTGGAAAGGCGCAGATGCATTCAATGCCCCATGCAGGCTGTTGCACCACAGCCAAGGCAGCACCCTACAGGTGCGCCGAACCACCCCCAAACTCCCAAACCTCAAGTGAACCTAAACACCTCCAAGAAACACTCGAAAGATGCTGAGCCTGCAAGTACGCCTGGATGGCAGGCAGCCTTCTGGAGGAATTTGGGCTTCTCCAAGGAAGTTTCGCCATCTAGAGAAGATTACAGAAGAAGAGCATAAGAGGATTCACGAGAACGAGCACCAGGATACTATGCGAGCAATCTTCTGGCTGCACGAACCGGTTTGGAGACATTGAGCAATGATTTGACAACTCCTTCGAAAATTCATTAGACTCCCAAACTCGAGGCCCAAAGCCACAGCGCAATGCATGTTGCCCAAGCTACGTCCGACCGGAGAACTGAAGCTCTTAGCTTCTGTCAAGGACTTGGGGTTCTCAGGCCTGAGGGATGGTTCAATCGAAGAGCAAATGCCCACCGCTTTGCTCCTACAGTGATATATCGGCCTGTGTCACTGTGTGGCTGATCAAGAGCAGGAATCACCACAGCTCCAGGGCCCATCATGTTGATAATTACGTTGACCATTGTTGTGAAGCACCTCCTGCTTGCTTTCCACATCTCGCAGGTGCTTGCTGCCAAGTGGCGGATCCTGGTCTGGCTTACTCGCCAACCTAGTTGATTGTTGGGATAGGATTAAAACTGTACATTTTTATTCCTTAGTGGGTTTAAGTACCCATAAAAATGCAAAATGTTACCAAACTATGACAAAGCAACGTGTCCACCAGGTTCTCCGACTGCTCCCAGTCGCGCGGCTCAGAGAACCTCAGACGCAGTGCTGCGCGGGCTCTTAGGTGGCTAGCTTACCTTTGGTCAGTAGGGAATGGAGGACTGGGGTACAGTTATGACTACTATTACTACCATTCTTCCATTCCCTACTAACCAAAGGTATAGGAGTTGGCCCATTGCGCTCACACTCCGACCAGCCACATGAGGTTTCATGTTCGTATGCGCATTGTGATAAACCAGGCGCGTGAGTTGACCTATACATTCTCACAGCAGATAGACCAAGGCGTCAAGGCCACATCGAAAGACTTAAGCCCCGTTCCTCTGCTTTGAATACCTTGGCGCAAATGGGCCCAAATGGACTTGGAAGCTTGCACCCCTTTGTTACGACCCCCCTTTGCGGCGCTTTGAAAGTTATTGAACCGCAAAGCGCAAATGATTGTTGGTCTGTGTCCATAATATATATGTATATATATATATATGCTGTATATAAAAATGTGGGTAAGCAAATAAAAGTATATATATATATATATATATAGAGAGAGGACATTAAAGCTTATATTGTGTTCACTTGTCATTCTGTATATACATTCTTGTGCAAAACTATAGAGGTATGTCGGTTACCAGTAGCCCAGCTTTGGGAGCCGTTCTGAGAAGCAAACTCCGCTCGCTTCGGCGACATGGAGGCGGCGGCCAGCGCCAGCTGTGCCACATTCACTCGAACCTCTGCTAGGAATCCGGTCAGAGGGGCCCTGCTTTTGTTCTGACTCCCTCCTGGGTCGAGGTGAGCAGGGGTTTAGGCGGTTTAGGGCTGCTACATCAGACGCTATGAGACTGAAGCTAGGTGATGCCATCATCGGTAGTCATGATACAAGCTACCGATAATCGTAGTTTCTGCCTCTTAACCCAAAAAGCAACAACTAGTGACGATGACTGAGGAGCCACGGCTCCAATCCGAAACCTGGTTTGCCAGCACGAAAACACATGTAACCGTGCAGGGCGGAGGCCAAGCACAGGGTTTTGGGCTTACAGCCTGGGGCCTACAACCGTCTCCACAAATCCCAGGTGTCCTGCCTCAACCCTAAACCGAAGTCTTGAATTGCCGGGTCGCCATGGAAATGGCGAGGTTCTGTGCAAACTGTCTGTCAGGAATGAGTTGAACACCATCCTGGCAGTCACGAGAAAAAGTAATTAACTCTCTGGATGCTCTCAGGCTCGTATGTATACACACCAGATGCAGAAAAAGGCCTCAAATTCCTTGAGCTGCCAAGAGGCATCCTGGCGCGCACTGCGCCGCTTCACCGGAGACGGTGTGCGCGAGGATGCGAAAGCATCCAGCATGGGTGCCTCAGGTTTCTAACGGGTTTCCCGCCCACTTAACTGACGAAGCTTCATTGTTTTGGGTTTGGGGTTTGGTTGGCTTCATCATTCTTGGCCTCATCTGGGCGGAGAACGACTAGCGAGATCGTGAAGATTCGAGCTTGACTGGAGTGAGCCAGGTGAGGCAAGTGTGGCCAGTGCTGTCACTGTGTTGAGGTCAGCTTCCAAGAAAAATGTGTTGCCAGAATCAAAGTGGCTCAAGCCCTCACAAAGAACTTCGAAACGGGAAAACAACAAGCATGTCTTGAATTCTCCAAGAAGATTCCAAGCTTCAAGTCAATCCCAGAGCCCAAAACCTGCTGAAGTCTCAACGGCCATCGGGCGGCGAGGTCGGGTGCCTCTTCCTTCGGGGCCGCGTCAGCACCACTGAAGATCGTGTTGGCCACATCCTTGTTGACGATTGGTTGTAACCAGCCCTTTGCATTTCCGATTCCTTTGCACTGCATGTTGGGCATTAGAACGAAGACGCAGAGCTTTGCCGCAAGGGGAACATCCTCCCCTCTGACTCTGACCGAAGGGACGACCAGCGTACGCCTCTCAATGCTGGCGACGGAAGAGGGGGCTCAGGCTATCTCACACCAATGGACGACGACTAAGGTAGCCTGAGAAACAATTCAGAACTGATGGCTTCATGTGTGTGTGTATATATATATATCACAACAACTTTGCCCTTTGCTCAAGCTGCTGCCAGAAATAATCTAAAGAGCAGACCGCACAGCCGGGTCTTAGGGCCTCGGGGAGGACATCCAATATACGACAGATATGCACTATGCGAGTTTTTGCTGCCGCTTCTGATGATACTCGCAGCAGAAAACCTACCTTCTCTTCTGGGTCGCCTTGGGTCGCCTTGGTGCAATGGCTGGTGCAAGGTCTTCGCTGCTGCGGTGAGCGTTGACATGCAAGCCTGGCAACCCTGCCGGCTATTGAAGGTGGAAGAACGGGCATATTACGGGCATTTAGATTGGTTAGGATTTCGACTGATTTAGGTTAGGTACATTGTCACGCCAGTTACGCTGTCACAATCGGACGCTCCTTCGGGGTTGCGCAGGATTGCCGAATCAGCAAGTTGAGAGTTCCCCTGCTCTGATGCCTCCAAGCCACAGTGGCGGGCCTCAGACACGAGGATTGGGATTGGAGAAAGCGTTACCATGTACCATGCACGACGTGCCGAAGCATGAGACCGAAAAAGATGTCAAGCGTAAAGGGCTAGCAATCCGCGCCAGAGCATAAAGCTTCGGAACCCTTAAACCCGAAAGCCCCCAAATCCTAAGCGCAAAACCGTAGTCCTAGACATTCTCTTAACCCTAACCCTAGGCCTTTAATTCCCAAAATGCTAAACGCTAATACTAAACCCCTTCTACACGTGGACTGTGCATATGCCAACAACCAACACTAAGCCCCTTTTCCCTAAAACCGAGAAACACTAAACCCAAGGCCCCTTTAAACCCTAAACCCCTCACCCGTCAAAATCGTAAACTCTGTCAGCCCCTAAAACCCTAAGCCCTCTAAACCATCAACCCTAAAGCTTATAACCCCGGAACTCCTGAAATCCTAAACCCTTAAAGCCACCTAATACCACAAGCCCCATCAGTCCCTCATAAGACCCCAAACCCTTCGAACTAAACCTGTTTTTGCACAGGCTGATGTGAAGCACGAAACCCCAAACCCTGAACCCTAAACCAACAATAACCCTAAACCCTAAAACCCTAAACTTTGCCCTAGACATCCCTAAACCCTAAACCCTCAAAACACTCCCCCTCCCGCCCGCCCGCCACGTTTTGTCTCTTTTTCTGCCCAGGACGCTGGCGGCTCTCGAGCAAACCGTGGATGCGGGGCGTGCGCGACTTTGGCTTCGCCTCTGCCTCGCGGGAAGACCGGCGAGAGTAGGATTCCGTTACAGTAGAAGCCAGAAAGTTGGAATATCATTATCCTAACCCCTTTAAGGTAAATTATAGGGTATCCTACCATTATTCCATATTCCAACTTTCTGGAGTTCCCTTTAAAGGGTTCCTTTAAAGGGGTCTAGAGTTGTAACTATAAGGGATCCATATATTCATTTAAAGGGGTCTTTATAAGTATTACTACTATTATTGTGCTTACTCCGTAGTGTTATGATTGTGCCGATGATGACGATTATTACTGTCTCAGTCATAACTATTCTTATATTATCTCAATGTTTTTCATTTTGGAGGGGGTGGGTATTGGTTAAAGGTGGGTTGAGTGGTTTAAGTATGCGGTGTTATGAAGGATTTTGCAGTCGTTTTTGTCTGGCTTTTGCCTGCCGCCTTGCAGGGACGAACCTGGATTTCGCGTTGGCACTTCGGGGCTTTTTCCTTCACCGTACGAAAGGGCTTCACTGAGTTTGCATGGGTCTCTCAATGTTTAACATGTTAGAACTGGATTTGGGATTGTAGTGTATTACCGAAACAGGGACGACGTCTGGAGTTTAAACTTTAATGCAAAAGGTTTAAGCTTCAGGAAACGATAGGGAATGACTCGGGCTGCGTGGCCTTGCGGTGCTTTATCATAAAGGGTTGGTTGTGAGGACTGACGGCGGCTCAGATTCTAGGGGTAGTTCTCCAACATCAAGGCCCTCAATTCTCAAAGTCACGACAGTTTTCGTGCAACGAAAAACTGCTCGGTGCAAGCGGGCCCACAAAACTGGGGACAGAACATAGACCAAGCTCTGCCTTACGACGCACTGTTTACATTAGAGTCCTCCCCGCCCCCAACTGCAAGACTACTGTTAGAGTCGCTCCACGCCCGTTGAAGCCATTTTTCGCCCATCTGCAGGATCAATTGTATGCGCATCATGAAGCCTAGCTATCATGAGGAACCGCGCAAAGAACAGCATGCCAACCGACAGCCAACAACAATAGTTAGTGATAATTAGCCGCAGCTACAACTACGGCATCTGCCTTTCACTCTGGCCGACTGTGGTACCATCTCTACTGCTACAACGACTGGTGATTATTCTGTCTGCTCGTGCTACTATACGGCTACTACTGGTACTCTTACGACTGTCACTACTGCTACTACTACTGCTACTACTACTACTACTACTACTACTACTACTGCTACTGCTGCTGCTGCTGCTGCTGCGGCTGCTGCTGGTGTTGCTACTACTACTACTACTACTACTACTACTACTACTACTACTACTGCTACTGCTACTGCTACTGCTACTGCTCCTGCTCCTGCTCCTGCTCCTGCTACTACTACTGCCACTACCACTACGAGTACCACGACCTACTATCTAGTAACTACTAACTACTAATCAAGCTACAAACCACTAATTAATTACAAACTACCTCTCCTGCTGCTACTACCGACTACCACTGCTACTACTACTACTACTACTACTACTACTACTACTACCACTACCACTACCACTACCACTACTACTACTACTACTACTACTACTACTACTACTACTACTACTACTACTACTACTACTACTACTACTACTACTACTTCTCCTCCTGCCGCTGCTGCTATTAACTCTACTGCTACCTCCATCGCCACCGCTGCTGCTGCTTTAGCTATAATACACCTACTACCACCACCACCACCACGACGACTACTACTACTACTACTACTACTACTAGGGCTCCTGGTGCTGCTGCTACTGCTACCAGTGCTAGCACTGTACTGCTAGAACTGCTACTACTGCTGCTACTACTACTACTACCACCACCACTGCTACTACTAGTAACCTGCACTCCGACGACGACGACTTCGACTGCTGGTGCTGCCGCTACTGCTTCTTCGGCTACAATGCCACTGCCACCTTTTCTTGCTTGCATGCTTCCCGCAGCGGAAGCAGGTGTGGTGGAGCTGATGTCCGTGGTAGTAGCAGATATTTGAAGTAGATATAGTGGGAACTCGTAAACCTTAAATCCGAGCGCGCGAAACCTGAAGAAACCTGGGCGGTTTAGGACCATGCATGGCCTGCACCTGTTCATGCCGACCGCATGACTGGGCATCCGCACTGCTCAACTGTTGCCCCTTCCATAGACGCAGAGACATGAAGAAATTTGGAGCCCATGGGGACTGCTTTCGGTGAAAACAGGAGCTGGCGGATGCCGTTGTCGTCCACTCGCCTCCCTTTTCCAATCACGGAAAATACTCTGAGAGGGAAAGAAGGCCTCCCACTGAATCATGTCGAAGCACTATGCATGCCAGCCTGACTGACGAATGCAGCAGCCGCAAAAGCTGCTAGGAAGAGCATCTTGCTTTAGGCCATGGGATGCCCACCTGTATCTCCCAAAATCTCGTGCACAAAACTATGTGGCCCAGGGTAGCATTCTTGCAAAACAGCGGCCAGAAAGGAGGCTTATGGCCTCTTCACATGCTCAGCGACACGAGCCTACAAGCATATGAGTGCCACATGGTTTGGGTATTGAATCCGGGAATTGTCCTGCGTGCAGCGCTAAAGAAACACCTCCCCAGGCCACAGGATTAGTATTGCGCCCCCGTGCGACCTTTGTCTACACTACACTCTGGGAGCACCGACATGGAGCCCCCAAAGGCACGCAAGGGCGATCTACAGCCACTTCTTGCCGGGAGCAGGTGTGCCGCCGATTTGCGCAGCAATGCCTTTGAGCATTTCCTGCTGTACAACGGCGTTCTGGGGGCCAGAAGATCTGGAACTCCAGTCTGTGCGGAGCTGCACCGAGCCAGACTGCCATGAAACGAGGCTTCTAGTCACCGAGCTCATCCTCATCATCCTCGAACGGGATGTTCTTGGAGCCATACCTGAGCTTGGAAACAGCAAAAAATGGGGGGGCCTTAATAATTAGAATTGGGGTTTGGGGCATATTGTACTACAGCTATATAAAACAAGGAACCCCCCAAATAGTATATGAGGAGCGTTCTGAGCCTCACCCGCCCTCGTACTTTCCCAGGGCTCATAAGGGTGACACCCTCGCCAAGGCACCCGTCCATTTTCTTCGGTCCGCCAGCTTGGACGAGACGACTCGCATTCAAGCAGCCCTGCAGGGGTGGCTAGGCACTTCGGACTTTTTGGCATCAGTTCGGCAGGCTCATTAGCTCCGCACTTTCGAGGCAGTGCGGAGAATAGTGAGATCTGTATGTCGAAAGGCGTCGACAGGCCCATTCATCGGGGCGTGAACTTGGCAATGCCAACGGTCAATGTCGCCTAGAAGGACAGATGGATGGAATATTACGGGTACTCACAAGTATGTAGACAGATGAGCTGGCCGTTTAGGCAACTGGACAACATGGTAAATATTGGCGGTTGGGCGGAACCAGACCCTTCGACACAAAGACACTAAATATCCAAAAACAGAGTAAAGCACACCACACAACCACACACCACTGTCAAATCATGCGCTGACGCAAGCACTGTCACGCCACACTCTTATGCTATCTATCTAAGCATGCCCTCTGCAATTTTCCAGTCACCTGTTCTGACGGAGTCGTACTATTTAGGCTTTAGCGTTAGCGCACCCGAACGATGCATGTGCATGAAGAAGCAAGAAGCCAGCTAGGGGAGAACACATGTCTAAACCTCGCACACTGCAAGAGCCTGCGAGAAGAGTGGCAGGCGTGCCACCACTACGAGCCAGTCTTCCTGCCGAGCGGGCGGCTTACCCATGGAACAGCACGATTGACAAAAGTTCGTTGCCGCCTGATCTGCGCATGCTAGAACATGCTAGAACTTCAGCAACACTCAGCAAGGCAGAACATAGAGATACAGACAGCCTAGCAACAGATGGTTCGGTCGCATCATGCGCTTTTGTAACAGTCCTGCAAATATTCAAACTCCAGGCTCCGTGCCAGGCACCGGTTTCAGAAACAAAGGCAGCCGTGAACACCGAACAGGCAGGCGGCACACCCTGGAACCGGCTGACAAGCGCATGCATGGCCCTAGACACCGGTCTAAACAACCTGGCCAAGCAGCACTACACAAAAGCCATCACTTTTTGAGCACCCTTCTTGCTGATACAGAGAGTTGCTCATGCACGGGTCCTCGCTCTTGGGCAAGGCGAGCTCACGGGCAATCCGGCAACCAATCTCCACACCTGATTCTAGCAAGTTTTGGGGTTCAGAGTACAGGCTGATGGTTCTATGGCGTAGCCTCGACGACTCGACGGTGTCAACAAACTATCCCCCACTCTGACTGCACCCCATACCTACGAATGCCTCCTATGCTGGGGTCCCCAAACCCCATGTCGCCGTTTTCGCCCATAGCCCACGGCGCCTGTGGCAAAGCGGACTTTGTCAAAGTTCTCTGGCCTGCTCGCCTCTGACGAGAACTTCGCCACCTCTCCGGGTAGTTAACGTATACTTGTCGGGTATCATGGGGAACTAAAGGTTAACCTCTTTGGGTTTATAGGGATTATATAGGGGCTATACTACCCAAAAAAGGTTAAAGCTTCCCTACTCTACTCTACTACTAGGTTCAGGCCCTCAACCCCCGGGCCGAAGAGGAAGTTGCGGTCACTTGTCGGAAGTTCCGAAAATCCCAGCCCGAGCACCGCGATCCCTTCTGCAACTGGCTTGCAACGTCACCCGACCACTATAAAAACCTTAAATTAAACCGACAATCGTTTCTCATGGAAGTGAGCGGACACATTTCTGACAAGTCTCCTCGATCTACTCACAACCGCTTTGCTGCTGGATGCTCGCAGATCACAGGAAAAATGTCACGCAAGCGGGCTGCATGAATCCATGAAGAGAGCTATCTGGGGCTGTTCGACATCATGTTTCGCAGGTTAAATTCAGAGCCCTAGTTCGAAAGATGATGATACCGTTAACCTGCATGGCCACCGCAACCCCAACGTCTCCAAACTCCCCTTTTACTTCGCAGGCAGACCTCGTGGTCAAAGATGGCATACACGCCGTGCATAAGAGCGACCTTAAACACAGGAAGAGGTGGCAGAGACGGCGCATGATGCACGGCAAGCCTGTAAGCGCCCAAGAAAGGACCGCCGATTCAGGGCAAGTGGCCTGTCGAGCCACTTCCAGGCATCGGCATACTGCAAGAATCGGAACCTTAAGGGGTGTAGTCGGGAGTTATGTCTCGGGGATCAACCGCCTGGTGCTGAGGTTCAGCGCGTATAGGCATTATGCTCTCGCAATTCGGACTCCGCCAGACGAGGTCTCGTGGTTCAGAAGTACTTTGGTTGGTCAAGACTACAAGCTGACAATCAGTTATGCACCACACCAATATTAGGGATTTGAAGCAATGGCCCCCAACTACCCTGCTGTTTTCCGTGTTCTACTGTCCAATGCCGGGAAGCGGTGGGTCGCCTCTGTGCCAGAAGCCGCACCGATTCGCCAGTCGCACTGAAGACAACCATGCCGCAGGCATTCATGTCCTGATGACGGTATATAGCCCACGGTCTAAGCTCCGGAAAACAGCCCAATCTTTTTGTTAAAAGCTTCAGCACGGGCATGCACAGCTTCATTTCTTGAAGCCAAAAGATCCTCCTGGCTCTAGCAGAACTTTCGCAGGCCCACAGAGCGCCGCGGTGTCTGTTGCTGGCTGTTTCTGAAGCTGTCTAAAGTATGCAGCGGTTACAGAGATTCAAGATGCAGGGAAGCATTCTGCATCCTGACGCTTCTCGACCCTGTGCGACGAGACGTCCGAGCTAGGTTTACGTAGGCTTAACGTGGCATCGGCGATTGTCGCAAGAGAGAACCGGAGAGTCCTTGGCTAGGGTCGCTGCAGAGCTGAGAACGGCTTCTGTTGCGATCTGCGTGTCGGTGAGGTGCTGCTTTTGCATCCTTCCCGAGTTCACACTGGCCTGAGTTGGACTGTGGCAGTTTTGAAGGTCGTCTCAGCCCTTGAATTTCTAGGGACGGTTTAAGGTCACCGGTGCACGGTCTCTGGCGGGCATGACTGTAACTACAGTGGCGCTGATCTACAATGCAAACTGCCGGTTGGTAGTTTATTGAAGTTGCGGCTTTAATTAATGTTTCAGGCTAAACAAAAGGCCAGATTGACGATACCGCGCTATCAGTGTGCTATCCGCTTGAAAGTTGCACTTGACCACATCTCAAATTGAGGCACTACTAACCCTCAGCCCTCAAGCCCGCAAACCTCACCTGCTTCGCATATCAATCCTCGAATGCAAACTTTAAGAACCACGCGGACCTTCCACACCGTTGGCATGAAACTCCAACACAGCCACAGGCAGGACACAAAGTCGACACGCGACTCTGCACTCTCGATGACCCGGCGCTGCATTGCAACGGCCTCCGCTGGGTACTTGCCAACCTCAGCAAGTAGGATCATTCAGGAAAAGCTACAAGATCTGGCTCTCGATTCTCAGATTAACTCCATGTGTGGTCTGGGTTTAGGTTTAATATGAAACTTATCTCCGGTAATCAAATTTGAGTTCTTGGTGCTCCTGCGCGTGCAGCGACTTCGTACTCATGGAGCTTACCCAAAGGATCCTATGTACTGTTAGGGGGGATACTTCCTCAACCATACTAGTAATTCCTAATATAGAAACCCTACACTCTTCTATATGGGCACTTTGAACCCTTTGGGTTAGGGTAGGGAAGCGGCAAGGGCAGCAAATGGGCTCTCGAGTAGCTTGCGCAAAGCTGGGACCGGGTATGTAATATAGGGGCCTTAAGAATCAGAATGGGTTTTGGGGCATGTTGTACTATATAATGATAATAAGAAACTCGCCCCAAAATCGTAGATAATTATAAAGGCCCCTAAGTAAGTCCGACCAAGGAGCAGCAGACTCACCACTCAGCATGACGGCATCGCAGCCATCGATAATTGCATTCGCAATATCACTGCACTCCGCGCGTGTTGGCATCGGGTTGGTGATCATTGTTTCCAACATCCTCAGCTAAATAGTTACAAGAGACCTGCAAGCAAAAGGCCATCTAGCTGCTGCTCTTTTTCTGACGATCTGAGACCATTTCTTCGGCTAGAACAGCCACGGCTCTGTGTTGCCACGATAACAGGCTTCCCGACAAATTGGGCACTTTGAATGATCTCCTTCTGGACGAAAGGCACATCCTGCGGCTTTCTCACTGAGAATGGCGATGCAAACGGCAAAAAGTTGGACTCAAACCACACTTGCACAGATATACTTACAGAAAAACGCTCAGAGCACAAAGAGACAACAACAAGAGAGCGAGAGAGCGAGACAGGACCAACACTAAAGGAGTCCCGAACCCGTTCTTTTATAGGACCCTAACTCTAAGAAACCCTGAACCCCACCCACCCGGCAGGAACAAGGATGCTGCTCATAGGATGCAAACCGGACATCTACAAAGGCTCGCACACACGTATACATATATATATATATAGAGAGAGAGATACATATACATATATATATAGAAACATACATACATCTTGCCAGTTTTTTAATGGAACTGAGACAGGCTCGTCATCTCCTGGGGGTTCATCTCGACTCCCAGGTCACCGCGGGCCACCATCACACCGTCGCACTCTTCCAATATTTTCCTCCGGGGGATCAACTTAGAAGGGGCCTTGGCTCATTGTCAGAGGAGCATTTTGGGGAAATTAAAAAACGTAGCCTCAAGTCCGGGACCTTATGTAGACCCCGGATGTTCAATGAGAGTCCTTATTGAAGAAACGGGGTCGTAAGTAAGAAGAGAATTTGGGGGGTTGCCACAGAAGCCGCAGCCCTAAGCCCACAAATAGCCCTGAAAGCCTGTGAAATGCCATACAGCCTGTCCCCAACTGAACTGATACTAGACTGTTATAGACCCTAAACCCCTTTTCAGCATGGGCTTGGATTGTGCGCCAGCGCACACTCCTCAACAGCAGGAAGCCCCCTTTTTTTGCCACTGGGCTTGGGGCTAGCCAGATCCTTTCCTGCTCCTAAACCCTAAACCCTCAACTTCTCTGCAAAGAGTCTGAAGATCATCCACTGCGGAAGGCTTCTCGATCTTGGCCAGGAGCTTCAAGTCGGGCTGATTATACTCCTCACTGTTGACCAGGGCTCTCAGCTCCTTCATGTCCTGACAGCATGTGTATGTGCGTGTGCGTGTGTGTGGGTGTGTGGGTGTGTGTGTGTGTGTGTGTGTGTATGTGTGTGTGTGTGTTCTTCGTGAAGTCCGGACTCCTTAGAGTCTCGAGTTTGGACCTTTTTGACTGTGTGTCTTTGCTGCCCTTGTCTGGCTTGCATTGGACATGTTGATCAAAGCTTCTGGTCGAAAGTCTAAAGTTTAGCCATCGAGCAATATGAGGCCTGCAGGGTCGGCCCGAGCTGATCCCACACCCATGTAGCCATATCTGTTTCTAAGAGCAGGCCCGAAAGATCGACATCCTGAGCCCTCAGCCTCAAGCACTGCCACATCCTACTGTAAGCACCTCCAGGACAACATATGGTGGACGGCTTGTCTGTTGGCAGAGAGTGCTGACACCATGTGGTGGATCCTACTCAAATCTCCGCCCAGCCCGAAAACCCATCCGTCCTCGTGCTTCTGCACGAATGACATGGCGACCCAATCGACGTCGTGCTTGCAGCAGAACTTCAGATCCGCTTTGTCCTGGTCGTTCATAACTACGCAAGGCTTCTCTCATCTCTCTCCCTCCACCTCTGCATCTCCACTCCCCTCCTAATGGTTCACGATCTTCAGAACCTCTGGGACATTCCCAAGTCGCCAAGTACTAGACATGTGGTCCTTGGGCGTGATTGGAGACATGTTCAGGATGACGTCCGGCGTGTTCACACCCTTGCGGGCTCCAAGGTGTCCGGGGACGGTGACCTCCCGAAGCGGCTTGAGTCGCCCTAAAACCCGTACTTCGGTTGATGATATATAAATCCTACATTACCCACAATAAGGAAAATACTATAATTCCCATAGTTTAGGGCCCTTAAAGTAATGCAGGATTTATATCATCAACCGTTCGGGAGAAGGATTCTGCCGCAGCATTTTGGGGATCGGCCCGAGGCTTGAGTCGGATAGCTCAGTTTCGTTCTAATGTTGCAAAACAACTCTACCTAGAGGCTCCATAGTAGTTCCTTTTTAGGGTTCATATTCAGAATTTTACAAGGTAATCCCAAAAAGGAACTACTTTGGAGCCTTTGGGTAGAGCCAGACTCCGGTTCTTAGCGACGAACCTCATGCATGCACATTGGGGGGGGGGCCTTCGCCACGGGTAGGTTTGGATGAAAAGCATTCTGAGCGAAACCGCTGGTCTTCCCAGATGCAGGTTGGCTCATAGCAGCACCATACGGAGGCCTCAATCATTACCGATACTATGTTGGAGAGTTGGAGGTTGCTTCTTGGAATTCGAAGATATCCAAACACCAGAGTCTTATTTTTAAGGCCCTTATATTAAACAAGATTCGTCAGTACCCCTGCACAACGAAAGTCCTCTCTAGAGCAGCAGAAACGCTCATGGCAAGGAGTTCCACTCCAAGGAAGAAGGTGCTCCCTTTTGTAATAATTCAGAATCATATACCCCAAAGTCTTGTTCGAATTATTCGGGCCCCTGTAGCTGGCAGAGGAGAGCCTCACATTCCACGAAAGGCGTGGCTCCAGCAGCTTCCTGCTCGACTTCCTCGCCATCCAGGAGGTAGCCCTTGCGAACCACCTGAAAGCAGAGGTGGCAGGGGCCCAGAATTGCATGCTTTGGGCCTGTCCTAAAAAGCCAAGGGTAGGGCGCACCTAAACTTCGAACTTCTTTACGGCTTCGCCCGGCTTGTCTTCGCGTTCCAGGCGACTGCAACATCAACTCTCATCTAAAGCTCGGGCGGCGCCTTCTCTTCGGGTGGTGTGACATATCTACAACAAATTCGATCTCCGCGCGAAGTTCCAAAACAAGTATGCACCCACCTGCCCCAAGGCGTAAAGCGCACTCGTAAGAGGCAGAACCGTAAAGGTCCGAAGGCTATCCCATTCTCCCCTGCCTGTATACTGAACCTAGAGCCACTTCTACTGTTTGAGCCTACCAGGTTATACCCTTCACCCTAAACGCCCTGGCTCCATACCCACAAACCCTAAACCGGACTGGGACCCTTTTGGAATGAAGTCCTTGGCTTCTCTTTGCCCTTATAGCGTTTTGGGGCCCACTACACTACAGACATAATACGGAAGCCCCCAGAATTAAAATGGTGTTGGTAATTTTCGGCCCCATAAAATGCCAGTTATAGGGCACCGGGACTGAGGCCCATTGAGTTTGGGGTTTAGGGACATCATGCTATACTTTTAATGTAAGGAACCCGCCCCCAAAAAAACTAGTATTGGTAAGTCTTTCGGGTACCTTTGGGGTGACGTCTTTGGCTCCTCTTTGCCTTCATCCGGATCTTGCCATCATCCAGCAGCAGGCGCTGATCCTTCCCAGGCTCCAAGGCCTCCCAAAAGGGGTAAAAGAGATACTTTAAGGATATTTTTCCCTCTCGCATTGCTTGGAAGTCTATGCCCGCTCGCGAGGTCTGTAAGAGTTTCCCTATATCTCTGTGACCTGCAATGGCTTTCGCCTTAGAACGAAGACCAGTACTAGAGGGATCAGAATTCAGGGTTTAGGGCCTTAGAAAAACCAAAAGGGGTTTAGTCTAGGATTCAAGGTTTAGGGGCCTTAAAAATTACCTTATAGGGTTTAGGGTTTAAGCTCTAGGGTTTAGGGGTATTACTACCTATACTAGTAAGAGGTACTGTAGGGGCCTTGAAGACAAAGTGTTTAGTCTAGGATCTAGGGTTTGGTTTAGGGGCCTTAATAATTACCCATACTATTTTTGGGGGGGGTTCCTATTTACTATTGAGGCCCCTATATTACTGCAGTCGAAGTCGGGTCCATTAATAGAAGTCTTACGATTAAAGTTTCTGGGGCTTATATACAGCATTACAGTAAGTATTGATGTAGTGTTTCGGGGGTGTCTTCTGCTGAAAGTGCACAAGGACTACAAGGGCAGATAATTATGCATCATAGTCATAGCCCCAACCTCCATGTTAGGATTATTCCTACCGTTCCGTGGGGTCTGGTCCAGGAGATCGGAGCTTGGACTGCTTAGAGTTCGCGGGTCAGGGTTCGTGGCATTTCACGGCTTTCAATCAAGGATGAGCTTCAATACCATGCCGAAGGCAGGCCGAACAGAGCCGCTGCCGCGATGGAAGTTCCCCTTCGTCTTAGACCGTAAGGCAAAACCCGTATAAAGAACCAGGAGAACATCCCAAATTTATGAATCACCACACTTTTAGAAAGCACCGGCACGCCATTCTCTAGAGGGTGTCCTCGTTGCCCCAGGCTTCGCAGCAGTCTTCGGGTCTCACAACCAGGCCTTGATCCCTGAAGCCGGACCATCCCAAAACCTCACAGCACCTTATGACCGTGAAGACTTTGACCCGTAAACGGCCCTAGACACTCACCCGCAAAAGCCGAGACCGAATATTCCTGGACAGAGGAAGCCTCCAGAATCTCAGGGTGGGGCAGCTGGACCCGCTTCTCCTAAGCACAGCAACCGCAGCTCGCCCGGTTTACCGAGCAGTCGAGGCTTCAAGGCTCTTGGGCTTTCGGGCTGGCTTGCAGGCTCTGAAGGTTGGGGGTTGCATGAATTGAAACTCCAAACGTGGGGGCCTAAGTCTCGGAGAAGGCCAACTTTTGCAGGCATAGTCCCTAACCCTAAACCCAAAAATCCTGCGTCTACCTGGTGCCCCAAGGGCAAAAACCACAAACAACATCTGCAGGTCCCAGGATCGTTGCCCAGCGCGGGGTCCATGTCGAAACGAAAAAGCTGACCGAGCTGCAGCCTTGATCCAATGAATCCAATGCTTGGATTCATTGTGCTTGGACTGTAGGATTTATAAACCCCCGAAATCTGAAGCCCGGAACCTGCAAACATGACTGGTGTTGTTCCCTTCTGCCAGTGTTTACTGTATGGTTGTCGCATGATTTCAAGTCTGAGAAGATGGTGATATGCATCGGCTGTGCTGCTTGGCCTCTAGGTGCAAATTCATCTCTGCAGAAACTCGGCTTTTTCGTCCACGGTCGCACCTGCTGTCGTGCCAGAAATCCTCAATCTTAACCACCCTCACGTGCAAACTCCCCATCGGCAACCTGCCAGATCCGAAAAGCCCTCAAGTGAAACCCTGAATTTGCCCCCAAATCGCATAAAGCGACTCTCTACATATATAGAGGGCTCTGGCAGACCATCCCCAATATGGACCATACCGGATCGTGCTGCCGGTCTGCAACCCAAACAACCCCACCCCGTCAGCTCCGGGAAGCTCTACGCCATCGGGATCCTCGAATTTGCCACAGCGCTGTTTCGGACCCTGCCTGAGCTAAAGAAACAGCTGAGAAGGCTCTGGCCCAGAGGGTCCATATACACTACGATTATGAAAATAAGTCCACAAAGCCATAACCAGGATGGTCTTTTGGGACCTAATTCCGCAATGGTAGTATATATGGGCCCTTAGGGGAGGATCTTTCTCTCGAAGCCCAGTCTCGTCTTCAGGAAGTTGCTGCACTATGCGTCGACTCGAGACGGAAGGTAACTTACTTTACAAATCACACTGCCTATATAGGGACTGTAATCATCATGAACTGCGTAGAGCTGCTTGCGAATCTCTTGGTATCCAAGAGTTGGGTCTGACCAGGAATAAGAACGATAGCGGCGACGATTCTCGAGCCACCGGTTGTAAGGCATTGTAAGGTTTACATTACGCTAAACATGGAAAGCCTTATAGCTCCAATGCTGACTAGCTTACAGGTATGGCTATTGACATGCAAGCTGCAGATACTCACAGTTTGTTACATTAGCCCCTATCAAAATTCACAAAACCTTACAGAGAAAACCATCCGACCTGGCTTTTCATGCTCACTCCCAGCCAGGTTTCTGAGTCCCTACTTGCTGCATTCTCCGGGCTATACCGGCCCAGAAAACATGTAGCTAACGAGTATGAGTATTAACGTACAACTCCAGGCAGGTGGACGCTGAGGGTTCGCCCTCTGCCTTGTTGATTCTTTGCACAGAACCTGAAAGCAAACTGCTAGTCACAGCTTAGCGACAAATCCCCCAGGATGGCGATGGGATGCCTATGCAGCGCTTCGGATTTTTTGTTGAACTCTGGCACATGCCGAATGCATGGGCGATGTTTTCTCTTGAATCGAATACGTAACCTGGTCCTGACGTACGGTTGCTTCAGCTCCGAGCTGTGCAAGGACGTGCAAGGCATGCACCGCGTCCAGCCTGTACTTGTCCTCAATGTCACGGATCTTATCGATGAGATCCAGCTTCTCGTCATGCTCGCCGTGCGAAAAGTTGAGCCGAAAGACATCAACTCCGCAAAGGAAGAGCTTCTCCTGAGCTGAACGAAAGGTCCAGCAACAAGTCTTAAGGTGAGCATTCAGCAGCACTCAAACTCAAAAAGGCCAAGGTAAGGCTCTCCAACAAGCAGCCACGCACACAAAGCATAGTCAGCCAATGCCGCATAGTGGAAGCTGCAGGCTTGAAACTTAAGCACGATAGGTAGGTGTGCATTGTAGTATGTATCTAATGGAAGAAGAAGGTTTAACGTTTTACACATTAGATATTATTGGACATCAATATCAACATACAAACAAATATACATAAATACATACGTATGCGCACAAAAACATATACTTACACACGCATATGCACAGATGTGAAAGCATGTATGTATGTGTATATATATATATGTGTGTGTGTGCATCTTTGTATGTATGTGTGTGCAACAGTTGCATGCATCTGTGTATGAAGCTGTGCCCGCGTTTCTTTGCGAAATGCTTTGGCTTTTGCAACAGGCAACAATACTAAGGAGTATACATATTCACAGAAGCCTCCGACTACATGCATACACATGTACCCGCAGACGAACCGCAAAGGCAAATAACAAACACTAGACACATAAAGCAAGGCTCATGTGTTTAATATCTCTGTGTGCCTGTGCTTTGCAGTTGTTCGGTATGTTTCTCTGGATCAAAACACATCTAAGGACAGGGCCAACATTTCCATGCTGCTGGAAGCCGGTCCCACGGTGGCAACCTGCAACAGACAAATAGCAGTGACGACGGACCGGCGCGGTCAAACACACAGACACTTGTACAAACACAAAAACACTGACAGAGGGAGGGAGAGAGAGAGAGAGAGAGAGAGAGAGCAATCTGAACCTGCATAGAGGTCTGAAGAGACTTTTGCTCCGTGCAAACTGTAATCCTATGTAACCCTTACGACTGCCCACCTGCTTGGCACCCTTGCGGCAACTGCGCACCACCTCGCCCTTAATGGTGCGAGTCTTGTCCTTATTCCCCGAAGCTGGGTTGTCTGTTTGCACAGATCATCGATCATGCTCACTGCTGCAAATCTCAAAAGTCTGCGTCCAAGGTGCAAAAAGGTTGGCAGTGTCCAGGTTCAGGAGATCGTCGGGGATGGGAGCCGCTTTCACATCTTTGTCTCCTTTTCCAAGGAGTTTAGTCTCTGGGGTCGGTTCTTCGTGAGAAGACTCAGCCCAACACCTTTCCCAAGGCCTCTGAGATGTTGCTTCCATGCTAGGATTGAGGTTCTGTCTCCCCCACCTCCTAGCTTGGCTTGTCCTCCCGGTTTCGGGGGTCGGCTCTTCAAGGGCCCTCTCGTCCCAAGCCGACTCGAAAGCATCTTGAGAAGCCTCTTCTGTGCTAGGCTGGAGGTTCCGTCTTCTGCGCCTCCTAGCTTGGCTGGTCGTCCCTGCACCCAAGGCTCGCCCCTGCCGGTTGCAAACTCCGGGTATGGCGCGACTTGAGGGCATTGTTCAAAGCCTCTCTTCAAGTTAGGCGAGGGCACGCTGGAGACAACTTATCCAGCCAAGCAGCTGCAGGTAGACAAACGACAATCTCTCAGAAGTGTGCTTTCTCCCACTGTATGTCTAGACTTTACTTTAGTATGAAAGGATCCTGAAAATACTGAACGGAACCATCGAGCCGGCTCAGGATTTATCGGATGAAGCTATCAAAAAGACCCTTTGCATTTTTGAATCATTTCGAATCCGTGCAGACATGCTGCCCGCGAAGAGGCACAAAATCGAATGCTAATTGACTGCTCTGTCGGAGAGATTTCGGATAATGAACCGCAAGGAAGCACTTCCGATGACCCGGCAACCCTCAAAGCTACTGCAAGACCCGAAGCCTTGAACACCCAAAGACTCTGAGAGCCTACCAAATTCACAAACTCTGAGTAAGCCCGAAACCCTAAACCCTCACCCACCAGGGCGGACCCTGAACCCTAAACCCCTAAACTCATAAACCCTTATCTGTCTTAAAGGTTCCCCCCCCAAAGGGCGGATGTCTCTTTGTAAACTCCTAAACCCTGATCTTATCTTAAAGGCCCCCCCCAAAGGGCGGATATCTCTTTGCTCTCCTTGCCAGACTGAGCAGGTCGGCCCATCCTTCTCCTCCGCCATGGCTACTTGGAGGTTCATGGGTAGTTCTACGTAGGGTTATGAGGGGTGTAGGGTTCCTTTAAGGGTTCTATAGGGTTTAGGTGTAGGGTAGTTATAAGGAGGGGTTTAGGGTTCCTTTGGGCTTAGGGTTTAGGGTAGATATAAAAGTAGGGGTAGGCTAGGTAGGTAGGCTAACTATATCTATCACCCATGTTCGGGGACTTATAACCCCAGTTATCGCTACCCCTGAACCTCCAAGTACAGGTTACTAGGGGTTCTGCTTCTTCTACTGGCACTACTACTGCTACTGCTACGGCCACTGCTGCTGACTGCTGATAGTGCTACTCCTGCTGCTCTTGCGACTGCTGCCGCAACTCCTATTGCTACTGCTGCTGCAGCAGCTACGGCTGCGACAACTATACCCCTCGTACTACCACCACTGCAGCGACAACTACGATCGACTACGACGACGACTAATACTACTACTCCTGCTCCTGGTCGCATACGCCTACTCCAACTTCTCCTCCTTCTCCGCTTCCTCCGTTCAGCAAGACTCTCCACCCATTCCAAAGCACCAAGAATAACAGGAATACAGTACGATATACAGACTCCAGACACACCGCGCAAAATATTTGTGCAATCTTCCTGAAGCAGCTCAACCGAAGACATGGATGGATGCTCCTCGCGAATCCTTGGCGTCAGAACTGCTGTCGCTGGCGACTGCCGGCATGCAGTCGACCGTTGCTTACCCCGGCGCTGGGCAGCGCGACGCGCCGCCACGCTGGCAGCAAGGACGGCTGGAGCAGTGAAAGTCTGTCCTTGCAGCATATACGGGTCCACAAAACTGCACATGCTAAGCGTAGCCACGAACAAAAAAACTGTTGAACTCGCGATGAGCCTCGGTTGGCAACTTCCTGCGCCGCGACCTGCACCCTTCTTGCCGGCGCCGCCCGGGCCACGGTCCGTGCCGGGCCGGGAAAAGCAGCTACGAAGCAGTCGGGTGGGTTCATGGCGACTGTACGTATCACTACAAAGTTTGAGTTCAAAACCTGCGGCAACATGCACATGGCTGTCAAGACTACCGATCACAGTCGTGTTGGGTCCAGGGCTTTCATCCGGCCCCGAACCTGGCTCCCGAAGCAAAAAGCGAGCGTGACGATAACCCAGTCGCTAAAATCCGCCAGGCCGAAACTACGCTGGCTGAGGCTTAGTCGAAAATAGATCTGGCTCTTTGTGAGACTTCCGAAGCTCTGTAACTGTTGGGCCAGGAACACCAGTCCCAAGTACTGCGAGGTGCAGAATCTGTTTGTTGATCTTGCAGGCTTGCATGTCATCTCGTGCCAAGAAACTCCACCTACAAACCAAATGAGCTAGTTCCTCTAAGTCTATGATCGTGTTTGCCAACACACATCGCAGCAACATGAGTCAAGAGAAGCCAATAGTATGCTGCCCGCCAAAATCTTACATAGCGGATGCAGGTATGAAGTCCCGGGCAGTGCGACCCACCTACCATCGGAATGTGTGATGCCCTTATGGCTTTGCAAACAAACCTCAATGCCAGGAAACACCACGATGCCGCGAACCACCGGTGGCCTTGGCTTTCGGCGGCGGCGCGGGGCCGCGGGGGCCCTTGCCGTGGCCTTTCCCCTTCGAAGGGGGGGGACCTGTCACTGTCAGTGACTTCTGCTCTGTTCTGTTTAAGGGTTATAGGTATGACCCCGGAAGCTGTCCAATTGATAAGCCTCTGCAGGCCACATGTTTTCTTTGGAAACGTTCGCAAACGACGGAGTGCGGTGGTCAAAAGCAGGCCTTGGATCAAGACCCTCGCACCTCAAAAACCCTGTCTCACTCAAATCTGTATCCGTAAACCTGAAAATCCCAGTGACAAAGGCCCAAGAAACAACAAGCCAGCCCTCAAAACGAGCCTGCAGGCATGGCTTCTACAACCTCAGCAGGTCTCTGCTGCTCCGCTGGTCTCGGCAGGCCTGCGTCAGCATCTTGCAGATGAGATCGTTCAGTGCGTCGGGAACCACTTGTTAATTCGCATAATTTCTGGGCTGACGGTTTAAGCTTCGCGGGCTGATATCTGCTAGTTTCACGGCTCCTGGAGTTCATGGGCTGGTAATTAACACAAAAACCACCTCTGTGTGTGTATGTATGTATGTATGTATGTATGTATGTGTGTATATATATATATATATACACACATGTTTTCTTCTTAGATTCTAGTTCTGTAGTGTTATATATATATATATATATACATGTGTATATATGTACATATATATATATATACACACATTTACATGTATACATATAAACACATGTATATGTATATATAAAATACATATTTATATTTATCTGTTGTCAAGAGAAAGTTACTACTTACTTGGTGGTAGGGTTCACTATAGTGCGACGACACTGTGCAACTGCTGTCCACAACTCACGTTCGGGCTTTGCGCAGAAAAGCAGGGCGTAGTTGAGAGTTCGAGGAAATCATCCGGTTGCGTAACCCCCGCCCCCCACAATACCTTTGGTTAGTAGGGAAGGGAGGAATGGGGTACAATTATAACTACTATTACTACCATTCTTCCATTCCCTAATAACTCAAGGTATAAGACAACCCAAAGTGCAAACACCCTGGGCCCCAGCCTTGCTTTGCCAGCGTCAGGAGGTCCCGGAAAGCGGCCAGCCATGCTTCCCGAAGTGCAGGTGATGGGGCGCAAAAGACCAACTCCTGTCGGTAATGGAGGGGTGTTACCGGAAGTGGGCTCTACTACTTGAATTCTATGGTTCGGACCTCGGTTAAGAGGTGTTGAAGCTTTGGGTCATGGCCAGCCGCCTAGCTGGTCGAGGCAGTGCTCAAACAGACTCTAACAGGTCTTGGAAGATCATTGAGCTTTCGGCAGGAGCCATCTGCCAGGACTGCCAAACGACATGAATTTTTGCGTGCTGGCATGTGCAGAAGAAGCTCGCGGAACTTCGTGCTGTGGTCGCGGAAGCTGGGGCAAAATGATGAACACGTGGGGACGTGCAAGCACTTGCTGACTTGCCTTTGTTCAACATGTGTTGTTGAGCACGGGGCATTGTAAAGCAGCCACAGATCCTAGATCACTTCAACCGTATTACACTGGCTACTGGGACGTGAACCCTGAACAGTGGTGCCAACTTCAAGCCCAGTTTTTGCCCGAAACTGAACACATACCCCAAAACCTTCCAATCCCCATGACTGTGATTGCACTCACATACATATGCTCAGACACAATCATTTGGGCCAAACATCGGTGGCAAGAGGCTGAGCAGGGAACCCGCCTGGCCGTTCCTCTGTATCAGGGCGAATCCTGCTGGTGTTGGCTCACCTCAGATTGCCAGTCGCTGGACTTTGCCCCTGAAGAGTGGCAAGAGCGGACAACTCTTTATGTTGATAACGGATTCGCAGACACTGTCTAAGTAACCCCTAAGCATCCCATGGTCGTAAGTCGCCAACCTCAGTAAGACAATCGAGACAGGACTGGCTGCTACTGCAAGGATTATCGACGTAAAAAGAAAAGACACAGACCGAAGAAGCAGCAACCCAGAAGCCGTATGCTGCGATCAATTGGGCGGTGATCCAACATGGTCCTCTCGCAGTGTGTAGTGATATTCCGTGCCGACCTTCTGACGTAGACCCCACTTATACCGGAAAAGCCAAACTTCGCCAAGCTGCCGCTTGGTGCCTCGGCGCGGGCCCCTAGCGGCACCACGCAGACCTCACGTGAGGGCGCACAGGTTCAAGCGTCAGTGTGCAGTGGAGGCGTCATAGATCTAGATATAAGCCTTGTTTCCAAGCGTCCCTTGGCGCGGCTTCGTCTAAGCGCAGCTACAAATGGAACCTTTTTTGAGGAGGGGCTGCAGTGCAGAAGCCTTGAACCTAAACCTTAAGTTCCCTAATCCGGAGCTGTGGCTCTGAAACCAATTTGTTGGCATCTAGTTCTAGTCTCTGATTATGTTTGAAACCTGATATCCAGAATGCAATTAGCCTCTGACATATTATATATTGTCCTTACCCATATTGCCTTAGAATATGCTCAATATTGCACTGTAATATACCTTGATATCTATCATGTCATACTATACACTACCATATCGTAAGATTTGATATTTTATTATGCTAGAGTGTACACTAGTACAACACTATATCATATCACCTGACCTTACCTTACATTACATACAAGACCCCAGACAGACAGGCAGATTCAGCCTTCGAGCCCCTCCACCGGGGGAAGAAAGCAAACTCCGAGTTCGGCGCCTGCGGATCCACGAGCCAAAGAGTCTCCACCTCACAATGTAAGGGGCCTATACGCCTTTTCAGGTTCCTTTATAAAGCTTCCTTCTATAGTGCTCCTTCCAGGGTTCCGTCCAGGGTTTCTTAGAGGTTCCTTGACATGTCATGTAAGGGCTACTGCAGGGGTTCTATATGTAGGGGTTTGTGGGATATAGGCTGTCCCTCAGCAAGTTTGAAGGCACGGTGGCAGTGTTTCAACGTAACTAGTTATGTATAGGCCTTGGCAGGGTTGGGAAGGGCTTCAGCAAAAATGGGTTCTTCTCCGAGCCCTCCATTCGTCGCGAATTAAGACTTGTGCTCATGCTCGCGGCAAAGCCTCGCGATCCTGCTTTCCAGCTTAGAGCAAGGCAAGGATACACCCAAACAACGCTGAAGAACAGTATGTCAAAACCCGTATGCAGCACCAATCACCATTCGTCGCCGGAACCGGCTCCCACACTGCCCTCAATCGTATAAATCTCAGATCGTTCCGCCTTGACGACTTCAGACATCTCGATGCAGCCTGCCTGGATAAAGGGTCCGAGACGCACACAAAGGCCCAATACTGAAAAGACTAACTTTTAGCAGACAAGTAAAGCCCAGAAAGTTGAAAAGGTGAGGGGCTCCGAGGTTGGACTGCTTCTGGGCCTTTCGGGCTCGGCGCCCTACTGGTTGCGGAAGCATTCACCCAGCCATCCATGCGAAAGGCCAGCCACCCAGCGATCCATGCGTCCGTGCATACATGTACTGTACAGGTACATGCGTATGCATATGCCTGCTGAGATGCGGAATCAGACGCAGATCGCAATCAGGAACGCATGTATGTATGTAAGCATGCGCGCGTGTGTGTGTGTGTGTGTGGGGTGTGTGTGTGTGGGGATGTATGTATGCATGCATGTATGCATGTATGTATATACGCACCTCTACCTAGGAAAAGCAGAGCACACCTAATGCCCTCCCCCTGTGTCCCTGTCAGTTCTAGATCAGATCCTTATATGTCTAAGGTGGAGCGACGCGGCATTGACAAGGATGTTCGAGCTATCGGCTATTGATGCTCCAACAACTAAGACATAAGAAAGCATTCCGGGTAACTGTGCTAATTATACTAGTTGTAACTCTCGGAATGCTTTCAACAGGCAGCTGGCCTGTTCTGGTTTGATGCAACGAGTTCCATATCATGGTGCATTGTACACAAGGCCGGCCCCTACCCCATTCGACTTTAGCTGGCCCGAAGGGCAAAGGCACGATTCGGGGCACAAGCAACCAGCCGGGCAACATGAATCCACGCGTTCATCAAAGCAAAACCCAGGTTTGTCCGACTCAACTGTGTCATCCTGAGTTGAGACAAGTGAAAAACGTCATGGAAGAAAAGGTCGGACTACGAAAGAAACAGGGCCTCAAACAACTCTTGGCTTGGCGCAAGCTAAAGGCCATGCTCCGCGAGTGGTGCAGCTAGAAGCCCTTTCTTCGAAGTAGCTGCGACACTTTGGCTTCGAAGTTAAACTTTAGGACCCCAAACCATTCATGCCCAAACAATAACCTCTCTAATCAATGGCTAGACCTGTACTCTCGAAACTCTAACACCCTCAAGGTCACATGACCTGATCTCTAAACACCCTTAACCTCGAGCCTGGGCCTAAACCCTAAACGCCTATAGGCCCTAAACCCCCAGCCGTTGGCCCAACCCTGAATCCTCTAAACCCTAAACCCCTAAACCGCAATCCTTACCCCTTAAACCCCCAAACCCTTGAATCCTCTAACCACGCTTCTGTCGCCTCTCTCCCCCGCGGCCAAGAAAAGGCGCGGAGCTCCCACGGATCTGCGAGCACCTCAGATACCCGAAACCCTGTATACATAAGTCAACGAGACCCCCAAATTAGACATCAAGTTACATGTAAATACTCCTCCATACCCTAGAGCCCTCCCTAATTCAAAACCCTAAAACCACAAACACTAAATACCCCCCAGCTGCCTTCTGCCACTCCCATCTTGTTCCCCGCAGCTGCCGAAGAAGGAAGCCCGTAAGGGGCTCCTCGGCAGCGCCTGAACCAGATCAAAACTCTTAAGGGCTCCTCTGAGGCTTCCTTTCAGATTTAAGGGTTCGCTTGAGTGCTTTAAGAGTGAGTTTCAGGAGGGCCTCATAGGGGTCATCTTCGCTTTTGGTGGTTCTGCAAAGAGCGGTTTCGCTTCCTGCATTGCTGAACGAGTCGCTAGGCAGGGTACATTACAAGTTTCTCGGTAAATTCGCAAACGAAGGTGGGCAGAAAGCCTCACTCTACGCGATGACTTTACGAGCGCAAACGGCTGAATGCTTCTGAGCAAAAAGAGGTGATGCAAGAACATGCCTTCAACGAGACCAAAACCGAAACCCCGAACACTAACCCCTAAAAATAAAAAAACAAGATTGCACCTTCGAATCTCATGTCGAAGCCCTAAACCTGCCTTCGCCGGTGCGCCGCTGCGGAGGCTCGCAGCTGGGACGCGCGGCGTGCTGGCCCATGGCTGCTCATCCAGAACTGAGTTGGGAAGCGAGGTTTAGGGGTCGGGGCACAGGGCTGAGGGATGTGTAGGGTTCCGAGGGATTGAACACACCCTGCAGAACTGCAGCACTCCGATTTGGATGATCGTCTGGAGGTATGGGTGCCCATGTCCTGCACTTGTCGTGATTTCTGCTCTCTCTAGCAGCAACCTTATTAAACACAGTCGGGAAGATGATGGACACTGCGAAAGTGTACCGGCGTACCGCTCAGCGAAAAGCTTCCACAGGCTAGATAAACTACATCGCGGGAAACCCCATCGCAATCAACGAACTGGTGGGCTGCTCTTGTTCACGTCCTTTTGGAAACACAAGCAAACGGCTGCAAATTCAGGAGTCATGCCATGCCTTGATGTCAGACTGTTGAGTACATGTAGGCTGCCAAGCAGGCAGAACTAAAACACCACAAACTACGGGCCCCAAAGCGAATCCACGTAGGATTCTCCAAGCATGGTCGTGTTGCGACGTACCGGCACTTCCATGAAGCGGTGCCACAGTAAAGTCTGGGGTTCTCGAGGCCCTGCAAGGGATCCAGTCTTGCTCTTGATTTCAGGGCCGTTGAGACTTAGGTATCTCCTCAAGGTTGCTTCAGGTATGGACTCTTTGAAAGCTTTAGTTAGGATTCTGCTCCCGAGATATCCGGCCCTCGACGGCCGTCTGATCAGTGCTGTGCGGGTACGCAGCATTTATAGGCTTCAATACCCTAGAGAGGGCATGCAACAGAGTAGCTCGCAAAGCCCTGCGAAAGGCGGAGTAAATCGGAAAGAAACATCTAGATTCTAGGTCGAAGAACGAAAGTGGCCTGATCCAATGGGACAGAAGGTCCCTCACTAAACCGACTGCCAGGCTGAGGTGAACTGAGGCCGACACGATACTTTCATGTATTGCAGTAGTGAGCTCCGGAACTTGAAGACTTAAGCTGAAGTTCACCAGGTTCTATGCTGCGCATTCCTTCATGTCGACGTCTTCCTCTTTTACCTCTTCTTTCACCTGCGTTGAGGCACCGCCAGGTCGGAATTCCAACTATTTACGTCAAAAAAATCGTCTGTAGTAAGGCATTCCAGGCCAACTTGACGGTTCTTTTCTTTCCCGCCTGAAGGACCCAATTGACCCTCTCAGAAATTCGCCTAAGCCTGAAACCATCATGGAAGTAAGTGATCGCTTTGGCCCTGAGGCCTTCCGGGCTGCGGCGCAAAGCAGGAAAACTGAAAGGGATCCCAAATAGGTGTCTCTGCCTGCTCCTCCTCCTTCGTCTCCTCCTCAGCTTTCATCTCCTTGGCCACGGCCTGCTTCGCGTCTTCCTCCTCCTTCAGCTCATCCTTGATCTCGGCGGCTTCCTCTTCCTTCTTCTCCTCCTGCGTCGAGAATGCAGGGGCTCAGTATTGGCCAGGACACCGCAGGAAGAGAAGTCATGAAGAAACATCATGGGACTGACAGATGGGAAGAAATGTCAACCGACAGCCCTGCAGCCAAAGCCTACCGGGAAAGTTCGTGTCATTCCTACCAGTCCTAACATTGACAGGATTACGCAGCGCTCTCACTGCCATATAACCAGCACAAGCTGTCGCAAAGGGAACGGGCTTGAAGCTTCAGCCACCAATATCCCATCTCGCTAGTTAAGAGCTGAACACTCTCGGCTTGGCAGGACGCGTCCTTCACCTCTTCCTCCGAAGGCTTATCATCGCTCTTTGTTGCCTCTTGTCCATCCTGTCGTACTTGTGGTTGATGCTTTTCGCCGACTACTAGCACGACGACGACAACGAGGACGACATCGATGCGAGCCTCAGTCTTCATGACTACTGCACTGACTACTGCTACCAGACCGCCTTGCTTTGTGCTCCGCGTGACGGGAATCGCTCCATATACCTAACAATCCAAAGGCCCTTTTTAGAATGCATGTCGTATTTGTTGCAGAACCCTGAACTTCAAAGTGTGCGAACCTTGAGCCGCGCTTTTGCTACCTAACCACTGCCGGCTTGGCCACTAAATTCACAAATCAAAAAGAACAAGCCCTTTCTATCAGAACCCTGTGCCGTTCATTCCAACAAGCCGCCGAGGTTTAAAGCCTAGATAGCATCGGATCTGTGAACGCCGCCAACTGCAGTTCCAGATTCTTCCGTGCCCCCTTCCATGGCAAACCTTCCGAATCTCAGTGTTCTTGCTTGGCTAGTTTGTGCCGAAGGGATCTGGAAGCAGCTGTTGGTGAGCATCCTCTAAACGGCCCTATACCTAGACCTCCCAACTACCCTCTAACATACCCCAAATACCCACTATGAAGGGCCATTACGGCTGCATGAAAGGGCCCTATAGGTTCTAAAGCCTGAAGCCCTGAATGCCCGCAAGGGCCGGAGTACCTTGGTGGGCTGCGGCTCATCTTCTTTGAAATTCAGGCCCTGCCAGGACTTGAAGTTGTAGGTTCTGGGACAAGGGAGGGGCTTGAGTCCAAGGGTAAAAGGAGGGACCCTTATTAAGGACCCCTAGGTACATACCCTTACTATAGCTATTATATACCCATTATAGGGTAGGGGTCCCCATTAAGGGTCCCTCCTTTTCCCCTTTGATTGAGGTTTGAGGATGCTCCAGGCTGGGCACAGACTTTCGAACTTAGAACTGAGCGCGTAAAATCCAGTGCGGAGTGAGCATCTGGCGCGTAGTCGCCATGGCTGGGCCCCCAAACCCAAAAACCATCAATGAAACCCTATGAACCCTAACCCAACACTCGAAAACCAAGACTCGAAACCCAAAACCGTCAAAGCAACCCTAAACCCTAAACCAAAACCCTAACCCAAACTCGTCAAAGCAACCCTAAACCCTAAACCCTAACTCGAAACCCAAGACTCAAGACCCAACACCGTCAAACCGTCAAAGCAACCCTGATGCAAGTCACAAGCCTCCTCGGACTGGAGTAGCTCTTCCATTTTCTGAGCATGGAGGCATTTTGGGACAGTCAGAGAAGGGCACAGGGAATATGAATATATATATATATATACATATAGATATACAGATATAGATTTGTATACATATATATATATATATATAATTATATATATATATATGTATAATTATTTATTTATTTAGATCCCTAGGGGCCCATGTGCCCACATAGTATCTACATTGGCCCCAAAGTACCCGTATAGAGACTACTTTAAGGCCAAAGTGTATACTCTTTGATCTATTTGGCTAGGGGATTGTCCATGGGTAGATTATAGATTCCAGATGTACCGCCATGCTTGTAGCTTGTACTCTGACTTTCACGGCTTCTGATCTCACAAGCCTGTCATTTCGGCTTTGGCTTTGGCGATTCTTCTAAACTCATAACTCTTAAACCACAGGAGCACATAAACAGCCGCAGGTTCCGCCGCCGGAACAGGACAAGTGGAGAGAAGAAGAAAGGCACACCAAAGATGAGCAAAACAGCGAACAAAACAATCACACCGGGTAGACTTGGATCCCGGGGGTTAGGGTCGGAGTTTGGGTTCTTGTTTTGATTCCGGCCAGCGTCTTTTTTGGGATTTCAAGGTTTCGGGGAAAAACCAAGAAACAGAGTGATGATCCAAGGTGGGGACGTCCGCAGAAGATTCCGGGCCCGTCAAAGCCTCGAAATCCAAGACATGGGTTTCCATCTACCTGTCTACCAGATCTATCTGCCTGCCTATCGTTGCGTCATCTATCCACCCTTCCACCCATGCATGCATACATACAAAACGCATGCCTGCGTGTGCATGCTTTTGGCTTGTTTAATTGCGCAACCCTACAGCGTCAAGGCGAGCCCAGAACCTAATCCTATGCCGGGTGAAGATAGGTTGGCAGAACATGCCTCTCCATGTCTACTAGTTCATGTGATATGCTGGCCATACATGCACATGTGTATATGTTTCATGCAATACTTGTATTACACAAACCGTATATGACTACACATGTTTCAGAGGGAGACAGATCACCTCAATAGTGCTGGGCGCAACATCGCTGGTGCTGAGGAAAGCACATCCAGCTCTTTGATCTCGTCCAGGAAATTCGCGAAGTCGTCCTGCATATTCTTGCTGGTGGCTTCGAGATGCCCATCAATCTAAGATGAAACAGCATCGGACGTAGACCTGGCAGCTCGCTCACCCGAGTGCTCTGCACCAGATGCTGCATCAACTTGCTCAAGCAATCGAAGCTCATGTCATTTATCATGTTTTGAAAGCCAGATCAGCCGACAATGGCTTAATATACCCTTTTTCTTGAACTCATCCCTAAACCCTAAACCCCTCATATCCGGGCAAATTCCCACAAGGAGATTATCTCAGAATCGGCCTCCGGGGCCGGTGCTGCAGGTGTCTCCGGTTCCTGTTCAGGCCCAGCTCCGGTTTTGAGAATTCGAACCACCCACCTCAACGGTGCTGTTCCTATAACCATAGTATCACATCATAGAATGTATACATATGTATCTGTTCCCATAACCATAGTGTCACATCATATACAATGTATACATATGTATAGGCAACTGTGCTCCTCGAGTTTTGATCAACGGCTGGCTCTTTGTTAGCGCTGGTCCGAAGATGAAACGTTCTCCCTGGATGGCGCTGGCACAATTACAAAGCAATCCGGAGGCCGCGTACATGTGATCCTCAATCCTCGAAATTGGAACTCGTGCCGCGAAGGAAAATGAGAATGCCAAAGCAACAACGCTGAAATCCCTGAAAGCCTGATGGATACTTGCCCCTTAAGATCCTTAAGACCCCAAGCCCCACTCCCAAAACTTCTGTCATGCCTCGGTCGCTTCCGTGGCCTTGGTGGCTTTGAGATCCTCAATAAGAAATCTCACGCGAGAGCACAGCGGAGCGCTCTGGTGCAGTGGGAGTATCAGACGGGGTCCAATGGATCTCAAGTCTTTGGAGGGCTTGTACGCTTGGAGAGGTGTTCCCGCTGCGCCATTTATGGCTTCAGCTGCGCAATGCGCATGGTACACGAATAGACAAGCC